TGTCTCGGGCGGCAGCGCTGCTGATCGACGGAGAGATACATGGGTTTACCACCCCACGCCGATGCGATGCAACCACCACCATTAAGCATGTACAGCAACACCAGCCCTACTATGCCATTCCTACACACCTCCACCTCCTCGATGAGTTACCCTCAACACCAAATGGAAAAGTCGACAAGGGAAAGCTCAAGGCACTGGCCTTGGCGAAGCAGAGTGTTGCAACGCAACCATACGAGAAAGAAGGGGTTCAGGACAGCCACGTCGAACTCAAGTCCCAATCGTCGATATCCTCTCTGTCGACTCTGACCGAGAAGATTGATCTCGAGCGCGGTCTGCCTGATAAGACGATGGCACGACCCCTCAGAGGTCTAAGACATAGGATCTTCATCGTCTACCGCACCCTGTTCAGTCTCATAGGATTACTAAACTTGGCAGCATTGATCTGCATGATCGCTCTGCAGCTCAAGTCAGAATGGCTTGGTATCATCACTGCCATTAACCTTGTAATCGCAGTACTTGTACGACAAGATACGGTGATCAACATCCTGTATACCATCTTCTGCTCAGTACCAAAGCATTTGCCGCTCGGAATCAGAAAACGCTGTGCCAAGATATATCACCTGGGTGGTGTGCACTCCGGTGCGGGAGTCTGTGCCACGGCATGGCTGGTTATCTCGACGGTACGTGGAACAATCTGCAATGCAGGTTTCTGCGAGGGTCACGCGATTGGGTCCTTGGCGACACAGGTCGTATCGTGGTTTCTATGCGGGCTGTTATGTTCCATGGTGGCTACTGCATGGCCCTCTTTCCGGAAGCAATACCACAACTTCTTTGAGCGTTTCCATCGTTTTGCCGGTTGGACATCATTGGGTCTATTTTGGGCTCGGACAATTCTGGCGATCAACGACTCCCGGCCTCAACACCAAGAACTAGGGATTGCCGCCGTTAAAACTCCAGACTTCTGGCTCTTGGTGGTGGCCACACTCAGCATTGCCTCTTCATGGTTTTTCCTGCGCAAGGTTCCCGTTGAGGCCGAAGTGCTTTCTGACCATGCAGTCCGCCTGCATTTCGACTATACTGTCCCCGTGAATGGTAGTTTCACCCGCTTATCACGACGACCCTTGATCGAATGGCACTCTTTTGCAACCATCCCCAATCCGCAGGCTAATCAACATGCTAAGGGTTACTCGTTGGTTGTCTCCAATGCCGGCGACTGGACTCGTTCTTGCATACAAAACCCTCCCAGTTCCATCTGGGTACGTGGTGTGCCGACATGTGGTGTGATGCGTATCGCAACTCTCTTCAACCGAATCGTCGTTGTCGCCACAGGATCCGGGATTGGACCGCTACTAGGCCACATTGTCCATCAGTCATGCCCTACACAGCTGATTTGGTCTACATCACGACCAGAAGAGTCGTTCGGCAAAGAGCTTGTTGGCCAGGTTCGAGACGCTATTCCGGACGCGGTTATCTGGAATACGAAGACTCAAGGCCGACCAGACCTTGTGCGAATGGGCTATAACCTAGCCAAAAGTTTCGATGCCGAAGCTGTGATAATAATAGCCAACGAGAAGATCACTAAGAAGGTCGTGTACGGCCTGGAGACGCGCGGCGTGCCAGCTTATGGTGCCATCTGGGACAGCTAAGCCGTCCAACCATACATTCTCTTTTCACCAACATATTTCCTTGAACATGTTTCTCCAATTTTGTACACTCTCATACCTTGTCTTTCCTGTTGATCTTTTTTTGAGCGACTGACTAGACCATATACTGAATTTCGGTCCATTGTTTTTGGAGTTGTTGTTTCTTTCAATCTCTTTCTTGGTCCAAGTTGTATGCGATATTGTGTTTTTTTCTCACTGTCCTAAGTTATTGGCAAGCTCAAAAGTTGAAGGAGGAAGGGTGACATCATGGTGCTTGAAGATTAGATATGCAAGTATGCAGTAAAACGGTGCGAATCGACCTAGCTTTACCCAAAATGGCAATTTTAAGATCTACGTAATTGGCTCTTTGCTCAACAACTTCAAGATTTGCCGTGTGAGGAACCATGTTGTCTTTGCGAAGGATAGCTACGACTGCAGTCCCGGTGGTTGGGCACCAGGGTCTACGGGCTGCAGTTTCAAGCACGAGATTTTACTCCCAGGCTGTTGGGCCATTGGTTTACGATTTGCATGAACCCTCACAACCAAAATATGACAAGAGAAACTCTCCAATTTTGTTCCTCCACGGACTTTTCGGATCAAAGAAGAATAACCGGGCTATAAGCAAGTCAGTTGGCCATTCGTTGATCCATGAGAACTAGAACTAATATGAGGATAGAGCTTTGGCCCGAGATCTGGGAAGATATGTTTATGCTTTGGTAAGTAAACGGTCAACGGTTCTGAAGGGTTGATAGAAACTCAATATCAGTTCACAGGATCTCAGAAACCATGGCGAGTCACCTCACAGCAACAAACATGATTACAGTGCCATGGCCCAGGATGTAGCTGAGTTCATCGAGGGTCATGGTCTGAAGGAAACAACTCTCATTGGACACTCAATGTGAGTAGCCGTTGCTTCACAGTAGCCAACACGAACAAACTGACAAACCTAGGGGAGCCAAAACTTCAATGGCTCTTGCACTCCGCTCTCCCGAACTCGTAGCTGATATTGTGGCGGTCGACAATGCCCCCGTGGACGTCTCACTCAGCAGAGACTTCCCCAAGTACGTCCGTGCCATGAAGAAGATCCAGGAAGCCGGTGTTACGCGCCAAGCCGAAGCCGACAAGATCCTCAGCGAGTATGAGGAGTCGCTGCCCATTCGACAGTTCCTTCTCGGCAACATGTACCTCCCTGATGGCGAAAAGGTGCGCAAGTTCCGCATCCCTCTCGACACTCTTGGTAAGGCACTGGACAACCTCGGAGATTTTCCCTACAAGAACCCCAATGAGGTCCGGTTTGTGAAACCGGCTCTGTTCGTTCGAGGTACCCAGAGCAAGTATGTTCCCGACGACGTGCTACCTCTGATTGGCCAGTTCTTCCCCAAGTTTCGACTTGTTGATATTGATGCTGGTCACTGGCTCATTTCAGAACAACCTGAAGCGTTCAGACAAGGTGAGTGCCCGATGGATGCAGTGAGAGTTTTCGGATAGGCACTAACAGTCTATAGCTGTCGTCGAGTTTCTTCAAAAGTCCGAGTGACGCAGGTGAATTGAGTATCATGGGTCTTGTCCCACTAATTGGGGCGAATGTTGGACAATATTTTCGTCGCCTCTGTAATATTACCCTACGTTCAATAGATAGAGATACACTGAATATCAGAATTCATGCACACAATATTGGGCACCTTAGAGTGGCACTGTAATGTTGGGTAGATAGGGTATCAGCTCTGAATTCTTCTACGGCCCTCATCTCAAAACGTCCCTCACGACCAGCGTCAAGTCACCACAGCATCCAATGTCGTAACAGGCAAGTCACACGTCATAAATCATTCGCCGTGTTGACCGAACGTTTTTTTTTACCATTCATTCAAAGGAACATGAACCCAATCCCCGGAGCTCCTCTTGTGATGCTACGCCATTTGCGATGACCGAAACAATTTGGTAGGGATGAGTTTATTAGCCGCGAGGCCCCTATTGCCTACCCCGCGCCAACCTGCCAAAATAATCCTTTTAAACCTCCTCCAGGACACGCTCCTTGAACTCCCGCTCAACCTTCTGGCCCTGGTCATCAGTGCCAGACTCGCCGTGCAGAGCCATCAAGGCACCAAGGTCGAACTTGGGGGCCTTGAGCAGCTTAACCTTTCGGATGTGGACCTGGGAAGTGTTAGACCTACAAATTCATCTGTGACCGAGGACAAAGATTCTACTCACGTTCTGGAGAGGGTAGATGCCCTGGGTGGACTTCTCAATCTCGCGGCCAATGACCTCGGGAATGAGCTTGGAGGTAAGCTGGGTGAGGGTGCAGCTTGAGGCCTCACGCTGGATGATGTCGGTCATCTTGCGTCGGATGGCCCGAATCTGAGAAGAGGCAGCGTAGGTGGTCTTCTTGACCTGGTTGGGTCGTCGCTTGGTGAAAGCGATGGCGAAGAGGCGGATGAGGTAGTCGTCGGTAGTCTTGACAGTGACGTTGGCCTCAATGAGGGTCTGCCACTTTCGCACCAGGGATCGGAGCTTGTCGGAGGTGAAGTCGAGGCCGTGGAAAGCAGTCAAGCAGTTCTTGCCCTGGACCTCGTCGACACGGAGGCGGACCTTGCGGAAAGAGTGGTCCTCATCCTTCTGGAGATCGGCGAGAGAGACCTCGAGGATACGGCCCTTGAGAGCGTCGTTGGCGTTCTTGAGACCGGTGGTTCGGTTCACGAGGGTCTTGCCGACACTGCAAATTTGTTAATCTCCCATTTCCCACAAACTTTTTTTTTTGCAGATTCGTCTCGCGGTCGTCACTCACTCTCGAACGTTGAAGGGGTTAGGGGCCTTTAAAAATCGAGTTAGCCAGGAGTTGATGTTGTGCGCGTTTCGAGATAACCAACCTTGATTGAGTACCAGTCCTTTCGGGAGAAGGGGTCGACTGTCTTCTTCTTGAGGCCCTTCTTGCCCTTGGAGAGTCTCTTGTTCCTGAAATAACGCGTAAGCCCATTGTATTCATCGCAAGCTGGTCGTCGTGGGTGATGCTCACTTTCCAACCGCCATGTTTGCTGGCTTGTGTGTGAACCGTTGGAGAGATGGTACTGGTAAGAGAGTGGTTGGAGGGGCGAAATAATTTCAATCTTTGTGTGCAGCAGCTTAGGTCTAAGCGACGAATTGATCGAAAAATCGCGGTCCAATTGTTCTTCCGGCGCTAAAGCTTTGTGGGATCGAAAAATAATGGATCGCAGGGCAAGAGCGTCCACATCACGTGCCTTCCTTGAAATTTCACTCTTTAGGGTACGTACTCGGGGCTAGCCACAGCCTAAGTAGCCAGCCAGCCACAGCCACAATGATCTCTTCTCAAGTCTGAGCTACCTTAGCCCGCGTGGACGACTCGTCCTACCAAGACTTTCTGCTTACGATGGATGCTGTCATTTGAGTCTCTATTCAAGGAACCGACAGGCAACGTATGTCATAGTTTATGCTGTTTCATCACATTTGACAACCAAGATTTATTACAACTTATGAATTATGGTATGTTTCAGGGAGATGTATATAGTTTTTATCTGTTTTCTTTGTGTTTTAGCAGACCTCGTCCAACTGGATCTAAGCGTCTTGCTTTCTGTCAATGGGTCCTGAGATTCACCCAGACCGTTCTGTTCTGTTGTTGGACCCCCTTCACTCCACCTTTTCAGAGGTGCAGCTATTCCTCATTCATGCATCGTGTACAGCTCGATTTCAGCGTCCGCTTCTCTTCTACCAAGAAGCCTTTCACCTCTATCCACCCAGCCTAGTCCTAGGGCGCAATCAGCCAGCCACAACCTCGTTTATTCCAGTCTCATATTGGTAAAAGGCCGGTGTGGTTGTTGGTTGACGATGCGTTTCTGATCCCTTGGTTCCAATGGCCTCGCTGTCACTTGCTCCTCTTTGAGCCGTCAGCGAAGGCCTTTTCTGTCTCGTCGACAGTGTGGCCGTGCTGGATGAGCGACTGTTGTTGTCGCCCTGTCGTAGTCATGTTGTTTTCCTTTTTCGGTTTGAGGCCATTTGGTTCCTCTCACCCTCTTTCCCGTCACATCTCAGTCATCAGAGTCCTTATTCATATCCTCTTGGTTGTCCCTGTTCCATTCCTCAAAGCTAGGAAAGCTAAAGTAATAGCCTTGACTGATGTTAGTATCGACTGGTATAAATATGTTGGTGTGAGACATACCAGATGGTGAGTCGACCATCACGACGGACTGAGTTCCTGGGCTGCTGGAGGGCGAATGCTCTCGGTCATCACGGCAGATTGAGATGGGCTCGGCGTGGCGTGAGACTGGGCCTGGAGTCGAGGCTTCTGGAGATGGCGAGTAGACGGCAACACGGTTGAGAAGATCAGTCGCTCTTTGTGGTGAGCCCGGGCCAGCGAATGAGCCTCTGATGGCATTTGAAGCAGTGATTGAAGGTTCCGTTGCACTAGAGCGAAGAAGTCGTGGTCTTGTGCGGTTGGAGTTTGTGTTTGAGGATGATGATGACGACGAGTCTCGCCTATGAGCTCTCACCGCGCTTCGACTGTCTCGTATGTAAGAGGCCATTGTGTATATCAGATGTGTTGATTGTTGAAGGTTGCAAGTTGTATGTGCATTAAAATAGGTAAGTTGGAAAGATGGTTTCACATTTGAGAAGAATAACAAGAAAGTGAAAGAGACTTTGGATGGACGGGAAGAGCTGGCAGTAGCTCGAATATGTATGTACATAGAGACAAATATCAAGGCATCCACATCCACATCCACACACATCAACCACCTCCTTGTGTACATGTGGTAGAGCTACCACGGCTGCGGTTAGACCAAGCGGGTAAGCTAAGTAAGGTAATGAACAAGGGTGCCATTGCATTGGGGACGTGTGCGTGCGTGTGCGCTGCACAGCAAGTCATCATTACAGTAACAACAAGCTTTGGAGTTGGCCGACATGGGTACCGTTCCCTCTCCGAGCCTCTGTACAGGTACCATCACGATCTTTTATAACCTCCATCGGTGAGTAGACTTGACCCTTGTATTCGGCCGTTCAGAGGTTAGAGTCTTTGGCATCACGCAACGATGGGTCCTCTATTCGTGTTCGAAAAAGGCCGCAGTCCAGGTACCAGACCAGACTCATATTCTCAGAATAGTAAGAGAGTCTTTTTTTTTCTGCTTGCCACTTGTCGGCTCATCGCTGCATCTGGTTGCCAACACCAACCCATCTTCCACTCGCTGGTCTTGGTGCGTGTCTCCTGGTGTATGGCCCAGAATCCTGGTCTTTGTCCCCCTGGGCCTTTTTGGCTAGGGACGCGGGCCCCGGGGACTGCAGGCGGGTTTCCCGTGCAGGCATATGCGGGGGTCTCCAAGCCTGTAAAGCCAGTGATGACTCGCCCTGACGAGGCACTCGTTTATTCGGGCCCAGCGGAACGTGGATGGTGGAATGGGTTGACCTAGGGCACTTCTGGCGGTAAGGCAAAATTATGGGAATACCTGTCGGAGCTACTGTCGCATTGCTACCCAACAGGTCGTCAAGATGCATACCGCTTAGGAAGACGAAACGCTCTATTGTTTGTTTTCCTTGGAATGGGATCAAACTTGAGGATTGGCATTGCATCTGAGTGAACTCTATATGTTATGTACTGCATCGATCGAAAGACGCGTCCATGACACTACCAACCCTCGCTTGGATACTAACTAGAACGAAAAGCCATCCGTTAGGCCAAGGCTCTCTAGCGTATCGGTCTCCTTTTTGATGGTGTATAGTCGAGAGCGTTTTTGGATGGGGGCTGGATCTTTGAATGTGGGTTGGGTTACAAGCAAGCAGAATGATGGATGTGTGATGCGATGCCATTTAAGAACGGAAAATCATTCACCATGATGAGCATTCTGTTAGACAATCATTACCTTGGCCATCACCTATGGATGGCCTTGTACCTGATGAACATGAATGAACCATGGCCAAGATCATTGATGTACACGTTAATCACCCGGGGCAATTAATCCACCCAGTTCGGCAATAAACATGGCACAACATGGAACTGCATGGCACGGCAGCAGAGCATAGCATAGCATGGTGATGGATCGTTGATCGTCTTCTCGGGCCGGGGTAAGCAACCTTCGGAGGTTTTCTTTTGATAGCAACAGAGTCAATTCAAGGCGACTGAGTTATCTACCTTAGGTACCTTACCTAGGTAGTTATCATTAATCTCTTCCGCCTCGTGCATCGCATCACATTTGACTGACCCCTTGCCCTTGCCCTTGCCCTTGGCTCATGCTCATGCTCATGCTCATGACCACAAGACGTGCTCTACACGTGTACAGACATAGACAGAAGCGACTCCATCCTCACACATACAATCATACATGGGTGCCTTATCATGCCGTACCGTACAAGGTTAAGGTTGTATCGGTGTTCGGTAAATGCTCCTTTAGTCGGATACGGTGTCGGAGTCAGAAAATATGCAATTACAACTCATTAAAAACGGTCCTTGTGACTTGTGACCGCCTCACCGATTCCATTCGGAACAATCTACGGATGGGCCTCGAAAGGTGGATTTAATCCATTCGGTACTATCCTGGCCATCCCCTTACTAGTAGGGTAGGCTTCCATTCCGAGTTCCACTCACTATCCAGTGTCAGTCACTCTACATCTTCAAATCTCGCAACCTCTACAGCATGCACAACCTTGCTAGCAACTCCCTCCCGGACGCGCTTAAACTCGAAAACGGATGCTCCCAACGGCCTTCTCTCACTGTCTCCAACCCATCAACTGCCCTGTATGACCTGCCACCTTGACCGGGTACCTCGTTCGGGACACTCAGCCCCAACACCACGGATGAATGGTACCGTGGCATCGTCGCCATCGTATGGATTCTGAGCAATCATCATCCTTCCCCCACGCAAAACGGCTCAGACCGACCTGCAGTAACCTGCAAACTTGGGAAGCTGCTGACGCACCCCGCGACGCTCAGCGCCACGTCCCTACTGTACATACAGCTTGAGCCCGTATCTATCCGGTTTCGTCTAATGATCGAAGCTGCCACAGTCATCAGTCTTTGCTCCGAACAGCACAATTGGATTGGATAGTACTCACTCTTCCCATATTCTTCCCTGGACCGCCTGGAGCTCTTCGGTAGTCATACGTTTACCAGTGGTAAAGTAGCCTTCATCTCCGTTAGTTTCCGCCTTGTTTATAGAGCTGGGGCCTCATCTCGTCTGCCGGCTCTCATTTCACTTACCAGCTGTAATCTTGGCGTCAATTTCGACTCGCGAGTCAGCGGGTATCAGTTCTTCTGGAAGCTCGACCCTCTCATGAATGGGGATCCTAGGACCATGTTAATCTCGCATCAAAAATTAACAAGACCGACTCATTATCAGCTTACCCTTGTCCGACAATCGCATCATGCTTCATGCTAGAGATATGTCAGCTGTCAATTCCTCGACGTGTTCGACTCTCAGGCGCTCACTTGCTCATGCTAAGCATCCTGTCAATCTTCTTGATGCCCAGCCAATGCAGGATATCCGGCATGAGAGCCTGGAATCGCATGTCTTTGACACCTGCAATGTTCTCGGTCCTCTTGAAATAGTCTGATGCGCGATCGGCTCCGCGTTTACGCGCGTTGTAGACCACTACCCCAGAATTAGTACCCCAGATCTACACGACGGCTGCTTCTCCGAATCTTGAGGGATTTCATCCTTACAATACTGGAAAAATAGTTAGATTTGCTTCTGTGAGTTGTGATCAAGCAGCACTTACCTTGGTGACCTCTCCCAACGCACGGCCTTCCTTTCTGAAGTAGATGACAACACCACTGCCACCATTCTGAGCCTCTTTGACGGCTTCCTCGATACCAAAGATCAAGTAAGGACGGCAAGTGCAGATATCAGATCCGAACACGTCGCTGCCGTTGCACTGCAGAACACGGTGAGTTCGGGGTCTTACAGAAAGTCGGGGAATCATACCTCGTCGTGGATTCGCAGAGACAGTCGAACCGATTCATCCGACATCTTGGCTGGATCTCCGAAGCAGTACACAGTGAGACCACCAATCGGAGGAAGGAATACTTTGATGTCTCCGCGGGTGATAAGCTTGAACGTGTTAGCAGTGAGATCTTCCAGCACGAAGCTTACTTACCTCTGGGTAACTTCCTCCTGTGTGCTCAAACAGGGAACGTCGTAGGGTGGCCTCGTCTTTGTCGTGTTAGTGGTTATACACCATCAAGCAATGGCTGTATACTTACCAATACCGAATCGCTCTGCCACACCGGGGAGGTACCAGACCTAGAGTGTGAGGTTAAACTTGCTTTGACTGCTTGTGTTGGGGACGTACTGGTTCAACGGCAAACTTGGTGACAGCCAGTTCACCCTGATCATTCAGGCAAACCTTGCCATCGGGTACCCTACTAAGGTCAGCTTGTATTACGAAAATAACGGAAGAGCGAACTCACAGTCGGCCGGCCTTGACACTCTCGGCAAGTTCAGGAAGCTGATAAGAAGGTTAGCGACAGCCGTTCCATCTCCCAGTCGATCCAGACACCGACCTTCATATGAGCCTTGGTGATGGCAATGGTCGGTCGAATATCGACTAATGAAACCATCAGTAACGCCGTTTTATCAATTGGTATCACAATCCATACCGTTGTCCTTCTCGATGGTGTCCTTGAACAGCCAAGGAGCGAGATGTCCCCAGGGGTCCATGGCAACAATCTTCTTGGGGTCTCCCCATTGAGGGAAAGGGCCAATGTTCGCGGCCGGCTCGGTGTTGGTGAAGTCGGGACTGTGAATACGCCGTTAGTTATGGATTTTTGGATTGGAGACAAAGGACATACCGGTGGTCGGCGTTCAATTCGTTGCTGGCCACGGCGAGGGCATAGTAGATCGAGTACGAACCACCACTAACAACTTGTTTAGCATGGTTTCCCTCGAAATGAACGGTGATTGATAACTCACTGGGCTAAATAACACGGTTAACGAATGGACACATCAGTAAAAGGGGACATAACAAACCTCCAACAGCTAAACGCAAGTTACGAAAGTCAGTAACACTAACTAACACACATGCATCACAGACACAGACGGACGGACGAACCATTACGACGTCGAATAGTAGAAGCAGCCCTTGAAACTACGATAGGGCCACGCTTAACAGGGTCTTGATTTCCCCAGTCCATGGGCAAAGGATTAATTCCAATCTGCTTGGGGTAAGTCCTAGTTACCTTGTGTGAGCGAACGGTGTTAGTGGAGCTTGTATACAGGAATCCTCACGTCAGAATAATACGCGATGTGAATCCTTGCTGCTGGCGCTGTTCGGATGAGGGAAGCGCAGGAGCTTTCAATTTGTCTCCAGAGGCAGCAGGAACTTCTACTGAAGGCGTTCCACCCTCATTGTCATCTTCACGAGAACCTGGCTCAAGGATGGTGTTCTTGCCAACATCTCCACCTGATTCTTCGATCGATCTACCAGAAAGCGATTCGACCGCGTTCACTAGAAGAGCCTGCGTGCGCTGAATCTCCTGTAGAGCTTCCAGCATGCTGGATTGCTGGTCGTCAGATGCCATGATGATGGCAGTAGACGTAAACGTGGGGTTGAGTGCGGATCTCTAGGGTAGACTGTATTGCGAGTGTGAGGTTGCGATATATGTCGCAGAGAAGTCGATATGACACAGTTCAAGAAAAGAAAGAGAAAGAGAGTTTACTTTTTCAGAAAGAAAGGAAAAGAAAAACATGGAGAGTGACCGGAACAACAGGAAGAGCGGTCGGAGAAAGTCATCCATGGTGACACATGCCTTACAACGGGGTCGTCATGAACAGGGGGAGCTGTAGCACATCCCCAACCTCCAAGGACTTCAGATAGTACATAAATTGTAGATATCAAGATCCGTATCACCCTAACTGTGCTACTCTAACCTTATATGTCACCTTCCAAGGTCAGCAGATCAACGGGAGAGGCCCCTATACAAACATAACTTTCATGTATCGGGCCGCCGTAATCGGGCTAGCTACCAAGTTGAGTAAATGAGAGAAGAGAGGGGAGCTCTCCCAACAAGGAGCAGTCATGATAGCCAGTGACTGACCTGCGTCTATCAGCATGGAATTGACAGTTCACGATTCGCTGATAAGAGACCACATGATAAGGCGGCACGTTCAAAAGTCTCAAGCCTCAATCTCCACCGACCTAAGTCATAGCCCAAACCAGGCCAGGCCAGGGGAGCTACCCCGCCAAATCGGAAGGGAATCCCCCTGCGTTTAGTCGTCGGCGCCCAAACTCAAGGTGAAGGTGAAGGTGACGGTGTAGAAGTTGATGGTCAGGAGAATATGCAAGGAAGACGCTTCCGTTGTTAGTGAGGTTGCCTCTGAAGTCATTGGTTAGTTTGGTTTGGTTGTTTGCTCATGTCTCTAACTGTTTTCTCGTTTACTCACATCTCTTTGTCTGTCAATGGTCACACCCAACACGCATTGATACGGCATCAACGAACAAACGACCCTCTAAAGTCACCCATGCAATCCTGATACCAATGTTCTTCAAGCTTATCCTCTTATCCTCATTCTTCTAGTCTGATAAGGATCGCCTTCACGGAATCCGGCGTTCACGTATAGAATCACGGAGGTCGCCGGGAGGCGGGGGCGGGGCAATCGGGCTTCTCTCCCCGCTTGATGCATGCACTAGAAACACGCCTACCGTCCAACTGCCGCACTAACAGAACCCAAAGCCGCTTGTTAGAGAGTGAGCACGTGCAATGCGACAAACAGAGTTTCTCTGCTGATAAGATAACGAACCAAACGAAACATCCCTGGCTGGCGCCTTGTTTCCTGGGACTGCCCTGGGCTGCCTAGTCCTAGTCCTAGTCCGAGCCCAAAGCTTGACATCAGCAAATTCACTATCATCTTTTTTCCCCGTTTCGCGTTTCTTCTCGTTCCGGTCGCGCACGAATCGCGGAACTTACAGACATCATGGGCAAGCGCAAGTCCTCAAGCAAGCCCATGGGGCCCAAGAAGGTCCGTCTTCCAAGCCGAGCCCTTGTCATTTCATTTTCGTATTCTCTGTCTTAGGGGGCCCTGGGGCTTTTGCGCTCACACTAATCCAGAAAGATCCCCTTCCTACCACTTTCGCATGCCTCTTCTGCAACCACGAAAACTCGGTTTCGGTCAAGCTCGACAAGAAGGCTGGTGTCGGACAACTCGACTGCCGTGTCTGCGGACAAAAGTTCCAATGCGCGGTCAACTGTACGGCTTCCACGGACTCTCCTTTGCCTCCGGCGCATCGGGTGCTAACTTTGCGACAGATCTGTCTGCGGCGGTTGACGTTTACGGTGAATGGGTTGACGCAGCAGGTCAGTCTCCAATATCCCTTCTACGACTCTATCGACAATCTCTAACAACTTGTAGATGCCGTCGCCAAGGAGGACAACGCGGAGCCTGGCTACACTGGCACATCTCGAGCAGGAGCTGGACGAGGTAACCGAACGGCGGTCGATGAAGACGACGACGAGCACTACGGAGAGGATGACTATTAATCGTTTCTTTTATGCGCCTTGTATCAATACCAAGACTTGTTACACCCATGACTCGACAACCCCTTTCTATGCGCCTTCGACTCAGGATATATAACCTTTGCGATGATTCCTTCCTCAGATGGTGTAAAATCTGTCTCCAAAGTCTCCCAGGCCAGGAACGATATAACTGTTGGTTGGTCAGCACATCATGTGTCATTCGGGTTGAGCATCCATACTTCTTCTCGTCGAGACCCTAGAAATGCCTGGTTAGCCAATACGTTGCGACAGTGTGTGCAGGCGGTGTGGCAAACCTCATCGATGAAAGCCGTCACGACCCTCAAGCGGGGGAACTTGGCAGAGAAGTTCTTGACACCCTCAGGGCTTGCAATCAAGTTGAGGAAGAGGATGTGTTCTTCGGGAACGCCCCTGGCCTTGAGGACTTGAACCGCCATGGTAGCAGAGCCACCTGTATATCTGCGTTAGACGGATTGCGACATGAATGACATGTGAAATGGGATATCGTCGTACCAGTAGCAAACATGGGATCCAGAAGAAGCACCCATCGGTCAGCAATATCCTCGGGCAGCTTATCGTAGAACAGCTTGGGCTGGGCCGTCTCCTCATCACGCTGGATCAAGATCTTTCCAATACGAACAGAGCGGCAGCAGTCGCGGAGACCCTGTTCCATAGCCTCACCAGCTCTCATGATGGACACTCCGCAGATCTTGCCCTGGAACATGAGACCATTGTAATTTCGGCCAATGGGTGTAGTGACAGTGTGCTCAATGACAGGCAAGTGGTTGAGACCCTCCTCAACTAGCAATCGAATGATTCGGTTGGAGTAAAAGATGAAGTCTGCTCTCTCGGTCTCCTTGCTACGAATTTTCCTGGACGATTCTCAGCTCCGAGGCTTAGGACGCCCAATTAGGGAAGTGAACATACGACAGTAGGGCAATGAGCTGAGGGGTCTGCGACAGAACATGGACATTGTCTAGCTTGACGTCGACAGAGACGGTGGCACTGGGCTTCTGCTGGTGAGTGCGGTATGAGGGACCGACGGGTGTCGTGTGAGTATCTTGAGTCTTGTCCGCCATGTTAGCTGTTGTTAGTGTTCGAGGTGGTGTAAGAAGTCAGCGGTGATGGCGGGGTTGAAGTAAAGTTCAGATATTTCCAAGTGGGCGAGCGGAGTACAATCGTAGGTATAACCTAGAAAGAGGTTGAAGAACAAAATAAGAAAGGTTCAGTATAGGATTGAATGAATTGAAAGGCGGAGAGAAGAGCTCGGCATCAATTAGAGCTCTCGAGGATAAGACAAGTCGGTAGCCCTGCATTGCATTGCATTGCCCGCTTTGCTATGCTCAATCGTATTGGTCTCGCATATGCTTAAAACGGGGATGCAAATCGGCCGGCGGCGCCTGGACCCTTACCCTACGATACTCACAAAATCGGAGGAGACCGCACTGCATGGCAGTGGCATGGGCGTGGATTCATGATAATAAACAGTGGAGATGAGAATGGATATCCAATGGTATAGAGAACGGAGATGGGATGAGAACAATGGAAGTGGCGCATTGGAAGTCATTCAACAAAATAGCACTCTATGCAATTAATTTATTTAATTGTTCTTTGTTACTAATATTATTCTATTTGAACGTGTTTCTGTTTTTAGCTCTCTCTATTGACAGCCGAAATGTGACTTTATGCTAAACACGGCACTGCTGCCGTAGCCTTTCAACGTTTCATTGATCAACCTGCCCTGACTGTGATTCAATGTGAAAGATCTTCAATTCTATTATTCATCTATTGCGCTCGCCTCCTTGAATCAGATTTCCTCTTATCATCCTTCTTTTTGCAACTGAACCCGTAGCAACGCGCCGCATGCCTTCTCCCTTGATTTACCAGCGTGTTAAACCAACTTGCCACTAACGGGTGCGACTTACCTCCACAACCGTCTGTATCGTCATCATATCTTATCCCTTCAACTTCCACAGACCTCATTATATGATATAAACCCACCACTCCAACCGTCGCGTTCTGCTCATAGAACTTGAGCACACTATGGCGTCACGGAACAGCTCAACAGCGTCAGTCCCGCGCAAGGTGGTGACGTATGGCAAACCTGTGCGCAAGCGCTTCATGCGCGACGCGATGCCATTCAAACCCACCGAATCGTTCACTGCACCGAGCAGCCGCCCTGACTCTGCCGCACCTGTCGCGAAGCCATCAAAACCGTCGCTACCGAGATCAACATCCGAACCAACGCCAAAACACGTTGAGAAGCGACCCGATGAACCCGCTCGCGCGAAAGCCGGAGATGATCAGAAACCAAAATCGCGCGATGCGACAGACACGAGAAAAAGAAAGCGCCTAGAAGCTGCGCCTTCCGAACCAATTGAAGAAGAAACAAAACCTACTGCTCCAAAACAACTGAAGTCTACGACTACACTGCCAAAGCGACCTGTAGCTGGAGCCTCTGAAAATGAGAACAAAGCCAGCGCCCCTCCTCCACAACTACCAGTTTCAAAGAAGAGTCCAAAAAGGTCGAACGTTCGATCTAGACTCCTCCCCCGAAGCAAATCCGATATCCCAACCTCGAAACTCAGCTCAAGTGCTGCGCAATCAACGGCCAAGGCCCGCGATGACGAATCTCCGAGACCGAAGAAACGACGACTGCGATTGATTGATAGGTTGGCGGCTCAGCGGGCAGAAAGTTCAGAGTCGGAAGACTCGGCTTCTGAAGAAGAGAAGCCCATGCAGCAATTGCCCCCGAACAGCGGTACAGACAGTGGACGCGCGACCCCTTCTCAGCAATCACAAAACAACTCCCAGAATCATTCTCAAGACTCTACGATACGACCCAGAAATCGCACCACGGTCGCGCTCAAAAGCCGAAGAGTCAAGTACACGTACGGCCAATCTCGATCCATCCTGACCGAGTCTTCCTCGAAGCTCAGTGAGCCCAGCCAGGAAAAGCCCATGACGGTGGAAGAAGAGCTGGATGCGCTTCTCGCTACGCCGCCAGAACCCGCCAATGCCGACCCATTTGCCATGGACGACGATGACAATATTGACGGAGACGGAGGTGCTCGACCTGCTATCAAGAGCGTGCACGAACTCCGAAGAGCCGGAGCCAACAATCGCTTTGCCGATGAAATGGAGGACCTGCTTGCTCGGATAGGAACCCCTGGAAGCTCTCCATCTTCATTGAGGAGAGGGGCGCTCCTAGAGCTTTCCCAGAAGCTACAGAACAAGGAATTCATCAGTCAATTTCGGGATCACGCAACTCGCGATAAAGTCGCGGCAAACATCGGTCAAGAACAGGATATTATTTGCGGATTCGCCTTGTCGGCTGTTCTCGTCACGTTTCTCCATTTCAGCCCTGCAGCCCACCTCTTGCAACAGCTTGTTGATGATGGACTGGGACAAATGCTCTCTGTCCTTTTACGGATGCCCGAAGACATTGATGAACTCGCTTCGGGGAGACTGAGGCTCGCCAAGACGACGAGAGCCTCTCTGAGCGAGGTCAAGACTACGCTCAAGAAGATGAATATCTGGCATGGTCGTCGCCCTGAGAAGCTCTCGCCTCAAACTCTTGCACTTCAGCTGCTGAACGTTCTGTGTCAACGCATCGATGCGATGCACTCATCGGTAGTTGTCAAGGACGTGGAGAACGATCTTGAGACCGTCCTATCCCATTGTACGAGTACAAACCCCAGAACCGACGCAGCGACTGCCCTTGTCATATCAATACTGGAGTCTCAGTCAGGACTGGCGATGAACGATGCGAATGAAGTCACATGGATTGCGCAGCAATCGCACCAGGTGGCGCGTATTCTCGAGAACAGCCTCCAGCAATGGCCAGACAAGCTTGGAAACATCGAAGTAGCTATTCTCAAGCTCTCAATCAACATGTCCAACACGACACACGGTGCGGCTGCCTTCAGTGATGCGATCCTGTTGTCGAGTCTATCGAAATGCATTCTCTCTGGCTTCAAATCGGCCCTGGACGCTATGAGCAACCGACGTCTGAAGGAGGAGACTTATGATGGGCTTCTTCTAGTTCTCGGTATGACGATCAATATACTAGAACACTGCGCTCCCGCACGTGAGAACATCACCGGGGCGCAACTGGATGGTCTGGTGACAGTATACTTACAGAACCAGGCCTTGATGCTAGAGGTGAGGTTGCTCGTCAATGTCGACAGATCTGAAACTAACAATCATGTTATAGGCCGACTCTGTAGAGAAATCGAAGCTGAGCGTGGCATTTGGCTACCTTTCCGTCTTGCTGGGTTACTTGTCTCTGGAAGACGCAGCCCGGCAACGACTTAAGGAGCAAGCGGGAAGCGAGGGACTTCCAGGTCTTATTGGATCGATCAAGGAGTTCATCGGAATGTACAGATCAGTGGACAACAAGGTGACGGAGCTGGAAGGGCTCGTCAACGAATTACAACGACTGCGACGACAATAGTTGATTATATACGCATGGGCATGACTTGAGCTAGGGAACGTTTTTGGGACAATGTTCTGAGTATGACTCTCCCTTTTTACTTTGTATGACGGATGGATTACAGCCACTTCTGGCATATTTGCTAGCGAGAGAGTGTATAGATGAGAAGAAGAATTGATACCAGGTCACTTGAACGATCATATTGGCTGATACTGACACTCTCTCATAATTCTGCGACACATGCATGATCTGAGGCTCTTGTTGAAATTTATTCCCGGTGTGATTTAGTGCATACTTGTTGGGTTATGCATCAAGTGAAGAAGACTAACCCTGCAAGTTCACGCGTCACTTACAGGGGAGAGGCAGCACAGTTACGTATCTTTATCTGTATGATGCAAAGGGAGGGGGAGGGGCTCCCGTTCCTGTTGGAGGAGAGCACGCACTGAGCAGAGAAGATCCGGTGGGGGGCTTGCAGTAGAGTTACAGTTCCTGCCCATCAGGAATGACCTTAGTTTGGAAAAGATGGGCTCCTTTTTACTGCATTCAAGACCTGTAGCATCTGATTTGATTTGATTTGATTCGACTGACATGAGTACGTGCACCTAAAGTTCCAGGCCCTCTTATCTTATACCAGCTGAGGTACCATACCTACCACTAAAGTTACACATCATACATTCACCATCGTCATCAACGAGACTCTTTTTTCTCTCTCTTTTTCTTCTTCATCTATTTTTCCCGCTGTTGGTCTCAGTTTCTGTACGCCCAATTTTTACTCCTTTCGAGCGTGAATACTCAACTTGAGGTTTAACAACGAGAATACGCAGTCCAGACGCTGTTTCACTTTTGATTCATTGCCACTCAGCATTGTTGCACGATGCCTTCTCCCAAGCAAAGAAAGGTCGCTATTGTCGGCAGCCGCTCAGTCGGTCAGTATTTCTCAATCTCTTGATCAGTTGTTCAACAGATGGCGATTTAATTCCGAATGCTCAATTACGTTTGCTGACGATGGATCACAGGCAAGTCGTCTCTAGCGGTACGGTTCGTCGATGGCCACTTCGTCGACAGCTACTATCCCACGATTGAGAATACCTTCAGCAAGATGATTAAGTACAAGGGCCAGGATTACTCAACCGAAATCGTCGACACAGCGGGTCAGGACGAGTACAGCATTCTCAACTCGAAGCACTTTATCGGCATCCATGGCTACATGCTTGTCTACTCAGTATCATCACTGCCGTCCTTTGAGATGGTGCAGGTCATCCGCGAGAAGATTCTCAACCACCTCGTAAGTACTCTCAGAACCCGACCAGACAAGCAACTCGTGAGCTGACCAGAAAAATACCAGGGCACCGAGTCGGTCCCCATCTGCATCGTCGGCAACAAGAGCGACTTGCGCCCCGAGCAACGACAGGTCACACCCGAAGACGGACAGAAGCTCTCGGAGAAGATACAATGCGGCTGGACCGAGGCGAGCGCGCGATACAACGAGAACGTGGGCAAGGCTTTCGAGCTCTTGATCGGGCAGATTGAGAAGTCGCAGAACCCAGGCGAGGCTCCGGCCAAGAGCAATTGCATTCTCATGTAAAAGACAATTGTGAATGGTGTTCAAAGAGGCATATCATTTTGCCAGACAATCACGATCACGATGATGACGATCCAGTCTTCTCAGGCCGCGGGGCGGTCCACAAGTTCTGACCAGGCCAGGCCAGACCAGGCCGTCCCACGACGGGTGACAGTCACAGGGGTCACAAGGTGATTCGGGGCTGAGACAACAAGGGCCTTGAATAGGGTGCCCTCTTTTGGTTAAATTCTCCGTTGCTGTCTATCAGAAAGGGTATCAAGTCGTACCATGTCGATTTCTACCAAACTTTGGTGTGTTATTTTCTTTCTTGTTTTGCCTGCCTTAACAACTAGAGTACATGGTTCAAATCAATGGAGGGGTCCAGGTCAGGCCGGGTCAGGTCAGGAGGTTTTTGGGATTGGTTGCTTACTTACTATTAGAAAATTTCTGTTGTACTGCGCTATCTGACTCTGACTGACTGACTTGGTGAATGTCCTGATTCATGACCGCTTGAATGACTGACTGATAGAGGAGATTGAATGACACTTGCAAGGATGTAGAGAGCTGCAACTACCGATACGTACCTTGTTTGGAGCGAGTTTCTAGAACAAATCCAAGGCACCAGGTTCTCGGTGTCGTTGATAATTGGTTCCCAACAATTCGTGATGCCTTGTTAGTTTGGCTAGTTCTTTAGTCCCTCCCTCCATGAGCGGTCTGTTCTTGTACTGCCTCTTGTACTGTACTGCGAGATCCAGTTTAGACGGGAACTTGACTCTATCCGGATGGTCCCGCTATACAATGCAATAGAGTATCATCCGGACGCTATCAAGAGATCCGCGGTCTTTGTTGTGGTACTGACGTTGCGCCATGTGGTTGTGACTGACTTGGCATTGCTGTATGTGTTTGCTGTGTTTACATTTTCAAGTATCCGTAAATAATAGTACTTAAATATAGTGGCTGGTGTTGTTCAAGCTTTAGTTGATGGTAGCATTTCTCAGGCTGTGCCCTTCCCGTGATTTGACTTTGAATACGCTGTGAGACCCTGGAGAGAAGGAGGGACGTGGTACGTGTACCACCATCACAGCCTCACTCACAGGCTCAGACTGAATCACTCACTCACACCGCGCCGAACTCTTTCTTTGTTCTTGACCTTAATCACTCTTTGTCACAGCCAAAAAGACAACGCCAAAACAATTGCTGCACTTGATAACTCATAGACATATAGAACTTCCTCTCTGTCTTGCATTTTAAACACTCTCTCTTCGCTCCTAAACTCAACCTTCTCATCCCTCGTCTTAATTCATGAAATAATCAACCACTATGTCCAACTCGGATCCTTGCCCCTTCTGCGGCTTCAAGCCGGGCCAAGGCGAATATGAACTCATTCTAGTGTGTCTCTCACCGATCTTTCTTACCGCTTGCGTTGAGTTTAGCTGAGACTAAGACTTTGATCCCCTTGACTAGCACATAGAGCAGCAACACCCAGACGCTGACGGCTCACCACTCACCACCTCCGGAGATCCCATTTCATGTCCAGAAGGTTGCGGTGAGATCCTTCAGCTGGACGAGCTAGCTTATCATCTTGAGCTTCACGAGCTCGAGGCGCAGGACGCCACCCCCGAGCCAGAGCCGGAACAGACTCCCACTGTGGCTCGGAAGCCGGAGCCGTCGACTAGAGAGAGAGAGCGGAAGCACAAGAAAGTCAGCGCTATCCAGGCGTGGAAGGACCTCTTTTCTGGGCGTAGCTCTCATGGGAAGGAGAGTAGCAGTAGCAGTAACAGTAGCAGGACACGGCACAAGACCAAGAGAGAGGATGCTGGTATCATCAAGACTACCAGCAGAGGCTCTTCAAGTCGCGATAAGAATGGCGAACGAGCTAAATCCAACGTTCGTCTGGGGGTGAGATATTGCATTATTCTTGATACTGACTATGTGGTGACTAACACGAGAGTAGAAATCTGATCTTGGCAGGTTTGCGCATGAGAGAAAGATGCCCCCTTGGCTTGTAGACCTTCTGAAAGATGAAGGCCAGGTTGTCAACGATGGTGAGTCCCATCTAGTAATGTTCCCCAGCAGTAGCTAACGACTTCAGGTGTTCTGCCTGTTCTAAGTCAGCTTTTGGAACAAAGTCCTTCAACACAGTATGCCTACCTGTGTCACCCTGCGGTACAACATGTTTCCAAATTGAGACGAGAAGGCAAGTCTACAAATGCTGTGTAATCTGAGGTGTCTGACAGTTGCAGGCGGTTTCTGCGGTTATCGAAATATCCAGATGCTCACTTCAAACATCATCTCAGCCCAGAGAGAAGGCTCGAATCACTTTGGACGCACATTTCCCTCCATCTTCCAGATCCAAGATCTCATTGAGAATGCCTGGGACATGGGTATCAATGCCCAGGGAAGGGCGGAAACCGGGGGCGTAAAGGGGACGAGAAAATACATTGGCACACCAGAGGTACATAATCCTCTCTACTTGTATGGAGTCAGGTGACTGACAGGAACCAGGCACAGGCTGTGTTTCTCAGCTTGGAGATTCCGTGAGTTTACCCATTATGAGAAAGTCAACAGGCAGCTAACAGTAACAGTTGCTCCGTTCAAGCATTTAAGGATCAGGAACGCGGCAAGTCGAAACAACGTCTCTTTGAAGCTATCGAAGGATATTTTCATGGAGGTATCACAAGCGTCGAAGATCGAATTCATCATACGGAACTGCCACCAATCTACCTACAACACCCAGGTAAGAACATCTCAAACCACCAGCATGCTTACCAGGCACTAAATGTAGACAGGACACTCTTTGACAATCGTCGGCTTCGAGAGGCAAATGGACGGGCAGGCGAATCTATTGGTATTCGACCCTAGTTTTCGTGATTCTACAAAGATCCGAAACCTCATCGGCAGAACAGTTCGTCAGAAGCCCTCTTCAATCGATAGTTTCTTGCAGCCATATCGTCGTGGCTCTCACTACTTTCGCAAGTACAACCAATATGAGGTGCTCTAGTAAGTAATCCGGTCCTTGACTGCATCTAACCTTTATACTTATAAGACTCTAGTCTCACCAAGTACGCTGCTGTATCGTAATCCTCTACAATCTACTGCTGGTCTTTGAACCAAGCTTGAAGTTTGGCCAGAGCTCGACCACGGTGGGAGATCTTGTTCTTTTCCGCCTTGTCCATCTCAGCAAAACTATGAGAGTTAGCAGAGATCATCATTTGGGTTCAAACTTTACATACGTTTGGCCCTCGTGCTCAAAGACGGCATCCCATCCTTTTCACATGTCAGCATGTATTCTATGTATTCTTTTCTCAACACATACCGAAATCGGGAGGTCCTCGGGGAGGCACAATCTTGCCCTGCATCATATATCAGCACAGTCACGGTGAAAGAACTCGAGAGTTTCTTACTGGGCATCGGCCTTGGAAGAGGATGACCTTCTCGCCAGGTCCAGCACAGTACCCAAAAGTGCAGACAGCCTCAGCGGACTTATCAGTGTAAGCAGCCAACAGGTTGTTCAAGCCCTGATGGCCGATCGAAGTCATAAACCACTTGCTTTACAGCCATCAGCATTCGTATTTCTCAGCGTTCTAGCATCAACTCTCACATGTACGCTCCAGGAAGACCGCTCAGAGCATTATAGCACAGAGCTGTATCTTCAACCAGGACGGGGCCTTTCACCTGTATTTTATTGTTAAGCACATTCATTTTCTTTACAGCATTTGTAGGATAGATAAGATAGTTACGTACCAGATCAGCAGCTCTACGGCACTTTGACTCTGTAACCTCCTCAAGTGTGCCCTGGACCTCCTCGAGATCGATAGATTTACTCAGAACCTCGATTTCAGGCTCAAGAATGGCCTTGACCTCGCGCAACTTGTTGGCGTTGCCGGTGATGAAGTTGACTTTGTGCGCAGCCATTTTGACGTCGTTGAAATTTGTAAAAGTCTAGAGCTTGGAAACAAAGCAAAGCAGAAAATTCACCGACTGGATATGACTTTGAAGGAGAGATAGCAGCTGGAGACAATCGAGCTGAACAATAGGCTCCCCACTATGACTGTGATTGTTTGTACATGAAAATATGCACTTATTCGGCACGGAACCACCAGTAGAACGATTCATGTCAATTCATAGCCTGCCCTAGGCTTGCATCCAAAAATCTATTTTCACCAACCGAGTCCACGCTTCAAAATATCCCAGCCAAAGACTTTTGTAGTAACCCCCTGTAGCAAATATCCGTCCCTTTTGGTTGTCTGTGAAGTTTGGTCATTCCTCGCTGTTGTCCTTCTTCCACTGATCAAGCCAAGCTACTATGCGATCAACGTTTGTGTCCATCTCATCAGATGTGTTGCTAGTCAACTCAATAACAATCTCCTCATCGAAAGCCTCATGGGCTTCTTGGAGGAGAACCTCCATGATCTCAGAGTCGATGTTTTCTTGGAGCTTGGACTCGGGGTAGTTTCTGTAACACATAGTCAGTAAATGTATGGTTCTCTGCTCAAAACCAGAACGAAATGATAAGAGCTGTGTAATGAGCAACATACCTTGTGATAAGACGATCGTAGTGTGTTGACGAGTCAACTCGAAGCACAACAACCAGATCTATCCAGCTCTTGGGGAAGAGATCACAGGCGTGCCAGTCAATAATGCATCCACCAGCCTTGACATCGTCCTCAATAGCATCTAGCAACTGTAATAATATCAGCACAAATTCTCAGCATACCCTCCAGAACTTGATTTCATTCCAAATCTCAGTTCTGAATGATATAATAGTCTCTCACCTTGTCCTCATCCACAATAAAGCTATGAAACTCATCGCTCCAGCCCTCATGGCACTCCTTGTCCTTCACAACTTGGTTCACTGAGAGATGGCGCAGTCCAGTTCGCTCCGCGAGAGCCTCACAGTGAGTCGTCTTTCCGACACCGGGCGTGCCCGTAATAATGATATTAGGCAGTTTTCGTGTGGTCATTTTGGCTGCTTTGTCGTCTGGATATGGTTGCAGAGATTGATGGGCTCTTCAGTTTGGGTAACCTTCAAAATGTTGCTATGCAGAGAAATTCCATGCAACTAAAGAGGCGATAGATTCGATAGTTGCATAACCACTTCAACAATCTACAATCACAGATTATCATCAATGGCACATGAGTAGTGAATAAATAACCACGATATCGCTTCGTACTCTCATCTCTCGGACTCTCCAATACAGCCGTATCTCATCTTACAAAATAGAGTCGAGTATAAATATCCTCACCGGCTTGCGGAGAGGTGAAATATGTTCTCGCTCAGTATACATGATGCCGTCCAGATTCAAGGAGAATACCCTCAGATCTGTTTTCAGTTACACGCCGCCATTAGAAAATTCGACATCAAACACCCTGAAAATGCGGCTTCTATCCCTTATGTGCGTTCGAAATGCCTAATCATTATCCCCTACTGCTCTACTTCCACCTCATCAACGCCGGCGAGCTCATGATGTTGTGGCTGCCCGTCTTCGTAATCTTCGCCATCAGTATAGTCGAACTTCTCTTGCTGCGCAATGGCTTGTGCCGACACGATCTCGGCTAGCCTCTTGAGACGAGGAGTTTGGAGCCCTGAAATATGTTAGCTTTGGAATGTCTGTGCCAAAGGGTTCGTGTTACTTACAAGAAGGAGTATAAGTCTCGAGTGCTGTGATGACTCGAGGCTCAGCAATCTCATAAGGACCACTGTCGTCCATATCGACGGCTTGTAGGAGAAGAACATCGCTCTTCTCCGTCACGCGCGAGGCAACAGCCTTCATGATCTCGCCATTGATAGGCTGCTCGTAATCGGCAACCAAGTATTGGTTGAGCAGCTTCTGGATCTGGTTTGGTGATAGCCTATAGTCATTAGTATGCGAGTTAGGCCAGATGGGCATCAGTACTTACATCCAGCAGATGTCCTGAATGATTTCTATGTCATTCAGGGTGGCCTTCTTGAGTTGAAGAAGCTTGGTTGCTTGCTGTACAGTTGTTAGCCTTGTCCTTGAAGTAGTGAGTAGGTTGAACTTTACCATCAGATGCTCCAGCTGGAGCGTACCCTCGGGCATATCGTGGCTCTTGCACCACTCCTCGATACGGGTGATGTTGTAGTTGATCTGGAGACCACGCTTCCATGAGAGGAAGTTTCGTCGCATGAGCAGGTCATTGAACGCTGTCACACCCACCAATCTCAGAAGCTCAGTGATGGTCTGTGTAATGATGGAGTCCTCTAAGTAGTAAGCCTTCATGGCACGGAAGACGCTGTTCAACAAGCTAAGCAGGTTGTCCATGCTATAAGCGGGGGTTGAGTTCGATTGCAGGAGCTTGCCCAAGAATCGACTGCTTTCGTTGGTAACAAAACCAGGGAGAGACTGGGACTCGATGATGGCGGGAATAATCATCTTATGCAACTTCTTCTTCAACACCTTCATCCAAGTGTGGTAGATGTTAAACTCCAAGCTCTCAAGATCATGCTTGACGATCTCGAGAAGACGATCGTACTCATAATTGTCCGACTTCTGAGCCTCATACCAGTCCTCGGCGAGGAATACAAATGACAACATCTCGTGGACGTTGGATAGCCAGAAGGCGCCGGGGTTGACAGCCTCGTCGCCATCGTGCTGCATCACCTCCTGTTGGATGGACTGCATCACGTTGGCCAAGAAACGTTCAGACTCCTTCACAAAGCCGTTGTTCCACATCTCTGATGTAACCAAGTTGATGAGATATGAAGGGAAGAGCACCTCCTTGTCCGAAGGAGGAGGAGTGCTGCTGGGTGAGGGGATCTTGAGGTTTCGGATCAATCCCATTGTTACCTCCTCATTGAGGCCATCCTCGTCCGCGAGAAGCGTCTCAAGTTCCATCTCGATATTATCAACGCCAGGTAAGAAGGTCGAGCCAGAAAGGTTCTGACGATGCGCCGTGCCAGTAACAGCCATGGAAACCGGCCGAGGGTTATAAGTACCGCTAAAGCGATCAAGCTCCCGCGGTTCCGCACCGGCACTCCGACGCTTAGGCTTTTTGGACGAGACGAGGTTGATGAGACCAGAAGGCGCCGAAGCTGCAGGGGTGGTACCGTTGGCAAGCTCTCCGTTGATGGGGGCATTCCTTCGAGCCAGCTCGAGGGCATCCCGCAGAGACTCCAGCTCCTGTCTGAGACTCATGTTGTCCTTCTCGTGTTGTGTGCTTGACCTTCTGGCTGTCTCCAGCTCTGAATTTGTGGCTCGCAGAGATTCCCTGAGTTCTCTCTCCTCCTCTTGCATCCTCTTGATGTTGGCGGTTGACTCGTCGAAGGCAATCTGGAGCTTCTTCATCTCGTCTTCCATAGCTTGTAGGCGGGCGACCGCGATACCTGCTTGGTTGGCTTCTGTCTGAAGCTCCTTGGTTCGGGCCTCGAGGTCGTTGTGTCGCTTCTTCCAAGACTTGATCTGTCCTTCGTAATTCTCCACTTGCGAAGCCAGACCCTTGTTCTTCTCCTTCATTGAGCCCAAAGACTGTGTCAACTCGACGACCTTGTTTTCAAGCTTGTAAGAAATCTGCTTCAAGTCACGAGCCTCCTCACGAATCTTCTTATAGTCCTTTCGAGCACTTCTTCCGCGCCACAAGCTCTGGATGAGGACAACCTTGTTGCGGTATTGTCTCCAGGCTCGCAATTGTCTTCTCGATCTCCAAGAACGCTGGATCTTGAGAGCAGCATTGCCGAGACGTTCCTCCATAATGTTCTTTCGTCGAAGATATCCCTTGGCAGCAGACTCGAAGAGAACCATGTCTTTCCTGATTTGTTGATAGGCCTTGCGTTGCTTAGATCCCTTCCAGACTCGCTGAATGGTAGTAGCAGCCCTGATAGTGCGAAGCTCCTGGACCTGTTTCCTGGCCTTCCATGACCTGATAGCAGCCTGGGTCATAACGATGGCCTCACGGGCCTCAAGGTAGCGTCGTCGGTAGTATTTGGCTCTCAAGTTCTTCTGGATCATGATAGCACAGTCGTTGAGTCGAGTTGTGCGGAGGTTCTCCAGGAAAGCAAGCATACCAGCACGGAAGAAAATCTTGGTGAGACCAAGCTGATACTTATCCATACCCTTGCTGCTACTTGTTCCGAGAGCCTTCTTAAGGATAGCATCGGCCATCTCGCGGATCTCCGAAGTCCACTGATCAGACTTCACAAGCATGTAGTAACGAAGGGCAAATTCCTCATATGTCCAACGAGTAGGGTAACCAGCACAACTAATGCGAACCGTCTCGAGGACACCACAAGCACGAAGCTGGCTAAGAACCATGGGTCCCTCGAACTTCCATGCCTCTTTGGCTTCATTAGGCTTGATACATCGGATGTAGTGGACATCAGTATTGTTGATGGTGCTCATAAGCTCGATAAGCGAAGATCGGAAAATACCTCCCAAAGTGGGCTTCCTGTTGACAGCCACGCCGATCTTCCTACCAGCGGCGGGCTTAACGGAGCTGGAGCTTGATGAGGCGGCATCCTTTTCTCGTACAGCTGAGGCGGCATCAAGAACAGTCTTCAAGAACTCGTTGCTTGTGGCACGCAGGACAGCCATGTGCTCGTCAGGGACGGTATCTCGGTTCTTCTCAATGAAGCCCTCAGATTCGTAGGTGACGTCGATGGCATAATGGCAAACGGTGAAAGCAGACTTGCCGAACCGAGGCTTCTTGTAGAACTTGTGCTTGTCGGGAGTAAAGTTGTGATGAAGCTTAGTAACGAACTGCTCATCAGAACCCATGGGGAGACGAGACTCTTCATCAAGCAGAGACAGAATACCCATGCGACCCTCAATCAGGTCGATACAAGGCTGGTTGTCGGAGAAGTCGATGAAGGTCCAATCGATCTCTTCCCTGAGGTACTCCTCCTGCTCCAGCTTGAAGACGTGCTGGTTGAATTCCTGCTGGAGCTTTTCGTTGGCATAGTTAATACAGAACTGTTCGAAAGAGTTCTTGGCGAAATGCTCGAAACCATAAATATCCAAAACACCAATAAATGAGACAACTCTATTCAACACTTCCTCAGCAGCCAGACTATGGTTGATGATATCCACAAGCCAGTCGAACAAGCTTGAGTAGATGAACTTGGCAACGGAATCTCGAACAACAATGGCTTGCGCTTGGCTGAGGTTGGAGGTGATCTTCTCGCCACGGGTAACGAGCTGCTTCTTGACGATCCATCGGGCGAACTCCTCGGCCTTGACACCGAGAATGGCACAAGCACGCTCCAATGAAGGTTCGTTGGGTGCCAAAACACTGTCGTTGCGCGATGCAGTGATCTTCACATTTCCGAGATGCAGAAGACCAGCCAACAGCTTGAAGATGTCAGCTTGCTGGGCATCTGTGACACCAATTGTCGACAGGGATTTCTTGGTAGCCTCGAACTCGGCCTTGTCGTCCACGCCATCAATTGTTGGGCAGTTTCCTTGGTTCAGGTACTCGAACTCCTCGATAGGTAGCAGGTTAAGCTCCTCGCGCTGTTGGTCTGACGCACCAGCGACGAGCTGGTAGAAAATGTGGTAGTTTCGCTCCTTGAGGGGCTGGAAAACCAATCGAGAACGCTCAAGAAGGTATGTCCTGATCTTGGCACCGATAATATTTGTGTGCTCGTCAAACATAATCTCAATGTACTTTCCGAATCGCGACGAGTTATCGTTTCGAGTCGTCTTGGCGTTACCGAACGCTTCCATGATAGGGTTAGTCGCAAGGATCTGCTCTTCCGTCTCGCTCATGGACTCGGCTCCTCGTTTGGAGCGTCCACCGGGGTTGTCGGGCGATTCTCTGGTAGCGAAGTATCGCATGATATACTTGGCGCTGACAGTCTTACCAGCACCAGACTCTCCAGAGACAACTACTGTCTGGTTCTTCTTGTCGCGAACCATGTCCCTGAACCACAGGTCAGTATGGAGTGGGGAAGGCATGTGAAGATGCGGGCTTACATGAAGGCTTCCTCAGCAATAGCGAACAAGTGGGGAGCTTGTGTCGCTCGCTGTCTTCCAGCATAAACCTGTACCATGCCCGGAACGTAGAGCGAATCGACTCGTGCGAAGGGGTTGGTGGCAATGAGGACGATACCACTGTAGGTGTAGATCTCCTTTTGCAAGTATCGTAATCGAATCGCCTGTAGAACTACAAGGTATCAGCACCATTGTCCAAATACCACGGAAAGTAATCTTGTGTTTGGACATACCAGCAGGTTCGTTAAGATGGGACAAATTTGTAAGATCGTCGCTTGCTTCGAGCATTGTCGGGTTCATCAAAGGAGGGAGAGACGGATCGTTACCGCTCTGTAGGGCCTCCGCAGTGACCTCGATATCTTTGGTCTAGATGAGAAACATCCTGTCAGTTTCGTGATCCCAAACAGTGAGCGCCAATAGCATCATTGAACGCAGTTAGAGAGAAAACTCACGTCGCCATTCTCAAGCTGGAAGGTCAGTTTGACTTTGGACCCATCAACGGTCTTGTTGATGAGCTCTGAAGCAACCCAACCCTCAGCAGTGTCTGGCTGCCAGGCTCTTGTGCCAACCTCGTAGGCCGATGCCATGATGGCGATATGACCGGGCGCAAGGCCGGTATGTGAAGGAACAGGAGGTGAATGCGACTATGTCGAAGCGGTATCGGCGATTATTGTGCTAAGGGGCTGAATGGCGGTAGGAGGCAGACATTCGCCAGCAGCTGTTCGTAGATGAAGCAACGGGGCCTGCCGGGGAAAGATTGTGGTCGTCAAAACGCCGCTGATGACAAATGCAAAGAGGCGTTATGCGATCTTGAATCGTTTAAAGTGTGCGGTCGAACGGTTGTTGGATGCTTTGCGCAAATCGTCCAACTTTTGGGTACACCGGTGCCCCGTAATCCAAAGTACGGTGGGTGAAGGTGGGTGGTAGAAAAGGACCCTGAACCTGAAAAGGGCGGGAGAAACGAGCTTTGTACACTCTTTTTCTCACTTCCCACACAAGGACACAAAGAACTAACTCGCCGACAAAAAAGAGGTCGAGCAAGATTAGAGAATCCGCACAAGGCAAAGGCAAGGCAAAAGGAAAGACCTTGAAGAGTAGGTCAAAAGTTATGGATGCGGTCGGTGATGCCAGCACGCGTTTTGCTCCTGATTGAAAGGGCCGGATGGACACTGCAGCCGCACGGGGCACGTTGGAGGTCGAGGAACAGGGGGGCGGGGCATTCGCCGTTAGAGGAATGCAGTACCTAGGGGCTCAGCCATTGGTATTTCTACAGTGCATCACTAGCATCGAGATACCAACCACGATCGATTTAAATACCTACAACTCTACGACGCCCACCCAGCCTTTCAGTTCCTGGAAGCTCCTGTCTTCAGAAGAATTAGGGGCTCTCTCTGCCTGGACACTCCCGCGAGCCAATGAGGGGCCGACCCGTCCGCGTCTTCGACCTTGTCTTGTCTTCCTTGGATCTGGGGTGAGAAACAAGCGAAGGACAAATGCATGCATTTTCTTAGAGATAGCTCTTGGAATTGAGTCGACACTGTGTCTGTCATGCTTTACCATGTCACGGAATTGGACATGAACATCAGTCCGTGGTGAGACTGTGACTGTCACTGAGGACAGATACAAAGGAATTATTGGGGTTTGTTGGAGCTAATGCTCAAAAAATGTTACGCCGCAGGCCCCTTAATTGACATTTGACGATCAAACGCTCCGAGATCGAAATCGCACTGTCTTGATACAACTTCACCGACTGTATTTGCAGTAACGATCACAAAAGCTGTGCATATAGGGACTGTGTAGTTACTGGACACAATTCGTATGTACTCCTAGAATATTTGAAGTTTGACTTGGTGTTCTGAAAGACAAAGATCGCAATGCCATGGTTCGCCAGAGTTGATATACCAATCATCATGAACCAATTCTCTCAGACTTCAATAGTCAATCAACAAGCCCAAAGATGAAACCCGCCGGTTACATTGATGAACAAGGCCCGATCCTCCAAAAAGGAGATGCCAATTCCAAAAAATACTGGGGAACTCTTGAACCCTAGTAACCGATTAATATATCCCCACCATAACCCCAAGACTAGGGACTGAGTCCATCAAGGGCATATTTGAAGGATCAGCAAGGTACAATCGTAATAGCCAGGCAGCTCGGAGGAGCCTGTTCGCCGAGAGTATCACAGATTCAACCTCGAATTCCGAAGGTACATTATCTTCTTCAGGTCCGAACTTCTCGGCAACCGCACGGCTATGCAAATGCACCTCATATCCCCAACATTTTATTATCGACAAGCCATAGTTTGACGTCAAACGACTCTGCAGCTTACGCCAACAGTTGACGAACTGTATGCATGCTTATCTCAGCTCTTACGCGGAACTGAAGTTAGTCTACAGAGGTACATAAAGGTCAACAAAGTGATGGTCCTTCGGGATCCCCTCTCGATTCGCACCGGATTGGTCCTATTTTGGTATTCTAAGTTGCGTTGAAGCTCAAATGTTTCTGTTCGTTGAATTCATCCATGCCATATTACTCCATACAGTGCCACCGACTAGCCCAACCAGTCGGTTGCGAGCTTTTACCTTAACTTAATCAAGCACCAGCCGCAAAAACCAGCCCCCTTTTGACTTGATCCACGCTCAAGAATGGAGTACGTACCCGTATCTGGCGATTCCGACTCTTTTTGCATCATCCATAGCAAAACCTCCTCCAGCCACGATCGTCCAGTCGCGCGACATGGGGTTTTGAATTGCTCATGCCTTCATTGACCTTAGCCAATGCATCAATGCGTCAACCGCGTCCGGGAATCAAGGACCGGATCAAAACGAACGGGCCGCCCCCTTTATTTCCCCCTTCTCCATGCATTCAAAGTCCCGTGCGTTTGTTGGTCGCATCGCGTTTCTTTTTACTAAGTTATCGTAGTTCAAGGGTAAGGGTTGAACCTCACAACCACCGAGTGGTCCATGCCTCTTTTCTTAGTACAGGATACGGGTCATGATGCGAGCTGTGCGCGAACTGTCAGTTTATGGCATTGAGCTTGTCTCACTTGACTCGACTTACCGCTAAGAGCCTCAAGGCTGTCGTAGATGTCCTTGATCTGCTCATATTTGATACTGCTAATATCGGCCATGAGGTAGGCGTTGTCGCCTCTGCTGTCGGAAATCTGCTTGTCGACGTTGTGGTCGCCGAGAATCTCGTTGACCTTTCGGAGCACACCAGGAACGTTTCGGTGAATGAAGATGACCTATGATTTTGGGTTAATATTGAGCATGTCAAATTCGGGTTTCCGCATAGACTTACACGAGCGGTATCGGGCTCGTCGGAAGTCAGCGAACGGAGCTGGACCTCGGGGATGTTGACACTGCCCAGAGTGATACCCTGGTTGATGTAGCGAACCAGAGCCTCGCTGACTATGTGGGTGTCAGTGATGAGTTCAATGTGATGTTCTAAGTGTGCACTTACCCTCGATACCAATGGCACGCTGAGCCTCCTCAGTGCTACCACCGATGTGAGGTGTCAGGATAAGGTTCCTCAAGCTTCGGAGATCCTCGCCCCAGGCGTTGAGGTCGTTGGTGAAGTAGTCACCGTTGGCAGCGGGCTCAGCGGGGAAGACATCAAGAGCAGCACCAGCAACCTTGCCAGCACGGCTAGCCTTGATGAGAGCGGGAATATCGACAACGCTACCACGGCTGGCGTTGATCAGGTAGGCACCAGTCTTCATCTGCTCGAACTGGGGAGTAGAGATCATGTTGCGTGTCTCGGGGAGATCAGGGACGTGGAGGGTGACAAAGTCAGCCTCACCCAAGAGCTTCTCAAGTGTAGGAACCTGGTTGGCAGTTCCCAGAGCCATCAGGGTAACAACATCGTAGTAGATGACGTTCATACCCATAGCCTCAGCGAGGACGGACAGCTGAGAACCAATGTGGCCGTAGCCAACGATACCCAGAGTCTTGCCTCGAATCTCCCAGCACTTGGAGCTGACCTTGTTCCAGGTGCCTCGGTGCATCTCGTTGGATCGATCGCCAAGCTGACGGGCAAGAACGATGATCTCGGCGATGACCAGCTCAGCGACACTGCGCGAGTTAGCGAAGGGGGAGTTGAAGACGGCAATACCATTCTTGGCGGCGAACTCAAGGTCGACCTGGTTGGTACCGATACAGAAGCAGCCGATGACGAGGAGGTTCTCGGCCTGTCGGAGGACCTTCTCGGTGAGCTTTGTCTTGGAGCGAATACCGATGACTTGGACGTCACTGTGATCACCATTTGTTAGTATTCATGGTGGGGTGTATGGAGCTCATGGACGAGGGGTATTTGTGAAGCCGTCGATGGAGGGGCACAGCACAACTTCACAATAAAAAAGTTGAGGGATGGCGGGGTATTTTTGCGAACTCACCGAATCTTCTCAATGAGCTGGTCCTCAGGAAGAGAGGTCTTGAGGGCCTCGACCTGGTAGCCCTGGGCCTTCAGGATCTCCTGGCCGGTGACATTGACGTTCTCGAGAAGTAGAATCTTGATATCCTTGGTGTTGAAAGGCTTCAAGTTCTTGGGCGCGCCGCGGTTAGGGAGGTTGGCGCTCCAGCTGGGAGGAGACTGGAAAGAAGCAAGCGGCGAGGTGGCCACGTTCTTATCCCAGCTGTGAGAGACCTCGCCGCGCTGGGCAGCAGCAGAGAGGTTGCTGGCGATGTTTTGGGGAGCAGGCGTCATGATGAAATGTGTCGACGGTCGCGGTCGGTGTGGTGTTGTTGGAGAAGGGTGGAGGGGTCGTAAAACAGCGGGGGGTTTAGATTCGGAGGGAGGAATTGGAGAGCTAAGGTCGTTTGAATGTGAACAGCGGAGGTATCAAAGTATTGCCCGCTATCTAAGAAAGGATGAGATTATGGTGTGTTGAGAAATTAGAATACTAGGAAGGAACTCGGACGATTATGAGGGGAGTCAATTGGTTTTATGATGCCACCGAAATCTACCTATGAGCTATGATGAGATGACTCCAGTCTAGCCAGTGCTGACAATTCAGGTCGCGACGGGCCGGATGCAGCACCAGGATTCAGGCAAATAGACGTCTACCGACTTCCGCAAACTGACTCATCCTGGGCATTTGATGCCATCACTGCCGAATCAGAGGGCATCTACAAGTAAATAGAGCATTCGTTCGGGGTGCCCTTGCGGCTCTTAGTCGCATTTACACTACATGAACGTGGGAGTGGAACATTGCGGACGTGACACCTTTGGCATAGGAAAACTTTTTACGTACGTTAGTCCGCTGTCGGCCACGAAAGAGCTCGCTCAGTTCGTTGGTCCATTTATAACAAAGAAAACGAGGTACAAGCCGAATATACCCTTCGGCGTTTTGGACTACCACGCCGCTAGCAATACACTCAGCCCTGGACAGGACCACTTAAAAAAAAATTATGCTGTGAGAGCGGTTGTTTGTTCACTTTGGCCCTTGACCGAGACCGGAAATGCCACCATGCCGTCACGCAATGGCGTCAATCTCTGCATCTCCCGGCGCCCGGTTTTTAGGGATGGGTACAGCAGTGCGTTACCGCTTCTAGCAGTCCCGCTGGCGGAGGTGATTCTATTCGGTGTGCGGCGTAGTCGGAGGACATGCAGGCCGGTGCGGGATGCAGCGGAGCTGAGCGGCGGATAGACAGACGGACGTCCGTTTATTGATTTCATCCGTCAACTCAATCATGTTGACATTTCATCTTCTATCAGTGTATTTTAAAGTCAGTTAACGTACTGATATGTTTCATCATAATTGGTCCCGGGTGCGATTGAGTTGAGGGTTTGTCAGTCAGCTATCCGATAAAGCACCTTTGTCCAATCATACCCTACCCTATAGGTTGACAGTAAAGTATTATTTCTATGATATTCCAGTTTATATCTTTCAGAAACTAGATAAGGATTAGAGAGTTAGATCAGTGGTAGTCTTCTACTGATCAAGAAGCCGTGTGCTTTGAAAGATACACAGCTGAAACTTTGAGGAAGTCTGTGGGATACAAGCAATATTACGAGACGCCAACGATGAGTGTAGGATATATCATAGTCAACACAGCCTATGTAAACAACATGACTCGCCGTCCTGTGACGTACATGCATATCCCCCGGGGCACAACTGAGACATTGTCGTCGTGGCGTCGGCTCCAAACATGTCTTGCATTTTTGTGGTGGTAATAACGATCTCACCGCATTTCGACAGACACGAGTATGAAGCCACCGCGTCAAAACACAGTAAACAGAGAAAGCAGAGACTAAGAGGAATAATCAAGAGTACACAGACAAAGTCGATATATTACTGCAACAACATACAACTTATTGCATTATGGCAGAATCATTCTCTATATATTATGCACCTGGTAAACCCTTGCACCCTTCCCTGTAAGAACCATCCCTCCTGTCACTACCTTACATCCATGCCAGGAACGAAAATCAGCGTTATTTGCAAAAACAAGTAAAACACAAGACAGAGAACCCCTGAAAACGAAGCAAGAGAAAAAGGCTGCAAAAAAGAGGAGGGCAACATAATAATCGCGCGGGGCTGACTTGTGCCCTCTGGCTGTGTGTCTGTCTATCAACGTGGTTTCCAGTCCCAGAGTTTGCTCGCAAAAACCGTAGGTTTTTTTCTTGCAAACGATGCCTATCAAATGACGATGCTACCTTTTTTGTTTTGAAAAACGGCACCGGCTGGATCGCCGACCTGTTTCAACCGCTTCCCATTTCTGTAGCCTTTTTCTTCCCGTCGTTCACCGCCCGCCCTTTTTTCCCGAGTAGGTCGGTGACTTAGATGAAATCCTTAAAACCGATAAAAGCCAATCATGTCATGAGTGAGAATATGCGTTACGTCGCGCTCTATCGCGCCGCTCAGCTCTGTTTGCACTCAGCAGCCTCCTGCTTAGGCTTGCCAGACTCATCCTGCAGATAAAAGTTAGTTTAGTTCTAAAAGTGAGCAAAGGGTTTGCCGCGAGGTAACGTACGTCGTCGTCAGACTCCTCCTCGTCATCGTTCTCCTCGCTCAGGTCATCCTCGTCCTCATCATCATCGTCGTCGAAATCGGCACCATCAAGCTCATCGTCGGAGATCTCCTCGAAAGCCAGAGCCTCACCGGTAAACCAGTCGATGGCGCGGGGGATGAGCTTCTCCTTGATGTCCTCACCGAGCTGGTAGTCGAGCTCGAGGCGCTCCTCGATGTCGGACTCGGCATCCTCGTCATCGTCATCGGTGGGAGCCTTGGGTGGCGAGAAGAAGTTGAAGAATGACTCGGTAGGAACGGTCTTCTTGACAATTCGGGTCTGCTTTGTGTCTAGAGTTGGGTTAGTCGCCAAGTTCAAAGAACCAAGGGGGCATCCCCCAAAATTATCGCTTACTCTTGTTTCGCTGCTTCTTGCTCTCGACTCGGACAGTCAAGTCCTTGCCAGGCAACCACTCAATCTTGTCACCCTCGGCGTGGTCGTAGATGAAGTCACCACCGTAGCCACTCTCGTTCTGGTAGTAGTATGTCTTGGTAATGGTGGTGTTCTTGAAGAAATCGTTGGGGGCAAACTCGAAGATGAGACGGAAACCAGGCTTGTCAAGGTACTCCATGCGGATGTCGGTGAGGTGCTTGAGGGCAGCCTCATCACGGTCAGTGATCATCTCAGCGAGAGAGATCTGGTTCTTCATGGCGGAGAGCCAGAACTCGGGGATACCGGAAACGTTGTCGGGGACATCGGACTTCTGCTCAGACTTGGCAGCATCCTCAGTCTCGGGCTCATCGTCCTCCTCACCGGCCTTGATCTCCTCCTCAGTAGGCTCAGTCTTTCCGTTGATAATGGCGGAACGCTTCTCGTAGAGAGGGGAGAACTTGGCGAAGTACTTCTTCTCGAGCTGGAGAACCTCTTCTTGGAACTCAGCCTCGAGCTTGGAGTGATCCTTCTGGATGCCCTTGAGACCAGCGACACGTCGGCGGACGGGAGCGGGCAGGGACTCGATGTAGCCCGAAGATTGGCCCACGAGGGAGCCGAGGCGACCCTGAATCATCTGGATAAGCTTGGGGTTTTGGGCGAAAACTGAAGCCGCGGCGGCACGGTCCAGATCCTCTGCATCGGGGTTAGACCATGATATTGATGTCGAAGGGATTGGTTCATGATAAGTCATGAAAAACCAAAAAGAGATACTCACCCTCCTTGATACTAGCAACGCCCGGCTGTTGAGCGTGGGAAGAGATGGGAGCAGCAGTTGCGGGTGTGTTCTGAGGCGTACTGGTCGAAGGTGGGGTAGTTAGCATCGTGGATCGTGAAGCAGCGGGCAAGCAAAGAAACAAACAATCCAAGGCAAAAGATTGATATTGCAAGGTAAAGAAATAACTTACGGAGCCACGGCGTCCTGAGCACGCTTTCCACGAATGGGCTCGGCCATTTTGTCTGATATTGAGAGATCCGAATAGGCGCTTGTGATAAACGTCTTTTGGGGACGAGGTGAGGTTGAGAGGAGAGGGATGAAAGGAAGTTGAGAAAGCAGCGGCCGTTGACGTTTGCTAAATTCTGGTGGGGGGCGATAAGTTGAAAAAATTTGGGCACTGGGCTTGTACCTACAAAGACAGAGCGAGCGAGACGGGAGTGAGAGAGACGGAGGAGAGAGGGCGGTAGGTAAAGGTAGACTAGTAGTATGGAGGTCGCTCAGGTTCCCCTCGGTCGGTCCAGTCTCCTCTCTCACTTTTTGAACTTGTTGGGCCGCCCACCAAGCACCAAGCTCAACTGGTCGATCGCCTAACTAAAAAAAAAAATTACCTGCCCAGCCAGCCAAACTGTGTGAGAGGATCCAATGGGTCCCCTCTCTCCTCTGGGCGGGCTCTACCTAATAGTTTTGAGTGTGGAGGCGCTGTGAGAGAGCGGAGAAGTGAGACAACAGAAACCCAAGGGAGCCGGGGAGTGGAGGAGACCTACAGCCACAGTAACACAGTGCATTTCCGGACTTGTTCACACGAGGCCACACAAATACAATATGCATGTACCTTTAGACTTGGTTTTCTGTGGCGTCGCACAAGGATTGGATGCGTGATTCTCTCCGACTCATCCATTCGCAGTACAAGGGAAGCACTCGCCACAATCTAGACGGATTCCAGAACACAACACTCTCAGATCCATTGCCCATCAAAGTAACCCTTCCCCCTCAGTCACCGGCCCTTCTCTTACAGTCACAAAGGTTCTGGAATGGTGGCGCCCCCAATGCTCAAACCAGGAACAACGACGACATATCGACGATATGTTGTCCCTGAGAGAAAGAACGGCTGAATAACTGTTGTGCCTTTGGCTTCTTTCGTTGACCAGATACACCCGGCCCCGCCCGAAAGGGAACACTCGGGTCTGATAGCTCATGGCATGGCTCATACATTTATAGCAAGGTACATAATCTCGGGGAACCGCTTCAAAGTTACATGTTACATCGAAGAGCATGAATCAAGCGAGGCCAACCCTACAATATCTACTGATAATAGTTCGCTTGTTAGACACGTAGGTACCCAACCATCAAAAAGCAAAGGGCCACGGACGGGAACCGAAAGAGTCCTGACCAAGAACATACCCCTTTGGTTCGGGTAGAAGGGTTGAAGCACAAGCATATCCAACAACTCAACCCAACCCAACTGATCGTATCTCTCTGCCTACATACGCGTGATAGAACGTGGCTCGCACGCACTGTGATGGACCCTGCACGATTGGCTGCAGCTTGGTGAATCTCCGATACCAACAAGTCGAGGGATGCGTCACGAATCGCGCGCGCCCTTGTATTGTGAAGGAGGAGCGGGTTGTCTATGCAGCATACTATTCGCCCACCACTCCTTTGTCTGTTGACAATAGATAAATCAAAAAAGCGGTCGTCAAAGTGGTCAAAGAAAGAAGCGGATGGCATTGACAACTAGATGCTATAGGTGGACAGCAACCCCAGACCCAGCCAAACTCTTTGCCGAGGAACCTTGCTCATAAAGCACCACAATCAGGAAACAATTTGACGTGGCCCTCGAGTCAACATGCTGGCCAATCCTGTAGCTCTCTTATGAACACTCTAAACAAGTAGATAACTGCATGTCATCACTAAATTCCAGAGTTATTGACGTTATGGCCCTAATCATCTCTGTCCTCAGCCTTGCGTCTTGTACTAGAGACAAACCAATGATGTATGGCGGGGCCAGTTCGGCATATCGGTATGACTCTCCGGGTCAGCCTTGGTCAGGGCACGAGCGCTGAGCCAACGACGTAATCGGGCGCGCGACCTACAACTTATACGCAAAATTCTTATCTCAACTTTGAGGATTTATTTGTGTATCATGCGAACCAATTCACCTTAAACGAATTGATGGATGAAGACGCTCCTCTTAGCCCGGACCCGGGCCAAGATCATGGCCATCGCCGCCATCGCGCATCCAATGCCAATGCCAATGGCAACGGTCGCGCTGGGCTCTATCGAATGAGCTCTAATCAGAGCAGATCGAGCATCTTTGAAGATGTTGAGATGGCGCATGAGGAGGTAATTAGCAAATACTTGAGACATTATCATTGTATGATCGTAAATACTAACGATCTGTCCTTATCAGCTTTTCTCTGGTCCTGTTGCCGAAAGTCTTCCTACCAGTGTATCGGCCTTTTCCCATCGACGACCTCGCGCCGATTCGACTGCCAGCTTCGCCTATTACGATGACGATAACGAAGGGTTCCCCGATGACGACGACGCTGAGAGTGTAGCTGTGCAGAGCATTGCTGGAGATTACATCCGGCGCAGCGTTTCAGATATTGGAGACTTGGAGTTTGGTGTTGATGGTACCGAGGAATATGACGAATCCCCAGAACGAGACTATCGCCTTTCTGAAGACAACTATGCCCTGCGCAGACATTCATCCGCATACTCTCGCCATTCGGTAAACGCCCATCTCTTGCGACGAGATAGTACAGCTACTGCTGGAAGCTTTCGTCGCCATGGGCGTGTCAGTCAAAAAGTTTATCTAGAAAACGAAGATCTCACCATCGTCATCGCCGGTTTCAAGACAAGCAAGATCGGCTCTGCGATCTATATCTCTCTGTGTATCTTTACTTGCGGCCTCGCTTATCTGCTCTTCCGATGGCTGCCCCGGTGGTACGTTGGTCTGCTTGGACAGGCAACCTCGCTTGGAGAGTGCGAATGGGTCGTGATAGAGAACCAGTGGGGTGAACTTGTCACTATGGATGTTCGATCTCAGATTTACGGCCGACCTCTATCAACCATATTTGGTCTACCTGAGAAATTCTACTCGGAGGCATTGGACGAGGATGTCGACCCTATCGTTGACGACCTCCGAACACTGGATTACCGTTACATTCGACTGTGCTTCCACCCTCTCAAAGACAAGTTCATGCTCTTCAATGGCTGGAAGGATCCCAACTGGACTGATGTGCGACTGACCCGTGCTGGTCTGGATACCGATGAGAGGGGAGTCCGTGAAGTTGTCTTTGGCAGCAATCTCATCGATATCGAGCAGAAGACAACTGGACAGCTTCTGGTGGATGAAGTTTTGCACCCTTTTTACGTCTTCCAGATCGCCAGTCTCATCCTGTGGTCCATGGACAGCTACTACTATTATGCAGTCGCTATCTTCCTCATGTCGGTTGGTAGTATTGCTGCTACCCTCATTGAGACTCGAGCTACCATGAAGCGTCTCCGCGAGATTTCGCGATTCGAATGTGATGTGCGAGTTCTGCGAAACGGTTTCTGGCGATTCATCAGTTCAAGTGAACTGGTACCTGGAGATGTCTACGAATTGAGCGATCCCAGTTTGACACAGTTTCCCAGTGACAGTCTTTTGCTCACTGGTGACTGTATCGTCAACGAAAGCATGTTGACTGGCGAATCTGTTCCCGTCTCAAAATTGCCAGCCACCGACGAGACTTTGCGCACAATGGATCTGGGAGCGTCATCAGTTACCCCTGAGACAGCCAGACACTTCCTCTTTTGTGGTACCAAGATCATCCGCGCCAGAAGGCCCCAGGAAGACCAAGGGGACGACGCCGTTGCGCTCGCCCTCGTTGTCCGGACTGGTTTCAACACTACAAAGGGTGCCCTGGTACGATCAATGTTGTTCCCTAAGCCCTCAGGTTTCAAGTTCTACCGCGATTCATTCCGGTACATCAGTGTCATGGCTATCGTTGCTGCTATCGGATTCCTGGCTTCATTGGTCAACTTTATCAGACTTGGAATTGCATGGCATCTCATTATTGTGCGAGCGCTCGATCTCATCACCATTGTTGTACCTCCTGCCCTGCCTGCGACTTTGACTATTGGTACCAACTTTGCTCTCAGCCGACTGAAGAAGAAGCAAATCTTCTGTATCAGTCCTCAACGAGTGAATGTTGGTGGAAAAATCGATATCATGTGTTTTGACAAGACAGGAACCTTGACGGAAGAAGGATTAGATGTTCTGGGAGTTCGAGTCGTTGATCGCGACTCAAAGAAATTCAGTGAGATTGTGACCGAGCCCCAGATGCTCCTGGCTGAAGCCACACGACAGAACGCTCAGGATACTTACCGCGCCGCATTGCACACTATGGCCACCTGTCACTCTCTACGGTCCGTTGATGATGAGCTTGTCGGAGATCCACTGGATCTCAAGATGTTTGAGTTCACACGCTGGACATACAAAGAAGGAAAGCAGAGCGCTTCTGAGGAAGATGAAGAGCAGGGTGGACTGGCGCCCTCTATTGCACGACCCCCTAACGTATGCCCCTGGTGCTGACTGTGAGAGGATGGTCACTGACATTTTTATAGGGCAACATCGAGCTTGGAGTACAGAAGTCTTTTGAATTCGTTTCTAATCTACGACGCGCCAGTGTCATTGTTCGACAATTCGGCCAGAAGAGTGGTGATATCTTTGTGAAGGGAGCCCCTGAGGCAATGAAGGAGATCTGTCGCCCTGAAAGCTGTAGGTTTCCTAATAGCATTGAGAGGTTCGAACTGGCTAATTTCCCGCAGTCCCTGATGATTACGACGAGCTTCTGTCTTGGTATACTCACAAAGGTTACCGTGTTATTGGTGTCGCCAGCCGCCATCTCAAGAAGCTTAGCTGGGTCAAGGCTCAGAAGATGACTCGAACTGAAGTAGAGAGTGATCTCGACTTCGTTGGTTTCATTGTTTTTGAGAACAAGCTTAAGCCCACGACTGCTGCAGTTCTCGAGGAGCTTCTGGCGTCCAACATTGGCGCAGTCATGGTGACTGGTGACAACATCTTGACAGCCATTAGCGTGGCCCGAGAGTGCGGTCTCATGGATCGAAAGGCTCATTGCTTCGTGCCGCGCTTCATTGAGGGTATGTTTCAGATTCATGAGCTTGTGGAAAGTATTCTAACCTGACCAGGTGATTTCCGTGATGCGGAAGCCAAGATTCAATGGGAAAGTATTGACAACAACCTGTTCCACTTGAATGAAAAGACCTTGCTTGTAAGTTCTTGTTGCACCTGTGACCATAGTGGATCACGACTAACACAAACAGCCCCTACCCCCTCCTCCAGAGGCAGATGCTTCACTGCCTTTTGATATCACCAGCCTTCGTAACTATACTTTGGCTGTCAGTGGTGATGTGTTCCGATGGATGGTTGACTTTGCATCGCCACAAGCACTTCAACGGGTTAGTTTCTCATTGTTCTTCGACTGTCGCCCTCGCTAATCACCCTGTAGATGCTCATCAATGGTAAAGTATTTGCCAGAATGTCCCCTGATGAGAAGCATGAGTTGGTCGAGAAGCTGCAGAGCATTGATTACACATGTGGCTTCTGTGGTGACGGAGCAAACGACTGCGGTGCTTTGAAGGCCGCAGATGTTGGCATCTCTTTATCTGAGGCAGAAGCTTCCGTGGCAGCTCCTTTCACTTCTCGTGTGTTTGACATCCGCTGTGTCTTGGAAGTTATCAAGTAAGTCGAGAGAAACATGTCAATTGAAGCAGTCTAACCATCTTATAGGGAGGGTCGAGCCGCTCTGGTTACAAGCTTCAGTTGCTTCAAGTACATGAGTTTGTACTCAGCAATTCAGTTCACATCAGTCACATTTCTTTATGCCAGGGCTTCCAATTTGGGAGACTTCCAGTTCCTCTTCATCGACCTTGCTCTTATTCTTCCGATCGCTATCTTCATGGGATGGGCAGGACCTGCTCCAAGACTTTGCCGGAAGCGACCTACTGCGGACTTGGTCTCACGAAAGGTGCTCACGCCTTTGTTGGGATTCATGCTTATCTGCATCTTCTTCCAGGCTGTGACGTATATCACTGTCAAGGAGCAGCCCTGGTATATCCCTCCTGTGGTGCACAAGGATGAGCCGAGCATTGAGAACTCGCAAAACACGGCACTCTTCCTATTCTCTTGCTTTGAGTATATCCTTTCAGGAGTTATTCTCAATGCAGGACGTCCGTTCCGACAGCGGACCACACAAAACTGTAAGTTGACTCATTCGCCACTTCAAAAAAGAATTAGAGCTGACCGTGTGTGTGATAGGGCCATTTGCTATAACTATCTCTATCGCCCTCTTGATAACCGTCTACATGATCCTGACTCCTGCTCAATGGGTCATTGACCTGATGCAGTTGACGGACATGAGCTGGGACTATGAACTGTTCCTGATTGGATTGGGTGCTGCGTACTTTATCGTGGCCTGGGCTTTTGAGCACTTCCTTGCCTTGAGACTGGCTCGATTGATAGGCTCAGTCAAGCAGTCAGTGACCGGAAAGGCCAAGAAGCGCAAAGAGTATAAGGTGATTGCTGAAGCATCGCGGATTTAAGCTGAAGTAAGAACAGCAAGTTGCATAGCCATTGGATGAAAGCGGGTTTATGTTAATGGGTATTGTTTGGAGTCGTTGATAGAGTATAAAGACTGCGAAGGAAGCGTGAAGCTGTTGGTCTCATCAAAGAGATCAAAATACAAGAGGCTTGGTTGGATAAAAGACCAATGCCTGAATTTTCATAAACATGTCTACCGAACCAATTCTGAGCTGTGAGTAGTAAGGATTTATAGGTATCAATAATGTAAATTGAACGGCTACGCATAAAACAGGAGCAATTGTTCCCCAAAGCAGTATAATTTGAGTAACCTGTAGTTTCTATTTTCCCATATACGTGGAATTGCAATTGGTGATAGGGACATATGATATGTTGGTACTCGGGATATCATACGCATCACTTTGGAACTGTCATTTGGTCGTTTTTCTTCAATTCAAGAGCCTTTTCTGCCCTATATACACCGCATTGAACCGTCTTGTCCTCTGATATCGTCGCCCAATGCCTTCTCTGTTGTAATTGCCGCAGGAATGGAAGTAATCATATATGGTAATCGTTTAGTGGTCCCAGGGGTGCTTGAGGCCGAGGAGAACGGCACCTGGAGCATGTTAGCCACGGGATCATCGGACCAATTCCTCGTGAAATAGTGAATGTTTAATACATACCATCCTTCTTTGCCCGGTACATAAGCTGTTTCAGCACATTAGCAAGTTATTCTTGTAAAACATTGTAACCCTCGCTTTGATGCTCCAATCCATGGTTCAAAGTCGCAAGGTTCCAGAGTGACTCACGAAGAACCACATGCCAGCGCCTAGAGCTGTCGCGGTGAATCGGTAGATACGGGGGACGTGAGCCACCGGGGGCTTAGGAGGGCCGTTGAAGCTGTGGTGACCGTGACCAGCCATGATGAAATCGGATGTGATAGTCGCTCGTTTCGGGGTTTCGGGCTGCAAAAGTTGGAGAGATTAGCGGCAATTGAGCTTGGTCGAGATATCGAGACGAGTGATATAGCGCGATTGACGTACGTAGGGACCGAATTAGCAGCCGTGGACGAGGCGACGAGGATAGTGATGATACGGCAATGGTCAGTCTTGATGGAGTCGTTGAACCGGGCCAATTCGGTGATGGCTCTGCTTAGGTAAGGAAAGCTTGTGATTGGGTGAGCCCGCTATGGGGTGTCTTACGGTTTGGTGCATACGCATGCTAATAGTGGATAGAGCGCTGTATAAGAGCCCGTCTTGCGTGCATCATCATGAGTGGGGTTCCGCCCACTCTAGTTCCGGCAATCATAGCGACGAGACAAGCAGCGCAGCCCATAAGATACCACCTTGCGTTTAACAAGAGCTTCGTTGACTTCGTACTTAGACTAAGCTTACTTGCATTTTCTCTGCCTGAACCAGTTGTTACTCAAATCTCCATCGTTTACTTTCAGGCTGAAAACTGTGTTATTTTAACTTCCACGTTGTCCTTCGCAAGCTCGATAACTAGCTTCCTTGAACGAGCTCCCCACGTTCGCCAAGCAATGACCGTCTAGAGCAATCATCCAACGACATACACATATACATATCTTTCAAGGGAGCCTCTATTTCTGTGACACGAAACTCGCAAGCGAACGTTGCAAACACCTTCGCCATGGCGACCCCAAAGTTCAGCTCGAAATCGCCCACGATTAGACGAATACGTAAGTGGCCAGCTCCAGCACATACAACACATATGACTAGAGCAGTGTCACCTGGAATTATCGACCCCATAACTAACTCGAGCAATAGTTCGTGAAGCAGCCGAAATCTCCAACTCCCCCTCTGCCGATTACACAGCCGAGCCCCTCGAATCCGACCTGTTCGAGTGGCACTTCACACTCAAAGGGCCACCCAATTCAGTCTACAGTAATGGCATCTACCATGGTCGCATAGTTCTTCCACCCACATACCCTCTTCGACCGCCTTCTTTCCGCTTCATGACACCAAGTGGTCGATTCGAAGCCAACCGTGAGATTTGTTTGAGTATCAGTGGTCATCATGAGGAGACGTGGCAGCCTGCATGGGGAGTACGGACAGCTCTTGTAGCGTATGTTTTCCTGTTATTCCTGAAGGGATTACGTTAACTGAAATTTCTTATTGTGTAGGCTCCGAAGTTTTATGGAGACTGATGCTCGTGGCCAACTGGGAGGTCTTGAAACAACTGACGCAGTACGTCAACGCCTTGCCAACGAGTCACCGGCATTCAAATGCGCAACGTGTGGAAAGACAAACGGCGAGATCATCAAGGAATGCGAAGAGCGAGCAAAGGAAGCATCGTCAAGTGCACAGGAAGTTGAAATCCCCAAAGAGTTGAACATGGGATGGCGCGATGAGATGGGAGCCAAGAAAGAGGGCGAGAGCCAGCCTGAACAGAAAAACGACGACGCCGAGACAGCTCAACTTGCAGAGGGATTCGTCCAGACCGCACCAGATGCCGTTACAGCTGCCAACGATTCTTCGGCCCCTCAACCACCAGCAGAGAACCGAAACCCCACTCCGACCCGAACTACACCTCTCCCCGTCCCGGCGGCTCAAGGACTTGCACCACAGGCTGCGGCACAGGCACAAGCGCAGCAAGCTCGAAGGGCAACGGATGACGGTGTTCCTCTGTGGCTTGATCGAACTATCGTTGTTTTGGTGGTGCTTTTGGTAGCTCTCGTTCTCAAGATCATCTTTGCTGTGTGATTGCGTTTTATGGGTTTTCATATGTTTATTGTCGGCATGGCGTATGGCGTTTTCACATGGATCAGTCAGTAGGGGCGAATTAGATATCCGGTCAATTTGAGTCTGATGTGACTACCACTCGGCAATCTGGTACCAGTGAATTGCCCAAACTCTCTGGATTATCGTGGAGGTAATATTGACGATCGTGGGTGTTCATCTGTGCCAGAGGTTATTAGGAAAGGGACTGTTTGCCACTACGCAACGAGACGGAAGTGTGTAAGTGCTCACCCACATCGTATCAGCCAGCAATGGAACATGTGTCTTTGGTCCGCTCGATTGGGAAGACAACACAAGATTGGGGTTCGGACTTTGAGATAGGCCTTAGCTGTGCATCTGAGGAGAATTGACATTTACCATAGGCTAGGCTAGGCTCGCCTAAAGGTTAATGTTTCTGCGGTCGAATGACACAAGTACGGATGATTGTGTTTTGGATGCTCATGAGCGCAGGTTGATTGAACCTTGTTTCAACAAATATAAAAGCACCAGATCCCTCCGACTTAAAGTCAAACTACCTATACAGACACACAATTTTCTTTTTACGGTAAATCTCCATCATACCCGCCGCGTTTGACCTCTGACAATAACCACTTCCCCAGAGGATCTACCTACCGTATACATCATCAAGGATATCGTCATGATTGAGCCTGAAAACTCCACCCCTGAAGAGGCCCTCAGCCCTTGGAAGCTGGAGATGGCCAATCGCGGGTATTACATCCAATCCAAGATTTTGCACATCCCCGATCGATTCGGCTTCCTCTCTCCTGGCCCACCTTCGCTCCAGGCATTCGATGTCGACGGAGTCATCGCCCTGTTGTTTTACTTATCTTTCATGGGCACAATTGAAGCTCTGGCCCTTATTCATTCATGGCTGTATGAATACTTTAGGTGGTTTCTCGTCTACTTCTTCTTTGGGGTAAACTGTGAACTCATTTTGGGCTTGCGGATTGTAACATGTATCGGCCATTACTTCAAGCGTGGCCACAGCGAGGGATCATGCACCGCGGGCACTGTGGCCGAAGAAAAAGCCCAGAGTACCTAGTGATGCAGTGTTTGGTTGAGGAGGTTTGTCGCTTGGATTTAGGACTCAGCAAATCAAAATCGCAGGTACGCTGCTGATGCAATTCTGCCTATTTCTGATCGCCTTTGGGGTTCGACACCTTGGTGGGAGGACGAAAGTCACTGGTGAGTATATTCCTGTTGTCTCACACTCTCTTCCCTCTATCGCCACCTGCTATCTACCTATCCTTTTGGCATGGCTGACTCAACTGATAGTCCGCTTCTCCGGAGCTTACTAGTGGTCCTTTCTCGTGTTCGTGGTCCAAGCAGTTTTAGGCGCCGCTATCTCTCTTGAGATCGAGATGTGGTTTTATTCTAAATAAAAGATCGTGCGACCGTCACGGGTGAGGGTGACGGGAGGCGTTCCTCGAGGGCTGTAATGGCCTAAGGGGCAGGCTGGGTTGGGCTACAGCCTGCCGCGCAAAAGTTCTGGCCAAGTCTGTTTGCAACGAGTTCAGGTCTGTTGGTGTATCTTTGGCGATGGGTACTATTTTGCTCCACAGTCATTGGACTGGAGGGCAGAGAGACGGAAGGGACCGTAACGGTCCCGTCTCCATAACTGTGGTCCTTTTTATGTTCGCATCTGGGGGCTTGCTTGACACCCGATACTGACAGGACTTGGTTTCCATCCGAGGGCTTGAATGATACGTGAATTTGAGGGGACTTGGTTCGCGCTTGTGGATTTCTTTTCTCACTGTGTTCATGGCCTGGCTGCGGTGGCATGGAGAGGAAAATATGGAGGGAGTGAATGTGTGTTGCAAGAGTCTTCGGCGTTACCAGATGAACCTGTCTGGAGTGTCTAACGAGATGGTGGAAAAGTAGGGCTGGCATAAGATGGAAGATCGAGATGTATTTGACGGCACATAAATAAACTACCAAAGAGCAAGACTGATTAACAAACCTATACGACTCTGCACAAATGAAGTATGAGAATAAGTATCGCATTTGATTTGATCGATGGTGCAGTTGTGGTTGACATAGGAGTCCCAAGGGGCTGTTGTAATTCAACATGAGGCCGGTGACATAAACCAGTTTGCAACTGCTCCTTGTACATACGACCATAGGTAGTGGAAAATACGGGATCCCGTCTGCTCTCCCATAGTCAAGCCACTAACCGGCGGATTAGTAGTTGGGTCGGTGACGACCAGCGAATCCCCGCTGTTGTATGTTTTTGCCATTTGCAGCAACTATCACTTTTCTTTTACACTTTTTGAACCACAACGCAAATGCTATTCTACCTTTAGAAGAGGTCGCGATGATCTTATTCTAAGCTTATTGTTGATTCTTCCTAAGTTTATGCTAAATTATTCCAAGTTTAGAATCTCTAGTCTAAGTTACTGAATCACCCTCGAGTCCTTCATCTGTCAACCTTCAGGCCAGTATCGAATCACAACTATCAAAACAAAAAGAAAGCAACGTCAGATGAAAACAGGTATCTGGACTGCAGAAGGTCTTTGCCTTGGTTCCTCAGGCTGGATATGTCAGAGAACATTTCTGCGCAACCTTGTACTGGGTGGTATCTCTTTGTTGCATCCTTGAAAAGGGCATTGGCATTTGATGTTGTCGTCTGGCGATGGACGATACCGAATCCCAAAGGGGTTTGGGTCCATGACTTCTGTGTGAGGTGTGTCCACGAAGTGGACTCGTTTCCGCTGCTGAACAGGGACAAAGTAGATCTGTTTGCGGTAGTGGCTGACTTAATTGTATGTGTCCTGCTTAAGTCTATTGAATGATATTGATAATACTCTCGACCTGGAAGGACTGGCTCTCTTCGCTGGTCTTGGAAAGGTGCAGTCGTCTTCTACAGTATCCTCCTTGGATAGGCACAATGTTCCTCTGGCCTATCTACCAGTCTTTGACATGGCCAGGGTTCTTTTTTCCAGAGGTGCTCGCACACTTATATTATAGTCCGTAAAGAGAAGTTGGATCCCAAGTTCTGAATCAGAGGAACACAATTCACATCCTCTGAACGACTGTTTTGGTAGCATCTACTGGCTAAAGTCTTCCCAGAAGCTGAAGGTCGAACTGATGGGAGTGCAATATAAGCACAGTAGTGTCAGGCGATATACCGCTTCGTTGAAGTTGACCTTTGACGGCAAATTTCATGGACATCCAGTTTCTGTAGTTGTTGACAGGAAGCACGTAATTGTCGAGATTTGGTGGGATGCTGTAATATACAGGCATAGAAAAGCCTGCCTTGCTAAGAAATAAAGTCTTGTCTTTCGTGTTTCTGACATGATGAAGTTGAGTTGCGATGCCGATGTCAGTTCAGTTAACGTCAAATGCTTGTTTAAGGGAAACCTGAACATAAAGAGCAAATACCACAGATTGGATTACCATGTTTCCTGTTTTTATGAGGCCAGGCTACCTCCAAAGCGTGACAAATGTGAGCCAAGCGAGGAAGGGCAACACCAAACCCTACAATTCACGTCGTTGCTAATAGTTGTGTAAGAAAGGGGTACCCGCCCTTCCGCTTAAAACGCGAAGTTGTGACAACTATATCTTCAGAGATATTATTTACTATGGCAAACTATCATGGTTTGACTTTCATCTCAGTTTCCTGTAAGAGATTCCTAATTAATAAGGTATTTTAACAATCCTTAGTCTTCCACTTCTCTCCTGGCTTTGAGCTGTCGTCCCCATTGCCAAGGTACAGCTAACCACCACCACTCTCCGACTCTCAGTCCAAGGCCATCCTCGTCCTCCTCAAGCACGCCTGTTTTCATGCCCCAGTCCATGATGAGCTCGGCTTCAAACTCTTCCAGGATTGGCTTGAGCGCATTGCATACACCCTCGATAGTTAGATGTCCTCTGTTGGCGTATACAAAACAGAAAGCTCCCAATACATCCATCCATCTCTCCGCATCTCTGCGCCCGAAGAAGTCAACCCATTGTGGAAGCAAGTGCTTCGCAGTGGGTGGTCCTTCATTGATGCTCTTGCGGATGACACCCACGTCCTCGTCGTATTTGTACGAGTCCGTGGGGGTTGCCTCGATGTTCCAGAAGTAGCAGTCTTTCTTCAGCTTGCGCATCTCATAATAACCCGGTCGGAAACCCAGTGGGATATGAGGCACATTGACTGGGGTGAGCTTAATCCTCTCACCAGCATTCAGGTTGGTGAGCGCCATTACAGCTCCGTCTTGGAGGTTAAAAGGAACCCGGAAGGCTTCACCGCGCCGGAAGGTCGCATCCAGCTTTGACTTGAAGTCAGCTGCATCTTGGTACTTAGTTCTTTGCGCAAGTTTTCCGAGTACATGCCCAAAAGCTTCGTTCAGTCTGAACGGTCTCCCTGAGAGAGGGGGCCGCTTGCTCTTACAGATAATGCGCTGTGCCGTCAAGACATCAATAGCTTCCTTCAGTATGGCATTGATTTGGTCCTGGTCACCGTCTGCGAGTGTTCCAAACTTTTGTTGTATCTGGTCAACTGTGTAGCGACTCTCATCTGTACAGCAGAGAGATCTCACCCAAGACCTCGCAATGACCTCGTTGGTAATCTTGACTTTCTGATTAAGACCACTGAGCATTTTGTCAACAGTGACAAATGCCGGGAAAGTGACAGCCTCGAAACGGGCATAGACAGACGACTGAGGGTTGTAGAATTTCTCCCGTGGGTCTTCTTCCTCGTGAGCAGCGGCGGCAGAGGTGGAAAAATTGTCTTCAAAGTAATGCCTGGTCGATGGCAGGTCAACGCCCTTTCTGCGAGGCAGTTCAAGTGTCCATTCAATCAAGCTGTCCCAGTCATAGTCCATAGGATCCTCAAAGTCGAATTCCGGGAGCTCATTCTTAGAGTAGGCAACTATGAACCGATCTTGAAAATCCTTGGTTAGCTTCCTGACATAGGCACCCTGTTCTCTCCGGGCATCGATCCAGAACCGGCGGATATCTTTGAGGGCCAGATTCGGGAAAAGCTTAAGGAGTAATCCCCAATCAACAGACTTGTCGGCACCCCCAAGGAGAACACGAACAGCGATCAAAGCAGCTAGAAGACGTTCTGAGTCACTGTCAACGGAGCTTGGGCCCTGCTGGCCATGTTGGCCTTGCTGTCTCTGCTCAACTTCCTCAGGAATGGGCATAAGAGCTCGTGTGACCAAGCGCACTCGTTTGACCCTTGGTTGTTGTGCTAGTTGCTGGCGACTGATGGACGCTCGCGGTCGACTGACTGAGCCTCTGCCGACACCTCGGCCCCTCGATTGGCGGCCAGCGCCTCGAGCAAGCTTTTGTTGCCTGTATGCCGGGAACTCTGGCCAATCAGTGCTATCATCTTCTTCATCAGACGAAGCGTCCACCAGAAGAGCACGGTCAGGAACGTCTCCTGGGAAAGACTTCGGGGTAAGCTGCCAATCCAGGGGCCAAGAAAATTCAGAGGCTGGGGTCTCAAGTACTTGATCGTCCCTTTCACTCGAGAATGAGATGAAGATGTTGTGAGGGCCTGCTGCTCCGGGCGGTGCATTGATGAATGATTCGGACCACGCTCGTTCCAGGTCCATGCAGCAGTACAGCCTCTCAATAAAGCACCGGTAGGGGTCAAGAACATCTTGGCGCTGGAGCTTATCACGGTTGAGTAAATGCGCTTTCCTGTCAATCATGTCTATCATTGACGACCAGGCAAACCAATTCGGGTCAGGCATCCATCCCGTCAACGTGTAGCTGGCATCTTGCATCTCGAAATCTTGGGGTGTAATACGTGGCCAGACACCATCGTAGCCGGAAACAATAATGGGCTTGTCAAAAACAATCTCTCCTGAGAAAGGGTTGGAAAGCCGTTGCTCCAAAATAGTCCTGAAGTCATCGGTAAAATAGCGCTCTGATCCTTCGATACCATCTTCCTCCAAACATGTGTTAGGGTCCAGAAACTGAAGGGCTTCAGGAGCACCTTGAGAGGACTCAAAGTGTTCATAGCACATTGGCTCTCCCATGTCGCCTTGCCACGCCCGGGATCTTGAAGGGCGTCCATCTGCAAACATACTCTTGCGTTTTCGACCACGCTTTGCAGGCGGCGGGAAGTCATCTCCATCGTCATCATACTCATCCAAAGCCCGCTTCTGGGCAGCTCGTGCCACGTATACTGGTGCATCTAACATCTCGACTTCTTCAGGGAGATCTCGTCGACCCCGCTTCAAGAGATCGCTATCAAGTTGAGCATCGAATGGAGGGGGGAGATACAGATCTGGGTGTGCTTCTTGAATCTTCTGAGCCACATCAGAAGCTTCAGGAGAAAAAGGATCGACCCCAGCCGTGACAACCAAATGGCATTTCTCAGTCACACCTTTCTTACTGCGAAATGTGAGCCAATGTTCGGCCACAATCTTATGCTTCAATAGTTCTCGAAATGCAGCCTGGTACGAGCGGATTTGTGGCACTACCTCAGGAAAGGCTTCGACCCATCGGATACTGATGGCCGTCCACAAAGATTTGCCTCCTGGGAAAACCCCTTGGTGCTCTGCCAAGATATTTTGAATGATCTGGGATACACGGTTGTTGATGACAGCCTTGGTAATAGGGGTATCGGTGACCATAGGCGTCTTCGGTTTCACAACAGAGCCAGGTCCGCTAGGTGTGCCATTGGTGGAGTGTTGTATGGGTTGATATTGTTCAGGCTGGGGGGTTGCGTCTGGCTGAGATCCGTTTCTTTGGAGTTTAGACCGAGGCGTCTTGGGAGATGCTCCTACGAGGCTGAACCGATCCAATGAACTAAGAACCGGGCGCAATTGGCTGTTCTCGCCTTGTACAAGGGCACCATTGGTACCGTTAATAAGTGAGGGCTGTTTAGGAGAGTCGAACATAGCAACTGGAGGTCGTTGCAATTCCGGGTTGACTTGAAATGCCTCTCCCTTAAAACTTAGGGTTGGCCGTGAAGACCAAGTTGGCCGGGCTGCAATTGGGCCGCGTGTTCTCGATACGGGCTTCGGCATTGGTATATCCTCATCATCTGGACTTGGTTCTTTGCCTTCGCCGCGAGCTTTTCCATCCTTTTCGCCTTCATCGTTGTCAATCTCTCTTCCAGTATTCTCGTTATTATCGTGGTCTTTGTCTTTATCCTGGGGCTCTTCTCTTTCTTCGTCGTCCACGGCTCGTCGGCCCTGTTCTTGTGGTTTGTCAACAACAGGTGTCGCAGTGTCTTGGTCTCCAACTTCTATGACCGATTCTTTTTTTCCACGCCGAGTTGGCGTTACTGTAGACACATCAAACGATGGATTACAATTCGTCCTTGACTTGGTCACATGGTAAAGCAAGCCGTTATCATTTTTCCATGCTCTGCCACATTTTTCGCAAACCCAAGGCCGTGGGGAATTGTCATTTTCTGTGGCTTGTTCCGCGTTTCCTTTTGGCCTATCCTCGCCCTTTTTCGGTCGGCCGCGTTTCCTCCCAGTGAGTAGGCTCTCGGTGGAGTTATTGAGTTCCAGTTCATCATCAACGTCCACCCGATTACTAATTTCTTCGTTTTCGGCATCAGTATTGATGGTCCTAGTCTGGACTTTCCTGGCGGAAGATCTTGTTGGCCTAGTTCTTGTCGGCCGTGCAGGGGTTGCCACATCTGTCTGTGCCTTTGCAAGAAGTTCTTTGAGGGCTGCCGGGGATACTTTGAGAGTCACCACAAGGGTAGCAGCCTTTTGAGGTTCAGGGACAGCATCATCCCGCTGGTCTTCGTTAATTTCAGGCGGCGCGAGCGATTCAGGTGCTGGCGTCTCTGTAGGTAATTCGGGTTCTTGAACAATTGTTTCTGGAATCTGCGGGATCACTACTTCCTCGGTAGTTTCATCCTCTTGTGGTGAGATTTCTGGTGTTGGAGCACGTCGTTTTCGGCCTCTTTTTGCCTTTGGGGTTGATGCAGGCTTCCCATTCTTAGCTTTGGAGGCCTTAGGGCGGCCTACTGTCTTTCTGTTGGTCATTCCCATGCTGCACAGCTCAGCCAATGTTGGCGAGCTTTCATGAGATATCGATGATGAGGGTAACGAGGAGAAACCATAGATATCCGCCGGAGTCGGTGTTGATTCTTGACCAGCGGCATCAGTCGATGGCGGTGATGGCGTATGAGGGGCATTTGGTGCAAAGTAACGATAAGAGGCGACCTTTCCAGTTCTTGTATGTTCGCTATAAACCTGAAAATGGGCCAGGTGAGGTGGTTGCAGGCCAGGAACCGCCAAGGCTGTGGTCATTGAGGAAAGATGTCGGCTGTATGAAGGACCTAACGTCAAGGCATAAACATCCGGGTTTGTGAGTCCGGCGTCTCCTAGCCGTTTTGCCATCTCGGCGATTATAACAGGAATCGGCTTGTCCAAAGACCATGGCGGTGATTTGGATACTTCGGAAACGTTAGAGGCTTGTCCTATGAGTTGCTTGTTCCCATCATAACCATCCAGATCTGGGTTCCTTGGAGTCTTGCTCTTTCTCTTGCCTGTTGAAAGATAAAGGGACCAATCTTCTGCGTTGAGATCTCGGACATATTTGACACAGTCCTTGAATACCTTTTCTCCCAGCTTCGCTGCCACATACTGTATAACGCCTCGCTGGTTGAGAAAGCGACACACTTTAGCCAAGACCTTCATTTGCCAACGCATTCCCAGCACACCAAGCTTGGATTTCATGTCTTTCATCTGGAGGACTCCCCACTCCTTGACGATAGCCATAATGGTCGTTGCCAATGCAATATAGTCAATAGATTCACCAGTCCATCGTACGCGCCAAGGGACGGGTTCGAGATCTTCGACAAGGACTTGCCGAGTTAGTGTCATGTCTGGCCGGGCGTCGTCAACACCCTCGCCGTCTTTTGGTAAAGGCGGAGCGAATAGCTTCAGCCACATCTTACTCGTCTTTGTGCCGCGTACAAGTGTTGTTCTCTTGACAATGTATCCCTTCTTAAGGAGACTATCAGTTCTTTTTGGCACACTGCGCTTGTCTTGATCCGTTAGACGCCCAAGATCTCCCTGAAGAATACCTTGGGTAGTAGTCGAGGCTATGCCCAAAAGTAGCATCCATTCGGATTTGGGTACTCGCTTGTAGTCAACTGCATGGCCGGTAAGAGATTCCCACATGATATCTTCAGAGGCGTAGACTCGAACATGGTGGTGTTCTGTTGGATTTCCTGGTAGTGGTTCTGTAGGTTCTGCATTTTGTCCAGGGGTGCCACCAGCAGTTGGAAGCGCCAGTACTTGGTCTAGAGTTAGGTGATTGTACTCGCGATCAGCACCGACAGAAATATCCCGTCTCGCAGTGAGCCAGCTCCAAATGGTCGCGGCAGTGCGGGCTTGCACAGCGGAATCACCCTCAGATAATGATTCTGTTTTGGTTGAGGGATGATGGATAGCTTTCAAAACACCATCCACAGGACAGCCTAGAGTGAAGTAGTTAGTGATTGGTTCTTGGTAGTGGCAGGAAATAAAGTAATCAATCCATAAACTTGCCTTCTTCGCCATGGCATGAGATATGAACCAAAAGGCCCGCGATCAAGCCTTCGAGCTCGGATGCCATTTTATTCCATGTATACTATAGTTCATTCTCAAGTCAATGCGACGCGTAAAAAAAAAACTTGACGAAATTGGTCTGGGGCGAATTGAACTGATGAGCCCCAGCGGAAGGATATTGTTGCTGCACGAAAGAATGATGAAGTGGGGATGCGGGACCTGAAAAGGTGGAGGGCTGAAAGAGCCGCATGAGCTAAGAAAAAGAAATGATGACATAAGCACCCTTCCCTCCAAATTCTCTATTGTCAAGTCACACAGTTGCACATTTAAAAATTAACTGAAACAGGCGTATAGAGTACAGGTCTTGAGCTTCCTTGCTTTTCCCCAAATTATTAGATCAGGTAGAGGATGGTTTAGAAGATTACTTGAACAAGAATTACCAAATTGTCAACCGGTTAATGCATTAGCATGATAATCGCAACAGCATTGGATATCTGCTAAATGGAAGCTCTGGGTAGTCATAGCTGATATTGCGCAAAGACATCAATTACACTAGAGCTCAAATTTAATTCAAATGCCGCAATCTAATATCTCGGATTATAAACTACTATGTCAAAGACGTATTTTCTATCATCTTGTACCTCATACAGGTAGATGGTCCGCTGAACCCCAAATTTGAGGTTCGATGTAGGGGTTTTTCTTTTTGCCCAACCATGAATCTATCAAACCTCACCTCTACATTCTTACATGACGAATGATCCAACAACGCCACAAGAAGTGCCTTGACAGATCCAACAGCAGATATGTCAAAAAATAATGTCTTGTCTACAGACGAAGCCATTGAGAATCTCATTTCCACTTTCAACGAGCTCAACAGCAATTGTATCGATGAACTCCACAACGAACCAAGCCCCCTAGAATTCATGCGATATGTTGCTCGCAACACACCATTCGTGATAAGGGGCGGGGCTTCGTCATGGAAAGCCTGTCAGGATTGGAATTCTGCGTATCTACTATCTGTGATGAAGGGGCAGAATGTGAATGTTGCTGTCACGCCATATGGGTTGGTTCCCTCTGCTGGATATGAGGAGTTGTTCGCTGACTCTGACAGCAATGCTGATATGCCTACCGTGCCATCCGGCGAAGGATCACTGGTCTTTGCAAAGCCTCACTATGAGGACCAGCCCTTTGAAGAGCTACTTAAGTATGTAGCACGACAAGATACAGATCCTGACTTTCCTCCTGATGCCGAAGTGCGCTATGCCCAGACTCGTAAGCCACCTTATCTTGTCGCAGAGATTTGACTGAACATTAGTGTAGAAAATGACAACCTTCGCGAAGAGTACATCACCCTTTTCTCAGATGTTCAAAAGGATATTCCTTTTGCAAGAATAGCACTTGATAAGAGCCCCGATGCCGTAAACCTATGGATCGGTAACTCCAAATCTGTTACAGCCATGCACAAAGATAACTACGAAAACATCTACGTACAGATCCTGGGAAGAAAGCACTTTGTCCTGCTGCCTTCTCTATGCCACCCCTGTGTCAACGAGCAACCTCTCAGGCCCGCAACGTACATGCGCGGAGAAAATGGCATGGAGCTAAAGATGGATCCTACTAATGATGATGCTGTTCCTTTCGCAACTTGGGATCCGGATAAGCCTGAGCAAAATGCTACAAAGTTTTCCCATCTTGCCCGGCCTTTACGAGTAACATTGAATCCTGGAGATATGCTTTATCTTCCTGCTATGTGGTTCGTCATTTTACAAGCTCTGCGTTTCATTAAATATGTTAACATCGATTAGGTATCACAAAGTGCTTCAATCGTGCGCCGAGGAAGACGAAGGATTCGTCCTCGCCGTCAATTACTGGTACCAAACCAAATGCTTTTGATTACCCCTGCAATGCTAATCAGAATCCCTAAACTAGGTACGACTTGGACTTTACAGGTCCACTTTATCCTACATCGACTTTTGTTCGTGATATAAGCCTGGGAAATAGAAAGTAGTCTAGAAACCCGCCCCACACAGCATAAAACCAAAACACCAGATCTATATCCACGCCTCAACCCCTTGCCACCTATGATTAATTCTTCTTCTTGGAAATCCTCTTCTGCGCTCGCAATTCCTTCTTCATGCGCGGATCAACGATACGATATCTACCCTTAACTCCCTTAGGACGGCCCTTGATGCCCCGGTTGAGACCGCGGGCAACAACGAGCTTGGCCTGTTGCTTCTTGGGTTTCTTTGCTGCTTTCGAGATAAGGCGTGAGATGCTATCAGCCTTCTCCTTCTCTGTCATGTTTTCGTCGTTGTTGAGTAACTCTGACTTCTTCTTGAGCTTCTCCAGCTTCTGCGCGGCCTTGAACTTCTTGCGAGCCTTGGCCTCGCGCACCTTCTTGATGGGGCGAGCATTGAAAGCACGCATCTTCTCCTTGATCGCCTGCGCAGCAGCTTTGCTGATAGGTTTCTGAAGCTTGTCATGTCGTGATTCATCTTCAACGAACCAATCTGGTAGACCATCGCGGTCACGGAAGGCGTACTTGTTATAGCCGTCATCAATAGCATCATACGTGCTCTTTTGGCCAGTCGCTAGTTGATGTGCGAGGGACATGGCCTCAGCCGTGATGATATCGATATCTGTGTAAATGTCAGTACTGCGTGGTATTGTGTGAGAAGTCTTGCACTTACCGGGTCTTCCATCGGCTCTTCGGGTGTCCTTGTCCCAATCATCATCTTCATTTCGCTTGACAACCTCGAAACCATCCTCGTTGTCTTCCATCTCGGAATCAGAGTCAATGCCGGCCGCTTCTGTCTTTGTACGTTTGGTGAGAGCCTCAGCTTTGCGATTCTTCGCTTGTTGAGCCACAATGGCTGCTGCATCTCGGTTGACTTCTTCGTCCGCACTGTCCTCAGCAGCATCTTCCTGCTCAGGTAAGATTCCGCTTATGCCTGAGAAGACGTCTTGGTTGAAAAAAGCTGTTGCTCGCTTCGATAAGCCGTTCGCTCCCTTTGAAGAATCCAGATCGCGGATGAGTCCCTCTGTAGGAGCTTCGTCTTCTTCGTCAGAAGAGGAATCGTCCTCCTCAAGCTCCGAAGAGTCATCTTTCTCATCCGCTTCCTCGCCAGACAGGCCATCCCACTCATCATCACCAAAATTCTTACGAGCCTTTTTCGCTCGGTACTTCGCGTCAACCTCAGCCTTGCGCTCCTTATACTGGTCGTACATGGACTCGAGCTCTCGTTCCAGGCGGTCCTCTTCGGGGTCACTCTCATCGTCTGTCTCTCCTGATGAACCAAAGCCACTGTCGGCCTCCTTCTGGGTCGTTTGGGTGGGAACAATCATCTTGCCACGATTCAATTTTCGCATGGCGTCTGTTTTGTCGACTTTCTTGAGTGAAAACATTGCCCCCTCGCCAATTGGTCCGCTTTCTTCTAGACCGATGTCGAAAGGCGTACTCATGTTGAGTTGCATGCGCACTACCTCGCGTTGTTTCCGCTCATTTTCCCTTCGCTTCTCTCGTTTTCGTTTAGTGTTTTCTCGTTCCTTCATGTTTTGGAGTTCTTCCTGGATCTTGAGTTCTTCATCCATTGACTCAACTTCAGCCACCTCCTCGGATTCCTCCACCGTTGCGGCCTGTGGGGTTTTGAGTTGGAAGATGTCCCTCATTTTTAACCGCCACTTGAGCAAAATTTTAAAGTCTTTTCGTCCCAGCACTCGTAGATCTGAACAGCAGTTTCGGATCTCGTCTGTAGTCTCGGGAAGTTTGTCAAGAGCAGCCAGGGCAACATCTCCATTGGGTGGCTGCTTGAAGGAGAGTCGGTTGTAGGAGCCTAGTACAGCGATTGGGTCTGTTGTTTGTATGAATTCTGAAGCCGCCATCTCCTTGAACTGTGTGAAGTCGCCCTCCTCGTAACCATCTCGCTTGCGCTTTTTGACTTCAGGATTGTAGACCTTGGCCTCATTGTTGGGGGTTGGATCCTGGAATTCCGCAAATACGTATTTAGGGTCGAGAAGTCGCGGGTCCAATTTCTTTGGACATTTATACCCTCGGCACACGACGCTACAATAGTTAGCAAGACCAACGCAAGTAGCCAGTGGGGAATTCTAAACTTGCAAGATTTCTGCGCTGACCTGCCTACTCGCTGGTGGCGAAGTTGCATCAACCTTGGTGAAGAGCTGGTTTAGCACCCAAAGAAAGCTGTTATATTCTTTGGAACGGAACACCTTCGATACAAACACTCCACCGGGTCTAAGGAATTCCGTCGCCAATTTCAATGATTGCAAAGCGAGCTAGTAGAAAGCGTCAGTCAGCTGGTATTGGAAGAGAGTTGTTGAACTCAAGTATAAAGTAGAAGTACAAACCTCAACTTGGTTAAAAGAATCCTGAACCCAGGCTGTTCCAACATTAGGAGCTCCATCGTGCAACACAGCATCAGCCTTCCATGTCTTCAAGTGCTGCCTTAGAGTGTTTCGACATTCAGATGACGTTATGTCGCTTTGGAAGCTCAAAACTCCTGGAATCGGCTTGATATAGTCGAGATCGCACCCAATCAAAATCGCGCCGGTCGGGCAAGTCTCTCGGCAAACTTGCAACCAAGACTATAAACTCGTTAGTTTAGGATAAAGACTGAAAGGCATCTCCTAAGACTCACACCCGGCGCGGCGCAAAGGTCAATGACAACCTTGCTCTGCTCAAGGAAGCCAAACTTCTTATTGAGTTGAATGAGTTTGAAAGCTGCTCTAGCCCTTAGGCCCTTCTCCTTGGCAAGACGGTACCACTTGTCGAGACGCCCTTTGCCATGCTATTCCTTATTAGTTTGATCACTGGAGAGTAGAACGATATAGTTACCTTTTTTTGGATCGCCATTGTGGTGACTCGGGGACGAGTTCTACGCCCTAACCTCTGGGTTTCCTATCCTTTCTATGAGAATTGGCAGTAGGGACGAGGTTGTGGTCTTAAGGAAGCGGTATTGAGGAAGTAGTGTTGACGATGTTGCGAGGAAGACGGAGAACGATCTTCTCGATACTCGAAAAAGTTTGGCCCCACCAGAATTTTTGCGACCGATAAGCCAGTCACGTGCAGATAAGACTAAAGTCTGGCACTTTGTTTCTGTCACTGAAATGAAGGGGACTATGGATTAATTAGTATTGGTATTGATTCCTTGGGCGATTAATAAGTCAACTTACCAGTCATAGGAGTAGTACCCTACCAGTGATTAAAACAACAAAGATGGTGTTTTTGAGGGCTTGCCTTGATCTATTGCTGAAATATTTGACCAGGTTGTCAGTCAACTTATCAAATATAGTGGGGCTGATTACCTAACTCCCGCATTAGCTTCTCATTCTCCAAATGGCGGCACGAATGATATCAGAAGTTATCGGGAGAACAGACCACATAAAAAAGCGGCTCAACTCACTCGACCTTGAATGCTCCTCGCCTGCCTCGGTCATTGTCAACAACAACTCGGGCGCGTTGTCGGCCCTCACCATCAAGACTTTGATCTTGGAATATTGCAAAACGGCCAGCGACAACCATGAGCGGACGAGTCCTCGCTGCAGGGCTACGGCCTCTCCCACGCCGCGCTGCGGTTCTTCCCGTTAGACACCTGCATCGCCAATCTACTGGCGGACTCCTTCAAGCCGATGCTGCGATACGAGCCACCCGAAAGCGAATGTGGCAGGGCGGAAATGCATTTCACAATGCTGTCACTACGAGGAATGCGTCCTTCGCGAGGTTTTTGCCTAAGCTGATGGTCAAGTTCCTAAGGGTACCGGCAATGTTTGGCGGTGTGGCCATCGGTGCTTTTGCTTGGGTACAATATCAAGCTGCCCGTACGTCAAACTCGAATATCAAAGTTGCCAACGGTTTCACTAATATAACGCAGAGGCCGGTACATTCGCTGTGAATTTATTCAACACAACTACGGATACTATATCGAGTACGGCTTCGAGCTTATTCGGAGGTGCCAAGGATATCGCCAACCAGGTCAACCGAGGATGGGAAAGCACGAAAGAAAAAGCAGAATTACCCGACTGGGCCAAACAACTTTTTCGAATTCAAGAAGATATTGGCACTGGCGGTCCGGGAGGTTCGGGCGGTGGTGGTGAGCCAAAGCAGAGCAAATTTGGCGCCGCAGCTGCTGTTGGTGCCTCAGCCGCCGCCTACGGATACGACAAGTCGGATGAAGAGGACCCTCGAAACGGCGAACAGGCGGCCAAGGATGACCAAATGATGGTTCTAACCAAGAAGATGATTGAGATCCGAAGCATTCTCCAGAGAGTTGGCCAGTCAAGCACCCTCACGCTGCCCTCTATCGTCGTTATTGGCTCCCAGTCCTCAGGAAAGAGCTCTGTCCTAGAAGCTATCGTTGGCCACGAATTTCTTCCCAAGGGATCCAACATGGTTACAAGGAGGCCGATCGAGCTAACACTTGTCAACACACCTTCTTCCAGGGAAGAGTATGGTGAATTCCCTGATCTCGGATTGAGACGTATTTCCGACTTCGGATCTATTCAGCGAACTTTGACCGAACTTAACCTTGCCGTTCCTGATAGCCAGTGTGTCTCCGACGACCCGATTCATCTTACAATTTATTCCCCCAACGTTCCCGACCTGTCACTTATCGATCTTCCTGGCTATATCCAAGTTGTGGGACAGAATCAACCTCTAGAACTGAAGCAGAAGATTTCCGAACTCTGCGACAAGTACATTCAGCCTCCCAATGTCATCCTCGCCATTTCAGCTGCCGATGTCGATCTTGCAAATTCCACCGCTCTGCGAGCATCTCGCCGAGTTGATCCCCGAGGCGAGCGAACGATCGGTGTTATTACCAAGATGGACTTGGTTGACCCTGTCCGTGGAGCAAGCATTTTGAATGACCAGCAATACCCCCTGAGATTGGGTTACGTGGGCGTTGTTCCTAAGGCTCCTCAGAACCAGGGTCTCTTTAAGATGGGCAACACTAACCTACTCTCACAAATTGTCAAGCACGAGAATGCTTTCTTCTCGTCTCACCCCATGGAGTTCGGTCCTGAGGCCGGTGTTAATGTTGGAACCCCCACGTTGCGTAAGAAGCTTATGCACGTTTTAGAACAGACCATGTCTAGCAGCCTGCAAAGCACCAGTGATGCTATTCGACAAGAACTTGAGGAGGCCACTTACGAGTTCAAGGTCCAGTACAACGACCGACCTCTTTCAGCCGAGTCTTACCTTGCGGAGAGCCTTGACGCTTTCAAGCACTCTTTCAAGCAATTTGCAGAGGAGTTCGGCCGCCCTCAGATGCATGAGCTCCTGAAACACGAGCTTGACCAGAAGGTTCTTGATTTGTTGGCTGCCAGATATTGGAACAAGCCTATCGATGACCTTTCACCCATCAACCCCGATCTTGACAACCTCGCCGATCTCCCCAAGGCTCCTGCTGACTCCCTTTACTGGCACCGACAGTTGGATGCTTCCACATCCGCGCTTACGAAGCTCGGTGTTGGACGTTTGGCCACAACAGCGGTTGCGTCTTCTATCCAGGCTCACATCGACTCCCTCATCAGCAACTCCAGCTTCGCTAGCCACCCCTTCGCCCGACAGGCCATCATGGAGGCTGCCTCTACTATTTTGAACGAGAGATTTTATAGCACCAGCGACCAAGTGGAAAACTGCATCAAGCCTTACAAGTTTGAGATTGAGCTTGAGGATCGAGAGTGGACCAAGGGTCGTGATCACGTCGGAGGTGTACTCAAGAAGGAGCTGCAGGACTGTGAGAAGGCCATGAAGAACTTGGAAGACAGCGTCGGTGGACGACGAAAGATCAAGGAAGTTATGGCCTTTGTCGACAAGGCCCGTAAGGGTGAAGTCGCTGTCGAGGGTGACAACCGTAGTGGCGCTGGTGGCTTCAGCGCTGCTCTTCTGAGCAAGGGTAAGTTGACCACAAAACCTCAAAAGCCTAGATACTAACGAATTCACAGGACGCGAGGCTGTTTTCCTGCGCGATAGAGCTGATATCATCAAGATGCGTCTGCTCGCAGTCAAGTCAAAGCAGTGTGCTGACCCCAAGAATAAGTACTACTGCCCCGAGGTATTCCTCGATGCTGCTGCCACCAAGTTGGCATCCACTGCCGTCCTTTTCCTCAATGTTGAGCTCCTTTCTGAGTTCTACTACAACTTTCCCCGAGAGCTTGATCTTCGTCTAGGACGTCACCTGTCCGAGGATCAGATTGAGAAGTTCGCCAAGGAGGATCCCAAGATTCGCAGACACTTGGAGGTCATCCGCCGCAAGGAACTGCTTGAGTTGGTCCTTGAGAAGATGGAAAGTCTACGACAGCTTGAAGGCCGCGATCGCGAGAAGTCAAACTCCGGCTCGCGACGGGACCGCAAGCAGAGCCGATGGGGCCTGTTCTAAATGGGCTTCCCCTTTAAAAATGAGAAATGAGGTCATACTGGGAGTAAGGAGTTGAATGCTTGGTTGTTGATTTTAGAATATCATCGCACTCAGAAAGACAAGACAAAGTTGCCTCAGAAACGCGGTCGTTGGGTATGCTTCAGCGGGACTTATTGGTCCCTCTTACTGTATCTTGTCAACATATATATGTATGCAAAACCGATTGATGGCAGGCGGATGCAGAGGGCACGTTGGATGAGGATGTGTATAGAAGTGCTTGATTGCGCGCAAGGATACCCTCCTCAATAACATTGAATAGTACAATCTACTCAAATAACGATAACTAACATGACGCTATATTTATGTTCGCTAGATATATGTGACTGTTGTAAATCATCATGTACAGAATTTATCATTATTATCCCAACGACAGGAAACTCCTTGCTCTTATGTACTACCTTCAGTAGTCATTTGTAGTGTTACCTCCCATCGGATACTGCCTCCGTGGCCGTATCCCTCGCCCAATCTGTTCTGGATCAAGGCTGAGATGCGCTGCCGTAGCTTGCTGAGCGACATTTCATCGTAGCCCTTGACAACACTCAACTTGAGATTAGCCATGCAGAGGCCATAGTGAACTTGCCAGAACTGAGCATCATCAATAGTCACCACGCTAGGTTCGGTCTCGATCTCTCTCAGAACGGCACTGACGCCGTTATTGCCTCCACTGCCACCGTAAGACATCAGCAGCATAAGACCCTGAGCTACAGCAAGTCTCATTCCAAGAGCAAACATGGCGAAGGCGATGACGACGCAGATGAGACGGTCAAGCCATGTGTAGAGTGAGATAGAGAGCAGAGGAAGAAGAGCGATGACAGCGGAGAAGGACAGGGTGAGAAAGTGGAAAGGGTTTGAGAGTACACTTGGAAGAGAAGCAAGGTACGAGACACGCATGAGTTTGGCAATGCGGGCATGGTTTCGAAGACCATATGCCGAGACGAGCGTGCTCACCATGGCAGCAGCAGATACGAGATCGACAGAGCCATCTGGGCCTTCATGACCATGTTCATGATGAGCCTCGTGGCTACCAAGAGACTCAAGGAAGTGCTTGAGAGTGTGAGAGATCAAGTCAAAGCCTCCAAAAAGGAGGAAAACAGACATAGCGAACCCAGCAAGGACCTCTGCCCTCTCGAGGCCAAAAGGGTGCCGAATGCTGCTACGTCGCCAAACTTCAAAGTTGCCAAGGACATCAACCATGACACAAACAGCAGCACTACCAGCGTCAAAGAAGACGAGATGCGAGAGTGCTGTTGTAGCAAGAGACCCCTCTGAACGGAAGAAGACATATGTAGCCACGGCAAGATGGCACATGCTCCAGTAACAATGGATGCGTTGGTCTTTTGTCATGCTTTTCCATGCTTCGCGAACGGTCGGGATCGGTAGAGAAGCGGGGAGAACGGGAGGCGGTCTCTGAGGTGGCTCTTTGAAGATTTGATGTTGTGAGGAGATACTGCTGTGCTTGTATCTGTGACCGCGACGTTGTCCAATATTCTTTCAAGACGTTAGCATGTGCCAAAGTTGCGAGATGTGCATGATCAACGTACCGACTTGACAGGGCCTGTAGAAATAACTTGCGTCTGGAAGTTGAAAGGGTTCTTGAATCCAGGGGACGCAGCAGAGTCCCCCTTTTCATCTTCACCACCCATTGTTGGAAGCGATAGGGAAGACGAAGACGCAGCCGCGGGAGAGGGAATGAGGAGATTCGAAGTCGCCGAGTTCTGAGCGATAGCCTCGCGATTGAGTTGTCGATTCACCGCGATAGAGTCGTTATCTTGATCACCACCAAAATCAATAAACGCTTCGTGATTGGTGATATCGAAATCGTCGTCGCTGTCGCCCTGGATGACCAAACTCGGCGGACGAAGGTTCTGAAAAGAAGAAGCACCTTGATAGTCCGACATGTGTCTGCTGCTGTTTTCGGATATCGCGCCTCTTGATTCGGTCTAGGTTGACGATGATCTGAAGAACCCCCTATTTCTGAACTAGAGGCTTGAGAATTATGTCATGGGGTTATTCCCAAAGTTTGGGTTGCACAAAAACTGGTTTCGTCGACGGCGCGAGTCGTGAAAAAGAAGCCTGATGAGTTGGAATGCGTTGACGTCGCGATATCCATTACCTTAGCCATTAGGTTGTGGAGGCGGACCGATGGGGGGTAAATTAGGATCTTTCAGGGGTACTCCGGACGATGCAGGGGTTATACAACAGCCACAGAGCACCATCCATGTCCGGTATAGCGGGTTGATCAGTCCCTTGTGTTTGGTGTGGCGTACATGGACACAAGCCTCAAAACAGTCGTCATTAGCTTCATGTGGTTCTATCTGGCTTCAATAATTATGTCAATGTCCATAATCTTAACATAATCAACAACGGAAAGGTTACAGGAGTCATGCAGCAAACTCTCTTACTCCAATAATGCCAATTCGCGGCATTCGACTGTTGCCATGAATAAATCACACTCGCTTCTGAATACCAAGTCAACACCTCGATTTCCACTCGTTCGAAGCTTGCGATAGCGATTCAACTCGATTACTTCGCTTGACGACTCCATTTAGACTCTCGTGATGGAAAACACATCTCATCATAAACGGGATACGTCACCTACGCCATCTTCATCCCACCGACGAGCCCCCTCGAATTCCAGTATACTATCCAAGTTCCCCTTTTTAAGAACATCCCCCGAAAAACGACACGAGCAAACCGAACATGCGATTGACGACAATACCATTCCAGCTTCTCCTCGCCCGGCCGCACGACCGTCGGCGAGTGTAATACAGTACCAAAGAACTCGAAGACGAAGAGGATCACTTAGGAAAGCGGCGCTGCTTGGTCGAGGAGCACAACGCGAGCGTAGGGAAAGCCGACCGTTGAGCATTGACACTTCTCATGCTGCTGCATACGGACTCGACCCTAATGCTGTAAAGACGGAAAGCCCGTCATCAATAGAGTCGTTGGATTTGAACGCGACGTCGGCCAATGCTCAACGTAACTTGGTCAATGGATTCACCCCTCTTCCCGGAGGACTTGGGACAGCACCCGTACTTCCTCAGAATGGTACAGCATTACAGACAACGACTCACCCAATATCACTTGCGGATCAAGACGGGGCATCTTATACATCAACGGACGAGGAGGATATGCTCCAGATACCAGGGATCTCATCAACAATTCGGCAGGGCCTGTCTATGTCTTCTGGACAGGACTCATACTTTAATAGCCTAGGCTCGACATCATCCCATGGGCGAAGACGTCCTGTCAACCGGGCAAAGTCACCGTTGTCATTCAGTGGTCTTTCGTCCAATACACTCCCTGCTCATGAAGATTGGGACTACGCAGAGACAGAATGGTGGGGATGGGTTGTCCTCTGCGTAACATGGTTTGTGTTCGTTGTAGGAATGGGATCATGTCTTGATCTCTGGAGCTGGGCATGGGACGTGGGAAAGACGCCATATGCGCCGCCAGAGTTCGAGGACGATGATACTTTACCAATCGTGGGGTACTATCCAGCGTTGATCATCCTGACAGGCGTTATGGCTTGGGTATGGGTTGTAGTAGCTTGGGTTGGTATGAAGTATTTCCGGCATGCCAAAATTAGCGGCGACTAATCCGAGCGTTTGGCTATTTATGGCTTTAATATCTAGGCTCGAATTGAGTTCTGACATGGACTTGGCTCGATGCTATTAATGATTATAAATGACAACATATTAATATCTTCCAACATCGTGGCTACGGCAGTGAACTTGACAGGTTACTTTTCAGCTGCATTTGAGTCTTAATTTAGCTGAGAATTCCAAATCAGCTGGTCACTGCAGCTGTTGGTTGATCAATTGTTGGCAGCTGTACATTATCAATTCCTTGTGGAATATCTCATTGGTGTTTTTAAAAGTTAAGCGCCGATACAGCGGTAACACACGCCAGGGCAGCCAATCAGGTCACCGCTGATCCTGACCAACAAATAGAGACATTGAATCGTGGCATGCTCAGCGGGGTCCTTGCAAGCCTTTGACGAAGAAGTTTGATGGAACCAACACAACAAAGTTTAACTTTGCAGGAAAATTGACCCTTTGTATGCAGGGCTCGTACTGGGCGCGAAAAAACCAATGGCTGTTATTCATTGAATGTTTGTGTTCCCACGTGAGGAGCCAAGGGATGAGTGGCGATATTGAGTCTTTCTGTTGCACCAAGGCAGCCAAGATGATGTGTGCATTTACAACGGAATATTCCAGCATGATTAGTGGTCAGTATTGATGCGTATAACCGTAAGCAGAAATTATCGAATGCAGTTGCTGTTAAAATATGGAGATCTAGGGTAGCTATCGGAAATGAGATACTATCAAACCTAATGGTGTCCAAATTCCCCGAGGACATCAATCATTGCCCCATTGAGGTCGAGCAACTGTCCAACGGCCGATTCGCATGCAGGGATCGGCGAGATAATCCCCAAGAGCATGCCTCGAGACCGACTGGGGTTGAGGTCGAGAACTCGACGCCTCCGACAATGTTGTTGTTCTTGGCCAGTATCAACACCATGAGGCCGAGAATCTTGGCAGCAGGAATATTTCATGAGATGGTACTAACAGCCAATGCTGCATACTCCTAATAAATATTCCACAGTATTAGATATCTTGATCGATATTCGTACAATAGCCGCCAATGCCGTGCTCATACCCCCAACTAACAAAAGCGCATCCGGGACGTGGGGGGACCAAATCCGAGCCGAAGTGACCCAAGCCCGAATAATTAGCCTCCGCCCTTTTTCTTGGCTGGCGGCCCGACACAAGCTTACCTCGTGGACATGGCCATGAGGGTAAGTTCTGAGGTCTCGTGATGATTTTCTACAGCGAGAGATCTTGAATCTTGGATCTAACTAAAGAAACCGTCACCGACTATTGATCGAAAGTGCGGAGATTTTGTCTTATCGTGATCCAACTCGTGATGTGACAACGTTGTGTTTCATATGTATACAAAGCAAGTCAAGCCACTGCATCAGAAGTGATCATAATCATCATGCGAGAGCCTGTCAAGCTTCATATTTCGTTGTCAATACTGCATGGACTTGGGTGACTTGCTTATTTGTTCATTTATTTACCCACAAAGGTGTTCGTCAAGGTTGTTTATTATGCATGTGTCGTACTCACTACCTTACTCACGTCAATGGAGCCACGATCCATCTTGATACCAGTCATGACACTGTCTTGGCGCCATCGACCTTTTTCTTTGTGTCTGAAGCTGAGAAACCCCTCAACAAAGGACAAGACCAGGTTTGAGGAGTTCCCGAGAATCGGATCCGACTATTGTATTAACTAGATAAATTAATTACGAGCTGAGTAATAATAACAAAAGCAAAGAGGACAAAGTGACAGGCGGGACACAAGACATGGAAGGGAGACCAAAGCCCTTGTCAATCTCCAGCTACGCCTGAAACAATTCCACCCGTGGCCATATGTAATCAAAATCAAACCACTCAGAAGGGGTCCCAACCTCACTTGAACCGACAGATCCAAGGCATTTGCATATTTTTCTCATTTCAGCTGTCAACAAAAAAAAACCAGGTTTGGGGCCTATTGAATGCACGAGCTTCTTTGATGAGCTTGTCTTGGAGCTTTGAGTCACCTTACTCAGTGCTGTGCTCACCTCACCCATCAGCTTAGTTGGGGTTCCTACAGTAGCCTCGCCGTGTCCGAGTTTCAATGATTTTTTTGCCATCCCGTCCATCCAATTCAGCCACCTACCTACATATTTGCCTGCTGCCAAGATCCACAATCTCATCCATTCTCATGCAGTAGATTCGGGGTTTGTTGACTGAAGAGGCGAGTGATGAACAAGTAAAAGGAGAAATGTTTTGGCGAGACAAAACTGTCGCTGTGAAGAAGATATTATTCCATCCAATGCTAGAGCCGCTAGAGACGGGAGGTCTGTACTGTAGCTGTAGCTGTACGCTGTAACAGCACATCCACTCGATCCTCCCTTTTGGTGACCATATCTTCCAAAGTCCTCCCTAAATTCTATCGATTCCTCTTCTAAACTCATCATCACCATATCTGATTCGCCATCCTCATCGATAACTCTTCAATTCTAAAATATATCCTGCAAATCGAAATACCTGACAATTCAATATCTTCATCGCCTTCAAGACAAGTACATACCTAGTACTGTACCTTGCTGCAGCTCATCAGGTGTCTGTCTGTCTATCGGATCTCTCCACCGCCACACACGCACACAGACACACAGACCCTCCCCCAAAACCCGCCCAGAGAGAGACCACCCCTGGCGCGCCCGCCTAATTCGGCCTCCCCTACGGCCCCTACCATAGGTCACCTACAGCACCTCATCAGTGGAGGAGACTCATCGGCCGAATGCCTGGGCTTCCAAAACCCGCCTAAAACCAAATCAAACCAGCCTCTTCACTCTTCACCCCATCCCCTTCAACTCACTCACTCAACTCTCCACTCCGTCTTTTCTCCCATCTCCCATCAACTTACCTTCGCAGCCGTTCCAACACCATCTCCCCAAAATACCCTTTTCATTTCCATCTTCCTCTTTTTCTCGTTTACTGGTGTTGTACGTATCCCCCATTCATAACGTCTATCTTCGAATCTCCTCCTTTGGCCGTCGGAAATCGTTCCCCTGCAATCTCACGAGTAATCCTGCGCCAGACTCGCTCCACCGCGTCACGATCCGTTACGATACCCTCAAAATCCTGTCCGGCTCGATCTACCTTGACCAGTTCCCCCATCGAGGGGCTTGTCCATAGCATCATCGACCTCGCTTCCTATTGTGTTGTCTGTTTAACGTTGCGAATCTGGCTCGCCTTATTGTCGTCAGGCTTCAGGTCGCCACACTATCTCGACAAATTGGGGTCGTTAATAATCCCTCCCATATCATACCTCCGAAACCCGCCTCGACCATCCTTCAACATCATCAACCGCCAACATGAGGGAAGTCAATTTCAGTATCCCCAATGTCAATAAGGCGTCCGTCGGTATCACTACCGCCCTATATGACCGCCGTGCTCTCGACTGCACCTCGACCCTCCCCCTCATCAACTCCCTCAACCATCTCGCCTATCTCACCACATCCTCTGCTCGCATCCGGGACATCCTCACCGTCGATGGAGGCATCGAGCGCCTCGTCTGCATTCTGAAGCAAGGCCGTAGTAAGGACATGATGGGAATGTGGAAGTGGAACCTTGCTTTTCAGTGTGTTGTCAATATCGGTGTCCGAGGCACGGAAAACGTCCGCACCAGAGTTGTTGAGGCTGACATGGTTCCCGTCATCGCTACCATCCTCGACAACTATACAAAAGCTGTTGATAAATGCCGCGAGAAGGCAGAGGAGGCCAAACAGAAGCAGAGCTACGACCATCACCGTCACCGAAGCCATGAACACCGTTCAACCCCTAAAGCTTCGTCCTCCAACTCAGCATCGGCCTCTGCCTCTGCATCATCCTCATCTTCCACAACAGTAGGTGCCTCTGCGTTCGGTCATCGATCTAGTTCTCGTGTCGATGCCCCCGAGCAGCGATCTCGTCGTCACGCCCCACCGCCCTCTATTGATGTCTCAGCCTCTTACGCTGGGCCATCCACCGCTGCTCCTCAGCAGCAAACTCAGCAACAGCCCGCTGATACTGCTATGGGCAACTCTCAATGGTCCCAGTCTTCTTCAGAACGATCTACGTCTTGGGGTTCATCTCGTCACCAGCCCCTGAGAGGCCTTGAAAGTCGTCACGCCACGACTTCGGCCCCCCGTCAGGCCATGCAGCCCCTTGCAACTGCAGTCCCTGCCACCGAGACTCTTGAAGGCTTTGTGAGACCTGTCCGTGATATCGACCGCCTTGCGTCAATGGCACCATTCGGCTCAGATCTGATCTCTCAACCCACATCACCGACTACACCATTGCCGCCGCCCCAGATGCGATCGCCCACCGTTCGCCCAGCATCTGCTCTTGGGTCCCAACGATCTCGTAGGCGCCCATCGATCCGCCACCAGAACTCGACTGCCGATGCCGACGACATTAATGGAGACAGCATGCCATCAGACGAGTCACCTGAGACCGAGATGACAGGTACTGATAACCTGCAGTCAGCTGTTGGTATCCAGGATATCACCATGGAAGATGGTGACACTATGCTGGGTGGTACAGCTCTTGACTTGAACACGCCCACTGTCTCCGAGACCCATCAGGAGGCCAGTACCTTCAACATTAATCACCGTAGCCCCATGGACGGAAGTATTGCCAACAACAACACCCCGGCTCCGGTTCCTGCAATTGGTCTCTCACCTAACCGTCCTACGTTGAACACGCCTCCTCAGCCCCCTCTGGCCGCCACTACCGTCCCTCGATATCTCCTCGACCGCAACTTTGTTCCCAATCCTCAGATGGTCGCTGCGATGCCGCGAGAGGAGGATGTGCTCATGTCTTTGCAGCTTCTTGCCTATGTCTCGAAGTACTGCGGTCTTCGCTCCTATTTCCAGAAGAGCCATCTCGTTCCTCGCCTCAAGATTGGCAAGGAGCTCGCTGCCATTGATAAGGACATGTCTGCCATGGATGAAGAAGAGGAGGAGCCCGAGGTCTACGATGAAGACGCCGACGATGAGGAGTACCTGCTCCCCAACGACTTCAACCTCTTCCCACTGGTCGAGAAGTTCACAGTCCGCTACCACAGCACTGATATGCAGTACTGGGCCGGCGTTGTTATGAGAAATCTCTGCCGTAAGGATGACACACGTGGAGGTATCCGCCAATGTGCATACTACCAGTGCGGCAAATGGGAAGAGTACACTCGCCAGTTTGCCAAGTGTCGTCGATGCCGACGCACCAAATACTGCAGCAAAGAGTGCCAGAAGAGCGCATGGGCTTTCCACCGTCACTGGTGTGTAGCGGCCACACAGTAAGGTCGTTCGTTTGGTGGTGGCTCAGCACAATGATTTACACGACAATCAATTCGTAACAGCATCTTCTCGGCGCATCCTGCGGCATCAATGCTTGATTCATACGCATTATTCTTTCAAGGGTTGCAAATGCATTGCACAGCAAAGCGTGTCATGAGCGCATGGCGTTTCTTCTCGATACCACTGGTTCTGCTTTCTTTTTCATGGGCGTACGGGGTTGGGCATCATTAACGGTCGTTGACTTTGGGTGCATCATCGCGTGTCATTGCACATTCAACGTTTCTTTGTCTCTTATCTAACACTTCTCTCACCTTGGAGGTTCCCTTTTTCTAATTATTTCTTATTGGTGTGGCTGCAACCGCTCAGGGATATATGTCTCTGAGCTCTGGCGTTTTCGACCGCGAGCGGGCATTAAGCAGACGACAATGGTGCTCGTTTATGTATATAGATACCTTTTGACTGCTGGGGGCTCTCGGATGGCACCACTTTCGAGGGCATGGACATCTGGATATGACTTGACGACGGAGAATGACGGAGGAGGCGATGGAGATTCGCAAAAAGACGACACGGGCAGAGTCGGCTGCAAAATTGATTCAGTGGATACTGATTTGCATGTTCAACAGGGTTGGATGCGCAGCCTGCTTGGTGATTGAGCCCATAAAAGGGTATCATCTTGGAGGCTATCGGGACTGCTCAGACTTGATATGCAGTCGAGATCAGAATCTGCTATATATTCCTTTGGGTATAGATGAAATGACCAAAAATTCAAAAAAACCTGGCTCCTGGAGTGATTGACCATGATGAAACGGATTAATTCGAACACTTTGTAGACGCCACGTAAATATTTTGTAGGTAATCAAGTCCGAGTCTTTCAGATCAATCACATTGTGTAAGTATGAAGAGTATTGTGACAGAAAATATGAATATTGACCAAATGGTTTCGATTTACATGCAAGAGGACCCTAAACGCCAGCCCTTGTACTTCATCTCTAGCCTTTCTTTTCAACAGCAATGCATCACGCAAGCCAATCTCGCCCTCGATCTCACCAACGATTATCAACACAATGTCTCTCCCTCTCTTTACCGAGAGCCCATGGCCTTCCGTCTCGCCTTGCCAGGCCGAGACTTGGAAACTCTGCTGCCGGCCTTCATCTTCTTGGGGTCGAAGCCGCTGAGATCGCCGGAGCTCATGGCATCGCCTGACTTGGCGTGGCGCTTCTTGCCTCCGAAGCCGTACTTCTCGTTCTTCTTGGCTCGCTTGTGGTTGGCTCCAGCACCAACTTGGCCGCGACCGGCGCCTGCGCGAGGGTTGTGGCCCTTCATTTCCTTCTCGACACCGACGTCAAAGATATCGGCTTCCTTGGTGTCGAGACCAGCACCGCCAGTTTCTGAGCGCTCTAAGAATGGTTGTTAGTGAAGAGCAACTTCGAGGTGGTAAGTGGTGGGAATGCTTACTTCGCTTGAGGTTCTTGATCTTCTCAAGAGTCTCACGCTTGGCCTTTTGTCGCTCCTGGAGCTTAGCAACCTGGACCTGCTTTCCGAACTTCTTCAGGTCGCGCAACTTGCGAGCCTCCTGAGCAGCCTTCTTGTTAGACGCCTCCTCCACAAGCTTAGCCTTGACCTTCTCCATATGGGCATCCTCCTTGATCATCTCGGCGAAGTAATCCTTGGGACGAGAGAAGGGAACGTTTTCTTTTCGCAGAAGCTTGCGGGCAGAACGAGCGGCCTCGAGACTCTGGCTGTAGAAGGCGAGCTCGCGCTGCAGATCGTCTGACACGTCGGGGATGGCCTCAGAGGTCAAGTCTGTAGAGATGATGGATTGATGGGTGGCGAATGGGACGGACTTGTCTGTAGGGATGGAGATGCGGTTCAGCGCGGCGAGGAGAGCGGTTGTGTTGTTGATAGTGAGGCGCTGGTGGGGAATAATGTCTTCCTTGTCCTCATCGTCGAGGTCCTCGAGATCAGACATGGGGATATCCTCTTCATCTTCCTCTTCCTCCTCATCGTCGTCCTCTTGGGCCGCAGCCTTCTTCTCAGCTGCCAGCTTTGCGATTTCGCTCTTCTTGAGTGTATCTCTCTTTGGCTTGCGAACAATCTTTTCCTCGAGTTCGATTGAAGAATCTGAGTCGTCGCTGTCGTTGATGCCGTTCAAATCGTACTGACCACTCTGTTAGTCAAATTCTCGAGCGCGAGATGGTTTATAACAAACCTGAGGCTCTTCCTCTTCATCATCCTCATCCTCATCCTCGTCCTCCTCGTCCTCATCATCGTCTTCAAACTCAGCCTCAATCTCAATGGTCTTCTTCTCGTCATCCTTGTCTGCCCCACGAGCAGCAGCGTTGCGCTTCTCAGCCTCCTTCTGCTTTTTCAGGAGCTTGAGCTTCTTGAAATCTGTGCCCTTCTCAGCGGCGAGGGCCATCTTTAGTTTGCTTTTTGTGACCATTTTTGCGTATGTAAATGTCGAATGCGACTTTGTCGTGTTTGGTAGTCGGCGCAAAGCTTCTAGGCAAATGTTACTGGGTGCTAATAGGAAAAATCTCCAAATTCTGCCGCGGGACTGACTTCACCGCCTTGACTTTTTTTTAGTGGAGACCTTCCTTTTCGGGGTTCGCCAATGAATGCTATCCACTCACTCACTCACCCGGGGCAAGAACCAAAACTTCAGATTTGACTTAAGGCAAAGTCTGAAAAAGATGTGCCAACTGCCTATTTGAGGGCGTCCCAGGTTGATGCTATTATTTGTACTGAAACGAGTCTTTTTATCTGCTTAGGATTGTACTGCAGTTTTTCGTTTCTGACCACTCCTAGACACGCTTGAGGTAATGGAAGAAATGGCAGGTTTGAGATGTTGCAATACTAATATAAAGTTGTATGAAAATCATATTCATCCTTTCTTCTAGTAGCTATATATAGGAAATCGGCTAAAGCTCTCTTCAGTTGCTTCGGGGACAAGCGTTAGTCATTCGAGTGTCTCCTCTCAGCAAAAGTGCGTTTTGCTCCCTGCAAATCATCTACATTGATGACATCAACGCCTTCATCAAGCAATACCTTCTCAACTTGTCTTCGGGCGTTCTGTGGAAGAAGTGGCATGCCCCAATATCGAACCATGAGACCTCGAATATGGGCTTGAGAGATTTGATCGCGTATCAACTCCAGCTGCGTTGGCCTAAGACCTTTCTTAGGAACCTTGCCAACCGACTTCTTGAACGAGGTGCTGGCATAGTATGAGTTGGTGTTGTCGTATTGGCCTCTGCTTAACCTTTTAAGTGGCGCATCAAAGAAGACGTCGTGTGAAGGATTGGCTTCTTTCACCAGGCGAAACTTGGTCTCACCAGTTGCCACGACTGTGATGGGTCTTGACACAAACTCGCCATCGCTGACATGGCTCAGCCACCCCCTTTGACGAAGTGGTTCTAGCATCTCCAGTAACAGTGGCCATGATTTATCAGAGTTCGACTTCAAGTCCACCAGCAACACCACAGTCTGATTGGGTTTGTGGACATATACACCTCGAGGTAGAAGTTCTGGATCTCTGTCTTGATTCCGAGCCTTAAGTAAGTTCACTAGAGGTTGAATGTACATTGACGTCAAAGTTTTTTCGGTTGATAGTTCGTCCTCAGCATGGCCGACCATGAGTTCATCCCGGACCTTCCAGACATCTACTTCGATGCCAATGCAGCCAGTCGTAATGGCTGAGGTCAAAGGCTCAGCCTTCCAATAATCGTTATGCGAGTGGCATGGTATAGGAACTGTGTCGTCAGGCACCGAGTCACTTCTGATGTGAAGACTGCCTGCCTGTACTTCAGGAGTATAAGGCCAAATCATGGATGTGGTGGCAAGAATAGCAGCGAACATCAGGGCTATTGAACTATTCGCAGTCAGAAGCAGAGAACGCATAGTAGAACTCAAGGCTCACCTGATAGCGGCTACTGTCATACCAAAGGCAAAGATATAGGGGTTTGTTCTGACCCTCAGGCGAGGCACTCCATTTTTGGAGACCATTCTTGTTGCCTTTTGCTCTTGGGATGATGAGTATATTGCCGTTGCAGTGGTTTCTTGTGGGTGTTGCATAGATGATGATCCCGTTCAGAGCTTGACGATTGAGGCAGAACTATAGGCCTGCTATGCACCAAGGAAAGATTTCCCTTTTGCCTACCTTGGATTGAAGCCGCTTAATATATTGCTTCGCAAGGTTTAAGGATGGTTTTGTGATCCGTTGAGGCCCCAACATTAAGGTTACTGTGTAAGCATGTTGTTTTAAACATACTATTATTGTGTTGTCGTGACTGTGTCTTAGCCATACAATTGGCTGTGTGCTGTGAGATGGGCATTGTAACTTAAGTTACGGCTGAAGATAGTTTCGGGACGTCGAGATAGTTTGAGGCTATGATGATGTCAGCGAGTCTCAGAAGTCGGGAGGGCTAGTGATTAAGGTATAGTAGGTTATGTATGAAAGGCTAACATGAATCTATAGACGTTTTGGTACGCCATTTATGAAAGAGAAAGTAATCTTCTTTTACAACGATATTCTGCCCTTCGCCGTCTGTCCCCAAGTCGTCTGCCACACTCTGAGACTAAAAAGATATCACGGCAATCAACATCCGTATCTAATCATTCTTGTGATCCGCCCAAAAACATACAAATTAATCAGGTTTCCGAGTCTCCGGAATATCACCGAATTCTCTCTTGATATTACCTAGTGCAATCCATTGACAGACACGTCATGGAGATCGATAACCCCGCAAGTTGTATCAGGAATGGAAACATCTCCGCCATGACTTGACCTTGACCTGATAGCTTTCTTCGATATATTGTGACCGAACCTCTCTCCTTACAACAATCAACCATATCACATTCATCTCTACAGTCACAATGGCCAACGAAGGACGCATCGCCACTCTGGACGTAAGATAACTCAACCGTAACGCAAATGTAAAACGAAATCATGCTTATTCAACAACAGTCAACCATCGCCGATAGGCTCCCTGTCTACTCCAAGACTCTCTTTGACGGAAAGGCCGCCAAGGACCTGAGCTTTGAGGCAATTGCAAAGCATCTAGGCCGTAGCGAAGTTGCAGTGGCAGCATTGTTCTACGGACAGGCCACCGCCTCGCCTGAGGATGTTGAGAAACTATCAGAGATCCTTGACCTTCCAAAGGAGACGTTGGCTGCCCAACTAACGGGCTTCCCCAACCGTGGCCAGGCTGGACCCATGCCTCCCACCGAGCCTCTCATCTACCGACTGTATGAGATTGTTCAGAACTATGGATATGCCTATAAGGCTATTCTTAATGAGAAGTTCGGAGATGGTATTATGAGTGCTATTTGCTTCTCGACTACCGTGGATAAGGAGGTGGATGAGGCAGGCTCACCATGGGTCGTTATCACATTGAAGGGCAAATGGTAAGCCACAAGCTATTCTTAGCATTGAAATCATACTAACTAAGATGTACAGGCTTCCTTTCAGTCGTTTCTAAGTATTGTTCTTGTTTAAAATTGGGTTGGCACGTCGCGGCATGGCCGTGATGCATATTGTGCCACTTAGAAGAATGACCACTCAGATATCAATTGCTGTAATTGGGTCACCAGGAGAAATTCAAAGCCCCACTAACTCAATGATACCATATTATTACAGTAATTTGATAGGGGAAAAGTGGCGATATAGCAAGGAACAATATGAAGCGAGAGAACAATATTAAGCACTTTACAAAGGAATACCAACAGGCAAAACCCGTGTGTCCGCTATTGCTGTACCACATGATACCGCAATTGGATCAGACTTCAGGTATTAGAAACACTTTGAAAGCCTATACCATATGTAATTCGAACCTGGGGTAAGTCCGAAGGCCGGTGACAGTTTGGTGGCTGGACTAGCGGCGGATACTCTTTTGTCTGGCAGTAACACCATCTCGAGAACAATATGAAGCATTTTTGCACGGATCACAGGCTTCACGGCCAACACTGCAACTCCTCGAGAACATCGCTTTTATGGCCATTATGTTACATGAATTTACCACGACAAGTCTGTCAGCAAGTATAAAGATCAGGCCTTCTTCCCTCAAATCTCACTCTCATCAACGCACAACAATCATTCACTTACACACACAAACACTCCTTCCACTATTCTCAACACAGAACACTCTCTGACTTTTCTAAGTCTTTCAACCCCAACTTTCAAAATGCCTTCCACCAAGAACACCACCGCCCAGACCCCCGGCTACCCTCTCAGCTGCAGCGTCATGGCCAAGCCCACCAAGGACAACCAGACTCCCGGCTATCCCCTGAGCTGCAGCGTCATGAAGAAGCCAGCTGCCAACGGTCAAACCCCCGGCTACCCCCTCAGCTGCACTGTCATGTAAATGGCTTTTCAACTCACGACTTCACAACTCCACTGGGCTCTTGAGAGCGACTTTGACAACTCGGCAAATGCAAATACCACACTTGGCTGAGCATTTGGCTCTCGGATTGAAAATTGGAGGAAGATGGAGATGATTCGGCAAGGAGGTGATTCAATTGGCTTGATTAATCTTTTGTTTACCTGGCTTTGAGTGACGGGACGCCGACATTTGGACGCCATTTTTATACTGGGCTGGCCGGTTTCATCAGTCGCGAGGTGGAACATGGTCGCCTATAAGGAGGAGGATGGGGATGATTTACTACTTTCTTGAATACAAGCCTTTGAATTAATTTGGCGCCTCTATGCTGTAAGAAAGTGATATGAATGCCATAAATCGTCCAAGCCACTTCATTCTAGTCTTCACTTACACCCACCTCACTTAGACGCTTGTCTACTGTACTTAAGGCGAGAGTCAGTTTCTCAAGAAAACATCCTCAATGATGTAAGATAGATAGTTTTAAAAAGACAGAGTAGGAATATCCTAAATATATAGATCGTTCAATTGTTCAACTTGACAATTGGCATCATAACTTCAAACCCATTGTCTAATAACCCAGCCTAGAGTAGATCCACTTAGACGTTGGGGATGATGAGAGAATTCGGCCTGCCAAGATCATTTCAAGACTCCTACATTGAGACAACTTGTTTTCGACTAGATCTCAATTCGAGGCAAAAGCTGCATGATCTTCTGAGTCTTAAATTTTGAGGTTACGCTATTCTTCGGCATCTGTGCTGTAGTTTGCCTAGGTTAGAATACATTCTGGGCACCGCGGGGGTGCTTGGCGGTTCGAGACGCTTATCGATAAGAGAATTTTTGGTTCAGCTCAACCTTCGCAACTTGCATCTTCAAGTTTATCTTCAGCAATTGTGACCGTACCACGATTCAGCGACATCACTACAGAAACCCCATTCGTAATACCAGAAACGGTCTTCGCTGGGCCCAGAGATATATCCAAAAACTTCAACATGCCTCACAAGCACAAAAGAAAGAGGGGAGATGACGAAGCAGAGTACGTCAATCTCTAATCTCGATTGCATAGGCGCAACTGACTTTTCATAGCTTCAACCTTCCTCCCACCCAAAGAGCACGACCTTTACAAGTTGGAAAGAAGAAGGCGACAACAGGAAAGGGGAGAAAGGATACAGAAGACACAAAAGATATTGCCCCAAAGACGAAGAAGGGCAAGAAGGCTCGCAAGGATAACGATGCACCTCGAGCTTTCAGACGACTCATGTCTGTCGCACAGGGCAAGAAAGTGAGATCTGGACTCGACGACGGCGAAGATACGAAAACCGCAAAACAAAAGGCAGAGGATCTTAAGATCCGTCCAGGCGAAGATCTAAGGGCGTTTGCTCAACGAGTCGATGCTTCGCTGCCAGTCGCAGGCCTTACCAAGAAGACCACCATCAAGGATGGCAAGGATGAGCAGGGATTCAAGGTCTACCGCACTCGAAAGGAGAGAAACATGCACAAACTTTACGCCCAATGGAGAGAAGAGGAGCGAAAGATCCAGGAGCAAAAAGAGGAAGAAGCAGACGAAGAAATCGGCCGAGAACTCGACGAAGATCCTACAGGTGCTGCAGCAATTGCACGGGCAACACTCAATGAAGCAACAGGCAAGCGAGCACGACGGAAGGGTGGAAAGGTCGACGATCCTTGGGAGGAGTTGAAGAAGAAGAGGGCGGAAGCCAAGATTGCTGTGCACGACCAGGCGCAAGCACCACCTGAGCTGAACAAGAACATGACAAAACAGATCAAGATTAAAGATACTACTGCGAATGTTGGAAATATCCCCAAGACTGCGGGCAGTCTGAAGAGAAGAGAGGAGTTGCAGGAGGCCAGGGCGGATGTTTTGGAGGCGTATAGAAAGATTCGTGAACATGAACAGGCCAAGCTGTTGAAGGCAGGCCTCTAATACCCTGCTTGAGCGAGTTTGTATTTGAGGAACTTAGAATTGCAATACAAGCAAAAGTATTTAGACTACACCTCGCGCGATTTCCATTGTGTTGGGGGTAGTGTCTATTTGGTGTTCAATGACTTTAGCGGAGTGTAACAATAAGACAACTAGTGTATGTATTCCCCCACAAGGCTCAACCACATTTCTCAGCAGCTTCAAATCAAGGTTCAAACTCACCAACTTGACGGTGACGATGACCAGCACAATTGTCTCGAGAGGCCATCGGGCAGAGCAGAGTCAACCCCCCTCCCCGTGGCAGAGATGGGTCGGAGGATGTTTTCCACTGGTGCTTCCTGTCTCTCCTTCACATGATACCAACCTCAATGAGGGACATTGAGCTGAAAGAATAGATGCCATGTCTTGTGTGGGACAAATCAGATTGATAGAAGTTCATATCATGCCCCCCTTGCACAAATCATGGCTGAATGGAGTGAAACATCTGGAGGGAAAACCACATGGCAATAGCATGGCTCCAAGAAAGGTATGAAGGCGTTGAAATGACTTAGCAGCTCATGGCAACGGTAGAGGTGGAGTTGGTGTTGGTGTTGGTGGGCCGAACTAAAGTGAGTCAATGACACGGAAAAAGTTGAAGTTGCTTTTGTGAATTTCCCAATAAGATATTGCTCAGGCGGGAAGCAAGGACATGGGTATGAAGTGGTTGCCAGAATAGGGCGATTGGGTGGTATCAAATGCAATTCCTTACTCTAAGGGGTAGCATTGACAGTTTTAGAGGCTTGAGATGTGATTGATTATTTTATGGCTCATCAATGCTCACCCGCATCTTCCATGTCATCTCATTTCACCTCGACGCCTAAAATGCTCCTGTGCAACCAGCACAAGTATCACAGGCCAAAGTCCAAGTGGAGGAGCGCTTTAGAGCGGGAAGTGAATCCAGGATGGGACACTTGGTGGATCTGACCTAAGCCTTTCAGGGGACTCACTGCAAGGTTCAGGTCCAGGGCCTTGGTTTCTGGGTTTATTTGGCTTGGTTTTTTTCCCTTTTGTTGCGTTGGTTTCTTGGGCACAGAATAGAGAGACGCAGCTGATACTTGGGTGCGTTCCCGTCATACCCATCAGCAATTTGTTTCAGTAGTGTTTCTCCCACGTTGTTCGCCTACACCCAAGGTACTCGACTCGATGAAACAGGGTCTTTCTTCTAAAACGCATCAACCAAAGACAATTACTTGTAATGAAGGTACATGATAGTACACGGGCCTCTTCCTGCCGCCTCGATACTGCAGATGCCAATGGAAAGAAAGCCAACCCTTAGCGTCTTGTCGATCTCCCCTCCCACTTGCCATTCGCGGTTTACTTCAATTCTGAGCCTCTAGACTACCTAAAGGATCTCCAATTTGTCGGGATATCCCATTTCCAATTGAGGTCATGGTCTCGATTTCTTCATTCCTTCGTCTTTTAGGTTCCTCTCTCGGTTTCTCCTTCTCAGGAACACATCCAGTCCCCACTCGGAACTCAATCTCACCCTGACCTGAATACGGGAAGGCACGCCCATCGATTTTGACTTTATGGCTTTTAGGTCGACTTCGGAGATCGATCCAGGGCGGTAGCTTGGTGGTCTAGCATCGCGCCTTGGTGTCATCGCCGCTATCTATCCCGTCTTAGTTTCAACCTAAGTTTTAACTACGTCGGGTTTCCCACTTCTCATGGCGTAGCTACCTACCTCCAGCTACGTACGTCAGTTGTTCTTGCGTCCTTCATCAACATCACCTCCTCGATCACAAGCTCGATCTACCCTATGAACAAGAAGCACCCCTGAGAATCATCCCCTACAACACCTTGTCGCAAGCACCCAGACCGTCGAATCTCGATACTACCCTACCATTGTACGAGCCACGATCTACCTAAAAAGCCACACCTGGTCCTTGTCCTCCCAAGTTCGGCTCCCAAGCATCTTCAAAGTCTCGTGACCTGATCTGCCCTGAACCTGGCATGACCCGACAATAAAGACGCTTGTGGAATTCGGAAATCGCTAACTAACACGAGCCTCAACGCGCCCTGGTCGCTACCGCGGGTCCTGGCTTTACCTTTGCTCTGTCGAGCAACGACTGGCCTTTGGTCCTCTCAGGCGGCCCTGCCCGCCTTGGTGAATCGAACCACCATTACTCGACTCGAATTTATCAACAGACATTTTGGTCAATGTCACGCCAGCCGTCTTTGACGACATTTCGAAGCTTAAGCTTAAGCTCTTGCTTCATTTCAGCCCCTGACCATCTTGCCTCTTTTCTCTCGCTCTCACTCTCAGTTATTCGCACATGGGATAATAGGCGGCTCCAATCTCACCTGCCGTCCTCATGATTTGGTACTTCCTGTACCCACTCCGAGGGTCAGTCTTATTTGCCCCGATCCCTACCGTGCTTCCGTTCCGCTCTCCGTCTCCGTCCTCCGCTTCGTCCTCCGTCTTCAGCTCACATCCTGTTGCAGAACAACGGAAGCTCCGGTTCTCGCGCCTACTCATCCTATACGCCGCGCCCTTCATCGATATGGATCATACGCCGCTAGCCATGTTGTCGCAACTCTCCTCGTTTCGGTCGTCGTGGCCACCATGCTAACTTATCCCATCCCTTACCTCTTCACAAGTGACTACGTCAACGGCGCTTCTAATCTCCCTCATCATGCTTGGACTGTCGCTCAGCCACTACACTATGGTACCAGCATTCGTCCCGATGTCATGATGCGCTCAATCTGGGTCCATGGCAGTTATATGCAGGCATTGGAACAAGACCTCCTCGTTTCTGCCTTGGAACTGCAAAATGAGTTGCTTGGAAGCACTGAGAACTTTCGCCCAATCCGCGCTCGACATGTTGCCCGTTCTTTACCAGAACCCGGAGCCGATCTCTCGACAACTCAACGGGATGCCTTTCATGCTATCAATGGCTTGAATAACCAGTCTTGGTTCTTTCACTCACCACTTCAGTACTGGGATTGTATTCAAGAGAACATATTGGTCGACCCTGATATCCTGGCAACCGTCAACGACAAAAAGACCCAGTCTACGTCAGTCAATGTCACGCTCAGACACTCCATCGTTTTTAGTGGAAAACGATTCGAGGAACGTCGTCTCGTTGCTGCAGATGCTCTCGTCATCACCCTGATCTATCTACGAGACTCCCCCGTCGGCCAGCAGTGGGAAAGGAAGGCCACCTTGTTACCAGACAAGGTTTCGAATAAATGGGACATCTACCCATCTGACGGCCGGTCAACCTCGAGCCAGCTCTATGAGTTCCAGTTTCGTCCTATATCTCGCCAAGATACAGCCATGCTCGCAGTCGCGTATGCCTTGACGTCGATCTACTTCCTCATGAGCTTATCAAAGCTCAGGGCTTTCAAGTCCAAATTTGGCCTCATTGTTACGGTCGTGTCCCAGATCGCTTTCTCTGTCATGTCAAGCTTCACCGTGTGCGCCATTTTCAGACTTGACCTATCACGCATCCCAAGAGCAGCCTACCCGCTTGTTGTCCTCTCCATGAGTCTTGAGAATATTTTTAGACTTATCAATGCCGTAATTCTTACCCCTGCTGAAGACTCAACAAGCAGCCGTATCGGCAATGCATTTGGAGAAACTGCCCATACAGCTATTACCAGTTCACTGCAGAACGTGTTTCTTCTGTTGATGCTTTCACGTTGGGTGTCTCCTGGTGTTTCGGCTTTCTGCTTATTTGCCGCTGTCGCGATTGTGTTCGACCTTTTTTACCTTTCAACCTTCTTCTTGTCTGTTCTCAGCGTTGATGTCCGGCGTACCGAGCTTAGTGACGCGCTTGCCAAAGCTTCGATGCGTCATAATCGTAGAGGCTCTGATTTCAAGCCTCGTGGAACGTGGGAACTTGTACTTCAAGGCAAAGCGACTTTGTCGACACGCATAGCAGGCACTATCATCATGCTTGGTTTCGTACTCATCGCCCAATGGCACTTTTTTGGGGAAGGCACTGTCTTGAACTTCTTTTCACGCCTGTATCGAGGATATGGCGCCCTGGAAAACAGTGGCTCGTCACAGAATCCTCTGGACTCCATACACCAGGCACGCAGTCCTAAGTCCTGGCTTCGTTTGCAGGATCACGAAACGGCTCAAGAAATCATCAGTATCATCAAGCCCACAGCACATAGCTACGTTGCGAGAGTATTTGAGCCGGTTGTCTTCGTCATGAAAGGTTCGGATCGTATGCCTCACCTTAAGGAACCGACTCTACTACCGGCACTTTATGACTTCATCAACCATCAACTCACTCGATTTGTTGTGATACTTCTGGTCGTTATTGCGAGTGTCCGGCTGCTTACAACGTTCCTCCTGTGGGAAGACGAAAGTGACGATGATGATCGCCACTCGGATACGGATCCCACACTAGACGTCAAGTCTTTTACCGGAGGACACAGACTTGATGTTGTAATGCTTGCTGCAGCGGCTGATGGCCATGTTGTATCGGTCGGATTGGATCGCACAATACAAGTTTGGGACGCCCAGCACGACATATTCCCATATACCATCGTTGATGGCTACCGCTCAGACGATGCCCCTTTTCCTGTGCTCGCCATGACTATTGATGACAACTCCAAGTGGTTGGCCATATTATCACCCTCCAAGATAGCTTTATGGAACGTAAAGGACAAAGTCTGGGGGCCTCCGCTCTCCGTCAATCTTCAAGGCCAGAAATCCGAGGCCTTCTTTTTCGGCTCGTCCGACACAAACAGCGATATTCCTCGACTGGTTCTCGTACGCAGAAACGGGACACTTACCGAATTCATGCCGGACGCAGGTGAAGGGGCAGACTACGGCATCTGTCGAAGTCCACTTACATGCGTTAGACCTCTGATTGGGAAGCGTAAGTACTATTCTTCGTAGAGAGTTGGTTAATGTACTAATCCGATGGTTGAACAGGGAGCAAGCAGGCAGCGCCATTAATTGCCATTATCACCGCATCTAGAAGAGGCTGTGTTCACGCAGCGACAAGAGAGACGCTTTCATGGAATTCCCGAAGTGTTCATCTCGAGGGCATTGAACAAGATGGAGTTCACCAAGTGGTGCCTCTTTCATCATTAGGCCTCTTCTTGATTGCAGGAGCCAGCCGCGTTCATCTCATGGATATGGAAGACTACAATCTTGTCCATACGTTTTCAACGGAACCCATGGCCCAGCGCTCCCTTCAAAGCGCTTTCTTCAGCCGGCCTTCCTCTCAATCAGGGTTCAATGGCCTTGCATGGTTTACCTTATGCTATACTGGAGCTGAGTCAGGGGATTGTATTGTGCAAACCTTCGTCCCTCCTGGAGAGCATGACATGATTTATTACCAAAGCTCTGTGGTCCCCGAAACTCGAGGCTGGTGTGCGTGGGAATCGGTCAAGGAAACAAAAAGACATATAGAGAACCCTGGCTCATGGAGTGTTCTATCTGACGGTTGTGTTGTGGGCATTCGGCAAAAGTCGAACCGAGTTCTAGATGTCGAAACCAACGGACGGCGCAAAACAGATGGGCTTCGACACCGATCTCCGCGCAAAGAACCAGGACGGGATTTGTTTGGTCGTTGGGAGATTTGGACCGCGCCACAGAGTGGCCAGTTAAGAACTGACGAGACACGACCGCTATTTCAAGATAACGAAAGAGCTGGACACTTGATCGTGACAGACATCGGCCCTATGGTTCGAGTCGGCCAGCGATCAGTTGCATTTAGCTTCGGCAATGTGGTGAAACTAGTCACAGTTGGAGGGCACGAGCGGTTTGAGAACAGTATGACAGATAAGAGCTTGGAACATCTGAACATCGGAAGCAGGCGTCGAAAGCCAGGCGCACTGGTACGACCTAGAGCTTGGACTTAGGCTTATCAGCGAGGATTGTAGTTTTTTGTCTCGGAATATTGGGCGTTTGGCAGGCAAGGACTGCTATAGGTTTTAGGTGCACACGTCTGGATTGGAGTAGAAAGGCGCAAACGGAGTCGTTTTCCATAGCTGGGAATATTCGATTGGAGTCAGGAGAAGGCACACGAACAGACTGGCGCAGATACCATAGATGATTGGAAACGGTTTCAATGTCTAGGGGGAATAGAGACTGTGGCAACATGTGTTCATATTTTTTAGTATTCAATTACTGTCTATGCCTGTTTGTATTCTTTCTAAGGTGAACGAGGTCAAATGGTATATTGGTAACAAACACCTCGAACCTATGGGACATGGCGCCCCAGCAGCCCGACTAGAAAACTCACCGCTGCAGTCATATGTCTGCCTTGGTAAAATTTCGGAGCTGAGCGAGGAGCAAAGGCAAAAACATGACGTGAAGTGGGATGCCGTCAAAAACCGAGAGGTTGGGATCCAATGCTTGCTCGCAGCTGAATATGGGGCTCATAACGTGTAAGTCAATCGTCAGGGCAAGGTCCGTGAGTGAACAGAATTAGCCTGATCGAGGCGACGAGTAATTGGATTCTGCATATGCTACGTGTTCGAGAGGGCGGTCGCATAAAGAGAGGCCACCCGTGATGTCGGACGGATCATGATTGAGTGGAAGGGAAGATACGAGATGGTGGGAGTTATAATTCAGGTGGCTGGGAAGTGCAGGGTAGATGATGATTGGTTGAGGAGACGTGGATCACATTTAAAGGTCAAGTCAGCGTATATCCTGAAATGGGAACAATTGGATGAGTATGATTAAAGACAAGCGTCAAACTTGACGCCCATGAGAAAAGAAAGAGGGTAGAAGCAGTTGTGGTTAGGCATAGATTATGGTTGTGAGCTGTGTTGTGACTTGGGCGGTATCTACTACACTTGTGCTGCATTGAAGCCTGACAGAGGATTGACAGAGATAATATCAAGGTCAAGCAGCAAGTCATACAGATATGGGTCATATTACCTCATACTGCGTAAAGTCAACGGCCAGCGGCTCTCCATCGTCATGCATGAATTTACTGGTCACCAGGCTTGAGCCACATACAGACTCTGATGTTGGAGTATCGCATTGCATTCTAGTCTGGGACGGTGGTTGTTAGTCGGCGGGTCAGGTCTCGGGATAATCCCCGTCAGTGTGTCAGTGTCTTTTCAGGTATTAATCGACACTTTCTGGTTTTCTTGTACTCGTGCATTTCAATAGATTTCAACTGAACGATCAAGCATATTCCCAGCTCGGGCAGACCGTTGAGATCTGACTATAACTGCACAGTCCAACGGGGAGCAGAGTAACATTTGCACAGGTGGAGGTACTCAAAAAGTTAAGATTGACTTTGAAAGCTTCTCATGTGAAAGTAACCCACCCTTATTGCCTCAGTAGCTACCTTATGGCTGTAACTTTTGCAATGAGACAGAGATGAGAGATAGACTTGCAATGGAAACGCCCCAGTCAGAGAATAAAACTCAAAATCGAGACCAATGTCGAGATCAAGCCACGAGAAAGGAAGGGAGAACAATTACCCAAGACTCTTTCCTTTTTGTGCCCAAAATTGTCTGTTCATGCCGTGTTCAGGTAGGAAAGAGCATGCGTGCGTCGGACATGAATCTCATTTCCACCTGACGCTGTTGTTTCTGTATTTACTTTTTTCTCTCAACCTTTTATTCTTCCTTACATTACATTGCTTGACTTGACTTGACATTACCGATATCCCCAGCCTCCTTATACATTGGTCCCGCCTCTTCGCACTTTTACCTATTTCGAATATTCTTAACGTTACCTAACTCACCTGCCCGTTGGGTCCGTGTTTGTTTTTTCACTTTTACCAAGACTAAGGTTCACTCGGTCTTTGCGAAGCGTACCGCGTCGTGCCGCGTCCATTTTTACCTAACCCCCGTGTGCTGCGCTGTCTTGTGCTGTGTTGTGTGGCGCGCGTGCCACTTCTGAACTCTTCTCTCTAGTCTCATCTTACAATTCGAATCTTCAGTTCCTCAAATTGTGTCACATCAAAGTCGATCGAGGTGCATCTGGCAGCTTTGTACAGAAGGCAAAGATCCATTTAAACGACGTCAATCTGGAACGACAAAAATAGCACCCATTATATCATTTGTTTGATCAACTTGGCGAGAGCAAGTTTTGTTTACCCTGTCAACAGACTCGACCACCTATCGAGTTCGAGACAATTGCATTTATATCACTACTAAACAATATAACTTAACGGAACTCGAAATCAGACTCGACCGGAACCTCGAGACTATCAAAAATCGTCCTTAAACCTGTCAGTCATCTCTCATCATTATCTTCAAACAAGCGTCCGATCAGACTAGACAGGCTCTGGAGCCCTTCCACCCTTGTCGACACTCTCCACGCTCAGTGGTGCACTGTTGATAGCGGTGCCTTTTGGGGTTCAGGGTCCCCTGTTCTAGTCTGTCCGTCCATCTCACAGACCAGGCTTTGAACAGAGACCCCCGTCAGCAACCCACTGACCGTCTTGTTAGGACTAGGACTGCCTGCTACCCGCTCTGCTCACCGCCTGCCCCAGTCATTCGCTGAACCTGGAGGCGCCTCGGCTTGTCCTTGCTGGTCACTCTCACTCCCGTCCGTCTTCAACACCGCGCGCGAGTGGTTGGCCGTATAACTTCCTTCAAACGAGCCTGCCATCCTGTCGTTCGTTCTTCCGCCATGCTAATCGGTGCCGCTAATTCTGCGTTTGTTTCCTGCTGCTAGTCTCTCGTTCGTTTGTTATCGAGCTTTTCATTGTAGTCCCCGTGGCCTTGGTCCTCAATCGCAATCTCGCGTTTTGCTCGCCTGCTTCTTATTCGTCGTCATTGCACAGTGAAGCATCCGCAGTTGATCACCACCGGGGTTCTTGACAGTTCATGCGTATGCGCCGTCGTGTACAGTTCGACTCTCAACTCGGATTAGGCCAATTGGTTTTAGGAAGCTTCCTTGGTCGATACTGCGCCTTTTAAGCGTCATCTGTCACTCGTTCTTCTCCTGACGCTGTCGTTCTGCATCTTCAAATCTCATCTAATCACTGCAATCCGAGTCAAATCACCAATACGCATCGGACCCAATCACAGCTTGCCAGCTGTCTTGCGCGCCTTCAACTTGGCTCGCCGTCCCCGTAGAGTCGCCCGTCTACAGACCAAGTAATAGGCTCTGCCTTGCGAGTCCCAGTTTGCTCTGGCTGCCTCTCATCCGGGCTGCATCGTGCGAGCTGCTGCAACGACCTGCGCGCACTTCGCGTCGTTCCTGCTGTGCGTTTTGCTGCAGTTGTGGAGCTCGTTAACGGTTAGTTCAGCCAACCTCCTTCTCCTACCTCCATATTCTTATATTTCCCTGGTTCTCTTTCGTCGCATGTCCTGTTCTCGTCTATGACGCTTGACACCCGTGCTTTGATTCATATGCGAGGCTATTCCCTCCACCCTCGTCGCCCCTCCCCTTTGTCGCCCTAGTCGATATACCTAAACTAAAGCAAAGTCCCTAGTCTCAGTCGTGGACCCTTCTACGCCTAGCCCACCTACACCCAAGTTTCACCTTGAACGTACCGGCTGAGCTGCATGGCGTCCTCTGAAGTCGACCAGAAGTTTCTCGGCAAGCTTGCCAAAGCTGTCGAGAATGACAATCCTCTCTTGGCCAGCATGCTCTTCAAGATTCTAGGCTTGTCGCTCAACCTTGCCGAACAGCTTGTTGCTGCAAAGAAGCAGCGCCGGCCTGACTATGAGCCATCACCTAACGCGATACGGCGCGTCTTGCGTATCATATGGCTCTCCCGAGAGGGCAAGGTAATGCTGGAACAGTATGTCATACCAATGGTTGGCAACTATGTCGAACTCAAGGTCCTCGCCTACAAACTTCGTGCCTCCTTCTCACATATTTTTGCTCTCTTCGGCAACACACCCTCGGTCTCGAACCTGGGAAGACAAACGCCAGATGTCACTGCTGTACTGACGCCGCGCCTGGATAAGGGAAAGGGACGCGCTGCCGACATGGAAGTTGAATCTAGGCCCTCCTCTGTTCAACCAACTCACCCCCTCGAAGGAGGACCCGTGTTGCCTCCCCCAGGGTTTGAAGATCAAAACTTTACATTATCGCCCAACTTTCTCATCCCGGCCAAAGACTACCTTCCTGAGGCGAAACAACATTTTCAAGAGGCTATCCAGCTTGCCGACTCGATGCTCTGGGGCTCTCACTCTCTTCGCCTCTCCGTCAAAACTGAATATGCTGCCTTCTTATACGAATGTGTTCACGATGCTGAAGGAAGCCGGAAAGTTGCCAAGGACACTATCGCGGAAGTATACGAGGCCACGGAGGGAATGGACGACGACATGTTTGGCGATGCTTGCGAGCTGGTTACGGTCCTGGGCAAGATGATGAAACGTGGTCTCGGCACCAGTGGTACTCTACGTAAAGCTCCAGCAGTGAACCAAAATCCCATACCAAGAGCCACTCCCCCTCCAGGAATGGAGAACCCCATTTGAAGAGGGCACGACCAGCTTCTCACAGTACCCAACACAGACCACAACACTCGTAACGACTCGAGAAAGTTGTGGTAGCTTGACGAGCGGCTCCGAAGCAACTTGGGCGACACCAACTGGGATGAGCAGAAGTACGGCTTGGGTCTAAGTCGCCTCACGCTAAGGGGGGGCCAAATTTGATTCACTCTGAACGGCCCGTTCCGCAACACCACATCAAATCACATTCCTGTGGGCATCTTAGACATCGACACGAACAGCGCATTTTTGCATTAGGCCATGGCAGCACTAGCTTGCTGATGAAACAGCAAAACCCTCTCATCGTGACTCTGGCACGAGGATCGGAACGCACATCACCTGGAGACAGGCACTGTTGGGTTCTTCTGGTATTATACCTACCAATCGACTGGTTTACAATTGACTTTCACCCGTCGGAGTCCAGCCTACACTATCCTCAGCGCGCATTTGGTCTTATTTCACTTCTGTCCTGTTATTTGATACCCACAACTATTTGTATCTTTGTGTGCATTTGCATTGGGTTATTGCCCTATCTATTTATCATCAGATATTGTACAAAAATTTTGGCTTTTACGGTTATGCTTTAGTTCTGCATTGAACCGAGGTTAGGAAAATAGAGAAAGGAGTTTGATGTTAAGCCAAGGTGTCGGTTGCATTTCTGGGCACAGTTAATAGATGATTTATCACCAAGGTAGCAAGCATGTTACTTTTTTTTAAAAACAAATACCTAGGACATTTGCCCCCAGCTTGTTTATTTTCCTGTTCTTCTCTAATTCGCAGCTTTTCTATGATTGACCGAGTCTCAGATCTGTCCCCGTCTAAGTTACCAAAACGTAACTTGAGCCATCATGATGGTATCTATCGAATTGTTCGTTTTACTCCCCGAACGCCAAGAAAAACACAACAATAACGAAACAAGACATCGATCGTCTTGGCCGGGCATGTTCGTCTCTATTTGTAGAGACTCGCAACAGTCGAGAGTCACTCTGTGATGAATTCCGTCAGAAAGACTCACGCAAGGCACCTATCGTGACATGATGTTGACTGATTTGAGTGAAGCGAATCACTCATCCGAGTCGCCCGAATCTTCAGGGTCATCGGAATCGTCTGAGTTGTCTGACTCATCAGTGTCATCGGAGTCCTCAGAGTCCTCAGAGTCGGCCGACTTCTCACGTTCCTGCTTCGCAATCCAGTCCTCGACCTTGTTCATGCGTCTCTCAAGTTCGCGAGTCTTTGAGCGCTCCGTCTTCTCGGCCTCAGCGCGCTCGCATCTGGCCTTGAGGGATTCGAGAGGAACCATTCGCCCGGTGACATTGTAGAAATTGGCCTGCATTTCGAGCCAGCGAGATCGCTTATACTTGCTGTCAATGGTAGCAAGGAGGGCGCAGTCTCGTTTGCCCAAGTAGGCATCGGGCTGCGGGTGGATGTAAGGAGGGTACATGGCCCCGTAGACGTGTTCCTGGAGATACTTCATTTGCTCGCGCTTCTCGCGGTCGCCATATCGGAAGAGCGATGAATCGTCATCGCTCTCGTCCTTCGCTTCATCGGCGGAGGAGACATCCTTACCAGATGTCTTGGCCTTTGCGCGAGCCTTTGCCTCCTGATTTTCTTTCGCAACCTTGAGGTTGCGAGCACCCTTGTGCCATTTGTTGGCCACAGTCGACTTGCGAGTCTTCGTCTCCGACATATCTTCCGAGCTGGTATCATCATCGGAGCCCTCGTCGTCCTCGTCGGACTCTTGGTCACTGGCCTCTTCATCGTCTTCTTCCTCGTCTTCGTCAGTGGTGTCGTCGACAGACCCCTCCTCAGCGGTAGTGTCGGTGTCAGTGTCAGTGTCTGTGGCACGTAACTGACTCTGGAGTATCTTCCAGCGAGCTCGGACATCGTCCTTGGTCTTGCGGAGAGAGTCGGAGATGAAAGTCCAGGTCTCCCCAGCCTCCTTCATGCTGCGAAGGCGGCAGTCCTCAGAAAGGGACCAGTTGGGGTCCTTTAGACAGGCGACGAATGAAAGGACGGACGTCTCAGCGTCAGTCGAGGCATCATCATCAGTCTGAGCAGCAGACGGTTCGTTCTCTGACTCGGTCTGGACCGCCTTGTCCTTTCCATTTCCCTTGGCAGTCATCTTACCCTTGACGAAACGGTTGGAGCTGTCCGTGATGTTGCCTTCCGTGTCTGTGACCACGCCATTCTCTTCATCACTGGCTGTGGCAATTGTTACACGGCGGCCTTGAGCCTTGGGCGTGTGCTTACAACAGGCCTTGTTGCAGTCCTTGCCGAGCTGCTTGTCGCAGTGCATAGTAGGGCTGTTGGGGTTCGGGCCCGCCCGAGAGGACGATGCTTGATTGACAGTTGGGGGTCGGGGCACGCAATCTTCTGGCAACTCAACGAAGCCAGGGACAGCAGAGTTGTGGTTATACCAGATCTCCCTGAGCCCTTCGTATAAACGATCATAGTATTCTTGATTCTGTTTGTATTCGGCCAAAGTGGGCGTCTTGAAAGGAAACTGCGGCATGATGTGCCGGATGCCCTGATATCAGGGGTAGGACTGATTATGCGTAAGAGTATGCCCGGATGGTGACGATGCTGAGACTCTACCACGAATTAGCATTTGGTGCTCATCAGATCAGTCTTGTTAAGTCTGTACATACCTCAGGATGAGGAGCGATGGGTGTATAGTGTCGAAGCCGAATAAAGCGGTAGGGTTCAAGTGTGTTGAGCAAAGGACTAACCACGACTGCGCGTTAATGCTAGTACTATCACGGCGAGTCAGTATCATGTGCTTATCAGTCTCGGTTGACCTTTAACATACGTTGAGGCTAGAAGCGAAGTTAATACGTGCTGCAGAGCAGAATCAAGAAGTAGTGCTTGAGTGTTACGAAACAACGGATCTACTACGACGATGGCGTGTTGATGTCGATACTGTCACCACGAGTCAACATGCAATTTCCGCAAATCTTGAACAAGTCCCTGCATACCTTGAGTGAGTAGTGAGTGGTGTTTTCACTTAGGGAGAAGAGGCAGGAAGCGCGTGTTCAGCTGTTTTCGAGGGTGCAGAAGCAAAGGGCCTATCACAGCGCCCGTGTGATATCGATACTATTACGGTAAGTCAATACTGATGCTCAACAGTCTCTGGCAGGCCTGTACATGCCTCGATATGAGTAGCGAGCGAGGTGTTGCCTCGCGAGGAAGAATCAAGAAAGGAGCGTGATAGCAAAGGGTCCAGCACCGGGCTGGGTGATGATAGCAAGGAAAGGAAAAGCGACGGGAGGGAAGAAAGTTAAGATTCTATCTTCCCTTTGCAAGATATGTTCTTTGTAGATGCAATATTGCTTCGAAGGGAAAGTTGAGGAAGATAGAAACACTGAAGGTCTGTGATGAGGAGTAAACGTAGAAGGGAAAAACAAGCACAGTCGCTTTCGAAATGGAAGATGAAATACTTTCTAGGCGGTGCTCGAGGTGCAGAAACAATGTACGGTTGGCTTGCCACTGTCAGTGCTGCACTGCTCGATCAGTTTATTGCCCGTCTGGGGGCTTCCTTCACTAGGCACGGGGCCATAGGGCGATATTAGAACGAGCAATGGCCTATATCCTCTATGCACTTGTTTCTATTGGACAGTGTCAGTGCAGAGTGTACAATGGATAGCCAGAATCTCCTTGGATGTGCTGCCTTTTGCATCCGGGGACGAACATTGTCACTGGCGCATAGAACAATAACCTACAGCAGTTGTACCACTGAACAACTAGAACTAACCAAGGTACCTACACACGTTGCAGTGCCCTAGAACAACGGCCTAAATCCGAATGGAAAGCAAAATCTTATTGTCAAATCGTCTATTATTGTTTCCATATCATGATTTGACCATGGCCCTCGGAGATAGTCCCACGGAGCACAGCACCCACGCACACTAGATCCAATGGGACACCTGCCAATGCTGCTGACTCATCTCACAACACCATTCGAGGCTTATCATGTACATCACACACAGTTCAAAGATATCCAGACATTCTCAACACTCATTCTTTTCTGCCCGCTAATAGCTCATAGTGGCCAGGACAGCATCCGAGTAGACAATTAGACAGTGTCAGACCATCAAAAACGACCTCACAATGACCGACCATCTCCCTCCCCTCCCTGCCGAGTACGCCCGAGGCCTTGAGCTCATCGACGCTGCTCATGCCCAAGACTCAAGGACAGTCAAAACCCCTGATGGAACTACGATCCCATTCGAGCTCAACTACGCCCAAAAGATGACCAAGTGGCTCGCCCGTCGATGCCCTGACGCCAGCCCCGTTCTCCAGCTCGCCTGTCGAGCACAACACTTCCGAAGGTAAGAGCCTGAAGCTGGTTCCAAGTCCCAAAGCTTACAAACATGCACAGATGGGAGATCCCTCGAAGCAGCTTCCCAATGACTCGTCCCGGCTACTTGACTTGGAGAGCAAAGCTCAAGGCTCAAGCCGCCGCTCAAGTTGCTGAGCTCCTCGCTTCTCCAGAGATTCAACCCCCCATCCCCGAGGAGGACCGCGCTCGAGTGGCTGCACTGATCCGCAAGGAGAACCTCAAGGCGGATGAAGAGACACAGGTTCTTGAGGACACAGCATGCCTGGTCTTTCTTGACGACCAATTCGATGACTTTGAGAAGAAGTCAGATCTGGACGAGGCAAAGATGATAGGCATCCTTCAGAAGACATGGGGCAAGATGGGAGAAAGGGGGCGGGAGCTAGCCCTCGAGATGAACCACAGCGATCGAGCCAAGGAGCTGATAGGAAAGGCACTTGCTGGCTGAAAGAGAACAGTAAAGTACACTACAGTACACACACTACAATACACTTCGAACATGCACCTTGGCAGTTTACTCACTCGAGTTTGCCGAGACAAGACTTACGTACTAGCATATTTGGGACAGGCTGTATGTACTGTATATCCAGTTCGAGATGTGACAGGCTTGCCAAGGATCTAAAGAGAACCCGCAGTACTGCATCCCCGGGAGAAGCCCAGTGACTCATGTCACGATCCTGCACGAACGAGATCAAGCACACGAGCGGCGCAGAGACTTGCCAAGATCCACTAGATCCACGACGCACAGTATCCGTACAATTCCTAGAGTATCATATCCCACCCTCCTTGCATTGCATTGGTTCAAGGGGGAGCCGAGCCTCACATTGGTTCCGGAGTATATGTATGTATTGTATTGTATTGTATTGTAAAGCGAAGATAGTCGAATCGATGACACTAAGAAACCCTAAAATGTTGTCTCACAAAGTCCGACCAGATAAGGAGAGCCAGTATTGTGTTGTGTTGTATGGATCGCCAGGGTTGTGACGAGACTGAGCATGCAAGCCATGCAAGCCTAGCACTTGACATGTCCGTGATATTTCGGCCCCGGGACCCATTACCGATCCGAGACATTGCGACGGCAGCAGATCATTTCAACAGGGGCAGCAGATCTTGGTAAGAAACGGGTGTTTGTGTCACCCCAGAAGCTACCCCTGTTGTGGCGTTGCTGCGACGGAAGCCAAGGAGCCGTCATGTTTGCCAGCCAGCCACCTTTGATTCATCGTTTCGTTTCGTTTCTTTTCTTTCGAGGGACCGCACCCAGATACGACACGATAGGAGGATCCCTGTGGCTATCCGTCACCCGCCAGCCCTACGACTATGCATCTGTCTCCTCTGACCATCGTTTCGTGGCTCGTGTGACACGACATTTGATCTATCAATTCGACTTATGCTTTCGACCGGTAGCACAAGAGATCCGCTGTGTCCTCGATCACGCACGTCCAAGGCTGCCACAAACATGCTCCTCCCTTTCATCATGTTCCCGACCTACTGGAACCTCACGCGCCTCATGTTTTCTCTTCTCTCTTTCGTGTCTCGCTAACCAACTTAGGCTCGGGACACCCACCATCCGTAGGCAGGGCAAGTCTTTGTGGAAGACAGTTGACAGTTGAGGCTCTCGGCTTGTTACATGATCGCTCCGAGAAAAACATATGTGATTAACAAGGCAATTTGCTCTGTAATCTGCAATGATGCCAGGTGCAGGAGCATGCTGCGTTGAGAGGGGAATTCGTCTGACTCCAAGTATCCTCTTCATGTGTATGATTGGTTCCACTTCGAAACTGCAGTATGTGTGTAGGAGAGTGGCGCATATTTTATCCTCGACGTAAAGCTGCACATTCAACCATGAAGTCGTTACACTGTGATAGCTTGACGTTTGGTTAGATTTCCTTGAGGGTTGTTGTCCATCAAGACACTGAAATCACGGGTCCCTCACTTTTCCTCAGTAGCTTCGCTCCAAATCGTCAAATCATCGGACCTCCAAGGCAAGGCAAGGCAAGGCAAGGCAAGGGAGGCTGTCAAACCCTTTTGTCGGTAGTTTGACAAAAGAGATCCGATTGCCACTCCGAATCAGGCATGTAGTCTCAATGGCTCGCCAAAGAGCTACAATGTGCTGTGACCCTGCAGCTTTTCAGCCGGTTCCAAACACGAACCGTACAATCAATCGTTATCAGGACAATTGTAGTGATTTTGTGGACCACCATGCGTGGCCCAAACCGCCTCAATATGAATGATATGATAGCGTTTGATCCATGAACAGCGTTTTTAAAGTTATATCGCTTACACAAGTGCAGTCGTGCTACACTCGCCGGACCGACTTGATCTGATAGTCATACATACTTGTCTTGGGGTTCCTGGACCACGACAGACTTGACATTGCTTTTTTTGACCCAAGATCGAAACAGTACTGTACAGGCCACAGCTGAAAACTGCGTCACCCATTCTCCACTCTGTTGATAGGGGTTGTTCGAAGGAATGGTAACCGAGCCGCCAGAGCAGAATTGCAGATCTAATCTTGAACTCCCTGGGATTGTTGGGTGTTGCCAATTTCAATCACTTTGAATACCTGGAACTGTCAGGGTTTCATAACCAATCAGAACAGCTAGAGGCACACATCGCTTGCATACTCTTCAGCTATAACCAAGCAACCAAGCTCTGCACTCATTGCTATTCCGCTAGGTTGCAAATTCCTGGGAGGCCCAGAACCTGCACCCCTCTGTCCTCAGTCCATCGCTGAACCTGAGCTTGGGCAAGTTGAGCAATCACATAGTAGAGCTGCTGTATCAAAAGGAGTTGTCTTGGAATCGTCAGCATTAGTGGTTACTTCGCATGTCCAGCCAGCAGAAAAACACTCGACTAATGCCAAGCGAAGTGTGTAGCCTGATCCTCGTGGGTTCTGAAGCTGGAGTTGAGGGAGCTGAGCCAGACCCACAAACAATCCTTTATCAGACCGTAGTAATTGGAAAGTATGTGATAGTTTTGTTGTCCGCATATCATCTAACAATGTCGTGATCCTAGGAGCCATAACAGCGTTGCACTTTGTTGGTCGACTATTCATCTGCATCGCTACAATGCCAGGCCCGGCACGAGTCATGCCGAGTAAGAGTGTCGGCATCCATTGCATGCCATCTGTGGGGTTCTTTGTGTCGTCCCATGGACCGGGCCCTGGCCCTCTTTGAACGGTGCCATCGCCTTGTTTGCTTTTCGTGACCTTTGGCGGAGCGCATCCTGCTGTCACTCAAATCTCTGTGTTGTTACTGTCAAACTGTGACATTGGTGGGCCTTGTTCCTCTAGATATTTGCTGTAGATGAGAACTGATGGCCAATAGGACAGTTCGATAGTGCCGGGGACGGTGGCAGAGATGCTGGCCCGAGCCGTCTGGACCCTCATTGAGACTATCGATATTGTTCTCGTCGAGTCAACTGACACCGGGTGGGTGGTCCCCAGATTGAGGCAACCTGGTGGCTGTAGCTGTCATTAGTTTATGAGAGAACCGGCAGCTAAGAACCGTAGAATTGGGTCGTGAGGTCCGCACCCCTATCAATCTGGAAAAGACATTAAAGATGTGAGGATTGACCAACCAAATTGCTGGAATCAGAACCAGACCCTTGTTGCGCCTCAGCTCTGATCCTGGAACAAGAGGCAACGATGCATTAGCGGACAAGCCTCTTTCCAGGCCCCCGTTAAATGTCTTGGACTTGAGGTGGTCTCGTGGGCCAACCATCACCTTTGTTGAGTAATATAAAAATACCCATGAAGATCGTTCACGCTCTTGATCTGCGCCGGGGGTGGAGACAGCATAGAGGGAGATACCGGGGCTTCAGATAGAGGCACGGCACGAGGATATTCGTATACGGCAGAGAATAAACTCTTATGAGCTTCGGGATTGAACTCAAGTCGACGATACTTAGCGCAGTTGGCGAGCTGAAAGATGGCAGACCAGTGAACGGACTAAAGAATTTAGTTAGATATCCAAGCGCGTTTGACGGGAACGCCGTCAGGTCCGTCCAAGGAACAGCAACCAGGTATGGATGGATACTGCAAACCGCGGACGATGACACGCAGCTAACACGAACAGGGGCGTGAACAGCAAGACACAGGTTTGCAAGGGACCTGCACCACACCTGTGCTATCGTGAGTGGGCGTTGGTTTCCAGTGCACGGGAGTCGATCGACCGGGAGTGAGTACCTGGAACTTGGCGAGGGCTGCGGCAGCCGAGAGAGTACCACTGGATGCATGACGAGTGCTTGAGGTGCTTGAATGCGTGTGTGTATGCATGCTTGTGCAACCATTGGCATGACGAGGTTGTCGCGAAATAGTTCTAATTGCGGATTGTGATAGCAAGTGGCTTCAATGGTTCGTTATCATGCTCGAATTGTCAAGAGCCTCATTTTGGATATGTTTGGCCTTCTGTACCAAGTGGACTGGGTACTCTCTGTATGCGGACACGGAAAATGAGGTTTCTTTACAGCTTAGCTGTGCAGTAGCACCACAGCTAGACTCGGACAGGCGTGGGGTCTGCCCCAGAGCCAGACAGAGGGTATCGAATCGGTGGTTTTGGAGGGCGCTGGGATCCCGTACAGTCCCTCGAATGAAGTCTGTCGGTGAGTGAATGACGGGCAATTCAGTATAGTCTAGTGCATGCATGTAGCAGTCAGTGTCTAGACTCAATGATGCTGCTCCCTCCCGCTGAAGAAGAAAAGTGAGGGTTGTACAGGGGCAGGGGGGGTTGAGACAACCGAGACAAGGATGAGGTGCTAACTTAGAGGCTCGCTTAGCACTCATCACTTGTCACTTAACCTCAACTCATCACTCACCCTGGAAAGTTTAGTTGTGTTTCGGCCTGACTGGGCATTGGATCCAATGTCAAGATGGGCATTTTCAGAGAAACAAAGTGTCCATTGTGTGTAGAGGTATGGATGTAATGGAGGGTGTGGCAAGCTGAGAGGTACCCAACTGCCCTGTAAGGTACAGTAAGTACATTGGATGTGCGGAGGTTACGTAGGAGAGTACGACTATTATAAATTAAGTTTAGGTTGAGATGGATGGACGGAGGAAGGAGAACCAACCTCACCTTACCCTTTGCCTTACCTTACCTCTGGTCCTTCCAGTTACCTCCTTCTTCTACCTACTTTCTTACTGATTGACCACTTTTTCGCCTCAACCTTGACCCATGACTTCCCATCTATTATTGCTTCTTTGGAGCGTTACAATTTGAGGGAAGGTAGGTACTAATACTCTCGGTATTCCTGCCTTTTGCCCGGAAATATAATACCTGCCCAGACCCTTCCTGCTTCAAACATATCCTACCTATTTTTCTCTACCTGTTGTTCACTGCATCCCCTTGTGTCTATCTGTTTGTGATTGATATCAACACAACCTAAGAAAGACAGGCCAACTACCGAAGCCCCATCGCGTGCCTACTCTATTTTTATTCATATTTTTATCACATCCTCCGTTGGCACTTTGTATTTCTTCTCCCTCTTCAATTACCCAGCCATTGTATACAAACAATATACCTACCCACCTATCTACCCTGGCCTAGCCTTTGCGATTGCCCTCTACTGTCATTCTGTCAACCTCCACCAAACATCTTGCATACAATGGTTGTTTGCCCGATCAGCAAGTCTCTTACTGCATGAACTACTTCTATCCCAGAAATCTTATCATACTTTTTACATACCATCTCAACAAGCACATCAGGTCCAGATTCACACATCGTTGGTGTGTTTTGACTACCTTAGCATCTGACTTGAGCCAGCAAATATACCTACCTACCTTATATATCGACGTATTGGAGGCACAACACAGTACAAATCAAGTCAAGTCCAAATATCACCGTGCGACACCCGCCTAGCTCGTCGTCCTCGGCCTCATTAATTGTCGACTTACACCGGGCCCATACAACCCACTCAACGCTGAACCCCGGTGCTTCGACCGGCCAATCACCATCTCAGGACTTCTAGCTCATCTCTATTCTTTGACTATCCTACCTATCTCAGATTACACTACGCGCCCCATCAAAGTCATATCCGCCTTCTCGTCATTACTTCCATTGGTGGGACTCTCTCTAGTCTCTGCCAGTCCAGACTTATACTGCCGATCCTCTCGTGGGCCCTCCTGTTTCAACGCAATTCAATTCAACGAATTGGTGCCAAGTGAACTCAGGTACCCGCTATCGGGTCATCTTCTTCTTCTGGACCCTGAAGTTCTTGTGAGGGCTAGGATTTGGTGTTTCTGAGGACCGACCTTTTTCAGTGTGAGGTAGTTTGGCTACGAGAGACAGTCGCTCTTAAGCTACGTCTTTGACGCTTCATCTTCTGCAACCATCACGGATCTGAGCCCCCCTGAATTTTATCACTTCTCAAGGCTGCAGCGAAACGGGTACCTTACTCTCATACCAGTCATAAAACAACTCCTACATTCAGCCACTATGTCAACACAGTTTCCAGTCGTACGTGGTTTGCTTACCAAGCCTCCAAAACTTCGTACCAGACTAATGTATTAGTAGTTCCAACAAGACCAGTTTGACATTTTCGAATGGCATCCCAAGTTCCTGTCTTGCCTTCGGTACTTTATCGACCATGCTCAGTATAGCCCAGCAGTTCAAACTGTCGCTGCCTGCGTCAACATTCTCCTCCCTTTCCAGAAAGGAAATCTACATCCCCTAACGCCGACACGCAATGGGCCCCCTTCATCTTCATCTTCCTCCAGAGCGTCAGTTTCTGGAAGTCTACCCCTGGGATCTACCTCGATCACTCTCATTCCTTACATTCGCCGTCTCATAGTGACAGGTTTCGATACGCCTGCAGTTCTCCATGGATTCTTTGGTGACGATTGGGTGCTTGGCATTGGACGGGTTCACGAAAGTGAGCGCAGAAACTACATGTTTGCCGCCAAGAGCGATAACTGGCTGAGAGTCAAAACTCAATATGATATGGATGATGGGCAAACAGTCCCATTTCTGAGACCGCTACAGAACGTTACCGAGGAAGAGATACAGGCCGCTGAATCCAACTGGAGCGAATGGCTTGCAATGCAAGACTGGATGCTTGGGCCGAGGGCTCCGCCGGATCTCAGCGAGCATTTTGTCACGGTTAAGAAGGAACGCGACTGATCATATGAGGAGTGTTTAGAAGCACATATCCTACAAATGGCTCATGGTAGAAGGCAGCCGCTCCGGGCATACGATAGACGGACCTGATGCGACGCTGAAACCAGCATATGGAATGAAACTCATCATTCAAGGAAGAAAGCAAGTAGATAGTTGAATTACTTTGATTAAGGGGCAAGGTAGGGAATCAGCACCTGCACTTCCACCCTTGCTAGCATAGCGATGTCAATTCACTGTTTTTTGGACATTTCTCACATGCTGACCCTCTTAAGTCCACTGTCATCTTTCATTCCTTGCGCCAGAGTTACATAAACTCCGCATCTATCTGTGTTGAGTTGGTTCGGTATATACAGTAGCATCAGCCCGGCAATCACTGATCCTGACCGACCCAAGATCAAGGTGGAAAAGCCCAGCACTGGCCGGTTGAACGCCCCACGAAAGCTCAAATACCCCCCTTTTCCTTTTCATCTTCAGGTAGTAAAACAAAAGTCCAGGCCCCTATTCTCCGTCGACTTTATAAGATAGAACGGAACTGCGAAAGCAGCGCAAAGCATTCCCCCACTATACGTGAGTATCTTCATCCCCAAAACCCTTATGGGTTGACCAAGTGAGCTTTCTCTGAGCCATGAGTACCACATCCCAATTTCTCTCCCAACGCCATGATGGGAAATGGATCCCGACCCAATGTACATTTTACGTCTTTGTGCTTTCAGGGATAGTGTGCCCAAAGACGGTGTGGTGTCAATAGTAGTAGGATAATGCATGAGCTGAAAACATGACGAAAAAAGACTCGCGAAGAAACAAAATTTAAAGGTATTATAGTAGTGTCAGTTGAGGAAGCCCTTGCAGGCCGCTGTGCCGCAGAGGCAAGGAATGCGGTCTAAGCTGCCGATCTCACGCTCAAACTTGTAATCGTACGTCAACTCCTCGCCTGTATGTTTGTTAGCATTGTGTCGATGGCTACGGTCAAGGGGGAATACGTACTCATGGCAATGTCCTGCAACGCGTAGATGACAATGCGCTTGCTTCCCTCGACCTTGATGATCTTGGCAGTGCAATTAGGTTCGCAACTGTGGTTGATGAAACGCGCAATGCCACCCTTCTTTGTCGCGTCGATGACGGTATTGTCGTCGATACGGAACAGGTAACTGCTTCCAATGCCACTTTTGAGGTAACGGTTCTCGCGGATCTCGGCAATCTGCTGTCGAACTTGCTCTCCTACATACTCAATAATCATGTCATCCTTCGCAATGTTCTCCATAGCATATAAGCCCCAGTTGTGAATGGCTGAGCGAGCAAACTTGACGGGTTTCTTCCGCTTCTTGAGCTGGTTGAATTTGAAGATATCAGAGTCTTGGCCGAGTGTCTTCTTTTGGTCGTTGAGGTCTTGCACATAGCGACGGTTGGTGGCGCGTTTCTGTCGTTCACTATCATTAGCAGCCTGTTTCTCGATGGCGATTCTTGCTGCATCTGCTGCGGCATCCTTGCCCGACTTGTTGCGGGCTTCTCGCTCCTGTCTTGCTTTTTGCACCTTGATATGGTGAGGTAGGTACTTGGACTTTTCGGAGTTAAGAATCTTCTTGACACCCTCGGTGCGTGAGCAGCCAGTAGGGTTGGGTACATAGTAGCCACTGATAGTGACAGGAGAATCCAATGTCCTGCTGGCAGAGTTGAGCTCCCTGATGCGGTTACGGGTCCATAGCCACAACTCTGGGTTGCCGATGTCCTTGGCAGTGAACCTCCTGGAAAGTTTTGAGAGGTCAGGTATGTCGCTCTGACCAATTGCCAATCCTTGGAAGAGTGGTAAGTCAGGCTTGGCGCCATCGGGTAACGCCAGTGCAGGAGTTAAGGGTTCTGTTGACAGGAGCTTCTCGTCATACTTCTCCGTAACGTCCTCCTTTGTGGTGGACTTTTCGGTGTCCGCTCCAGTCTTCTTAGCCTTTGGAGGTTCCACAGCTTCTTCCTCGTCACGTTGAGAGTCTGTCTCTGTCTGAAGGTCCTGGGCCTCGAGCTCCTCAAAAATCTTCGTCTTCTTTGCCCTGGATGGTCGTTTCTTCAGAGGTTTACCGACGACTGAAACTGGTGTTTCAGAGCGGGATATTCGACTATCAATGTCGTCACCTGTTTCTGGTTCGGGGATTATGTCCACAGAATCTTCGCGCGTCTCAAATCCCGACCCAAGCGCTCTAAGCCTAACGCCAAACAATTCCTCATCAGACTTCTTTTGACGCTTGAAAGCCGATTCCACTGATTCTGCCAACTTCCGCTTTCTGGAAATAGCAGAATCTGCTATAGCGAAGCTGGCTTCGGTCATAGAATCGTCCTCGCCTTGCTCCCATGGCACAAAGTCATCCTTGGATGCCTCGTCATCAGTGCTCATCCGGCTGCGAGGTCGCGACTCGGCTTCTTCTGTCTCACGCGCCAACAGCGTACGAGTGTCCATGTCGTCATCGGACTCGACATCACTATCAAGGCTTCTGAGACGGTGATGCAGCGAACGGAAAGCATTTCGAGCAACAGGTGGCCGTTTTCGTGCGAAGGGGTCAACAAAAGCGTTCTTTTGCTTGACCTTGGTTTTGCGAATTCTCGGTAGAGCTTTGGGTTCAATTCGACCAGTTCGTCGCTCAATTGGATCAGCTCGGGAGTTGGGAGTTCCTACACGTGAGCTGTCGTTGCCATCTTCGATACTGGCCATGTCCTGCAAATCATCAGGATGCTCAATGTTCAACTTCCGGCGCTTAGCGGCATGGTTGGCAGGATCCAGGAAATCCGAGAGAGCAGGTGCGGCGACCTTGGTACGAATGTGTCGAATCAGATGTTCTGTCATCTCACGTCTAACAACCTCCACAGCCTCGATCACTGGATCAAAGTTCTTAGCTCTTTGCTTCTTCTCCTCTTCAAGATCCGCTTCCTCTTCTCTTCGCCGCCTTTCCTTCTCGTCACGATATCGTGGCTCGGTATTTGTTTTTCGCTCTGGACTTGCACTGGATCGTCGGTGACCCGAGGCGCCATCTCGACGGGGACGAGGTAAGCATAATTGCATAGTCATGTCATAATTGAAAAATTCGGTGTGATTAACAGCACGAAAACATCGTTCAGCTTCTGACTTCCCGGTGAACGAGTTGCGGAACACGATGAAATAGCCCGACTTGTCGACCCGGATTTCTTCAAATCCGTAATTCTTGAGTCGTTTCTTCATGTGTGGAAGAATACTTGGTAGTACTGGGACACTATCGCCTGTAACGTAAATATATGGATCATCCGCGAGTTTTTGGGTAAGGTTCGAAGATTCGAGGTTGAGGCCTTTTTGTTGCGAGGGGGGTAGAGAAAGTTGTGGTGCGCCTGGAACTACAGGTTGTCGCTGTGCTGAGGGTCCCTTAGGAGCGGTTGGGGGGGGTCTAGTGAATCCAGGAGCAGTTCCAGATTTGGGACCGGTCGGGGGAGCTTTGGCTGCAAGAGCAAGTCGCTCTTGTTCCTTCTTCTCAAACTTTTCCTTTTCCCTCTTGAGGTGCTCTTCCAGCATACGTCGGCTTCTGCGCCCTTCCGCATCATACTCTACACGAACGATGTCGGCGTCAACCTTGATGCCTCGAGTCCGTACAGCTCGGCGAGCTGCGTCGATAGCAGAAACGGGAGGTCGGTCGGGTCGCTTAGAGTCTCGGTATCGAATTGTCGCAAATCCAAGATAGCTACCTGTTTCTGGGTGCATCTTGTTGCTGCTCTCGGCAATTTCACCAAATGTGGCAAAAATGGCCGTTACTTTGCTGAAAGGAACAAGCGGATTGTACCTCGTCACTACAATCTGCGTGGGTGGGCCAGGACCAATGGAGGTTTTGGGATCATAGGGATACGGCTTAATGTTCTCGGGTGCTGTTCGCAATCGCGATTTAGGGAGGTAGTAATCGGTATTGATATAACCGAGGCGTCCGTCCGACTTGGCCAGTCGAGGGTCTTTAGGGGGGGCGTCATCGTCCTAATCATTTTCATTAGCCATGAGTCTTTCACCAAAGATGACGCCCCCCCTTGGGAGGGATGTTTATAGTTATACGTACTCGACCGAACTCCTTGTATGTCGGCTTCGCGTTCTTGCTGACGCTCTTATTGTGTACTCGATCGAGGAGCGGATCATAGGTGCACTTAAGGCCCTTGACGGAGGGCATGGGATCTCGAGCCGGAATGCGCTCATTGGAAGGGAGTCCGTTTGATATCGAGCCATTAAAACCAACGGCGGGTGAGTTTCGGGAGGACTGTCTCGCGGCCCGATCGGCGGTCAGACATGTAGACATATCTGGCTTTGTGGTGGCCGAAGCCAATGAGTTGGGAGAATCTTTGGAAGCGATGGGAGTAAGGCTCGAGGTGGGAAGACGGGACGAAGCTGAAGTTGCCGCGGCACCGTGGCGGGCGGTTGTGCTAAATATTGATGAGGCCGTGCTACTGTATGAGCTGGCCGAATCGACAGTGCTGGGAATGTCTGTGAATGGTGATTCTGTGTCGTCGGGCTGCGCGGGCATAGTATCCGACGCTGAAACAATGCCGTTTTGGCCAGCGTTCGCGTCCGCGTCTGACGCAGCTGATGTTGATGTAGGGTCGCAAGCGCCGGTCATAGTGACCGGTGTTGACCCAGGTTTGGATTGTTCGCGATCTCTATTGAGGTCTGGGCGAGTCTGAGACTGTGCTTTTACCTTTGGAGCTGTGGGGAAGAATTGCGCGAAGCTCGCGCCTGGCGGGCGAGTCATCGTGACGATGCGCTCTTCCTACTTCTTCCCCCGTGCTCTTACCATGATATCCTTAAGCTGAAGCGTTGAGTGTACACCTAACGGTGGGATAATCTCTGTCTTGCGGCGATTCCAGACGGGTTGTTTTGATCGAGGTAGCGATGAAATTGAAGAGATTGGGGGTGAGATAATGCTTCACGCGACAGAGAGATGCTGAGGTTGAATGTGGCGGAGCGGCGTCACCGACCGACTCTACGAGCAGTAAAGGAGTAGAAAAAGTCGTCAGAGCATGAACAAGCAGACTGACTCAAGCGGTTGATGCGCGCGACAAAGGTGGGCGCGATGATGGATAGCAATGTCCAAAGCGTCGAGGGAAACGAGGGGGAAATTGGTGGGAGAATGAGAAAAAATGGCTGACGACCAAGGAAGTTGACGTTCACTTCGCCCTGCTCTGCTTTGCTTTGACTTTTGGTTCAGGGATGAGTAGAGTTACTTTTAGCGGTAAGGTCCAGGTCAAATGAGAGGATAGCCCAGCCACAGTTTGAGTGGCTTGGAAGGTTCTTGTAGCTTTGATTGGATGTTTTGTTTGGGTAGATACACGGTTGGTGGGGATGTGTTTGGTTGCCAATTAACGCGTCCCACAAGACTTCAAGTATTGGATTGGCACCGCGTCAGTGGACGTGGTATTGGATGAATCGGTTTGTCCGTTATTTTGCTGCAAACTCCCTCGTGTTTTGTAGTAGGCTTCAGTGTTCGTTTGTCATAACCAATGCGGTGCCTCCTCTTATTTATCCGTACCTTGTTCACCGTTGTTTGAACCATTCGGTTGACAAGGTGCCTTATTTGGAAACAAGGTAGATGTCATCATGCATGAAAGCGAGGCCTTTGTCCAAGGATTCCATCTGGTCGAAAAATAAAAATGAAAGACACTCTTCTCAGTAAACAAAGGCAAGACGATATATCTTTATGAATTCAATTAAAGAGAAACACTGCAAATAGCATCAATTCCGTGATCTTTCAGATGCAGCTTACCAAATTAGTGAGATAGAAGACGATGTTTGGATTAGACCTAACCTGTACCATTTCACATGCATGCCAAGACTCTATACAGTTGTGAAATCGTACCTTAAAACCATATCAAAGTACAGGTCAGGTTAAGTCATTACTAACAAATTTATTCATGTCAATATTTGCTAGGTGCAGCTAATATTTCGACATGAACCATCTGGCATACAAATATAAAAAAAGCACAGCCATTGTGACCTCTCAGTTCAGAACCTTCCAAACTCCGTCTCGTCCCATGTTAATATCACGACAAGCTTCTTCCCAAACGCCAAATATTTTTACAGTACAAGATGATGGCTTAGAAGTTCAGCTTCAGTTCAAACTCATCCTCTTCATCGTCGGAGATGTCAAGCGGTTGGCTCAGAGGTGGGAGATCATCATCATCTCCATCCTCATCGAAGATAGACATGAACTGGGGTCTCAGCTTGGTTTCCTGCTGCTGCTTTACCGCCTGACGGAGACGAGCTGGGGTAATAGTAAGATCAGACTGAAGAGAGTTGACTGTCTCGACAGGCTTGACAGCACGCTGTGTTCCAACAGGTGCGGTAGTCCCGCGACGTTGAGCGTTGACCATTGAGGATGCTGATCTACCCCGGTTGTAGCCGATAGTGGTTCGTGATGCAGCAACGCCAGTAGCACTCTTTGCAGGCGATGTCTTGGCAGGCACCACACTTCTGGCGACAGGCTTCTTGCTCTGATACAAAGAAGTGAGAGGTTTTCGAATCTTCGTTGTTCGTGCCACACTCGAAGTCTTGCTGTTGCTACTGGCGTCTGAGTGGATGGACAAAGCAGAGGCAGCGCGCCTTGATGCCAGACTTGAAGGCTGCTTGGTTCGGATGCCTTTGACCTTCCGCTCCGAGTCCGCAATAGTAGCCGTTGGTGCTGGTGCCTTGATCTGCACTTCGGTGTCCGAAAGATCGTCAATGTTGAAGGTCAAAGCAGCTCTCTCTTGCTTATTTCTCTCCTCCGCCTTGGCAGCAACCTTCTTCATTGTCTCTGCAAACTCCCTGTCCTGTCGAGAAACGCCATCATCATCGACTGGATTATAGAAATGCTGATAGTATCCCTTCAGAATATTTTCCTTCTTCAAGCCCTCGAGGGTCAGCATATCCTTGGGAAAGCAGTCCGATTCGTACGGGAGATCCTTGGGCTTTGGCGGGGCATATTCAGGTTCTTCTTCCTGTGGTTCGATGGGCTTCTGTTCTTCCTTGAGTCGGATTTCGAGATGTGCAAGATCCACTGGTCGTTGCTTGGGCTTCTGTGCTGTTGGCTTGAGTTGCGTTTGCTCAATACCCTGGATGATGTTCTTAACACCACCAAGTTGCCCGTTCTTAGCCTTGGCATTGGTGGTCTTGTTGCCCAAAGGAGCTCGATTCTGGGTACCTAATAACACATCTCCAATTAGCGTATTGTTCTTTGTCCTGGAAAGAATCATGCGTACCCATTGGGGTAACCATGGCCTGTCGTGTTCCATTGCCTTTGTTGAGCGTCTTCACTCCACCCAATCCGGTCTTGCCAGTAAAGGCAGTGGGAGCATTCTCGTCATGCTGAGGAAATCGAGATGGCGTTTTTGGAAATCGTGTATTGTGTTGCTGTTTGGTCGGAACTTGCTGGCTAACGACCAGGTTCTCTTGGTCGCGATGCGCCGCCAACATGATGGCTACTACGAGCGAATCAAGGATTCAGTATATCTTTGTCTGTCTCCGGGATAGAATTAGGCAGATGTTGGTCCCGTCATTGAATTCATTAATCAAAGAGGTAATTACGGTTGGAAGATGAAAGGGTCATTTGCTCATCTGCCAGGACCTTCGCGGCCGGGATGTTTTGGTCGGCCTGTGCTGGCTGGCGGGGCAACCGCTATCTTTGGGTGCATGTTCCCTGGGTTTACAGTGGAAAGTGCCGGCATGTCAGCGCCACACCTCAACGACCGCCACAAGCCAATGGGGCTACACTCAGACGCGGCCTCCACCGGGGCAGCTGTGGAGGGGCATCACTCCTCCCCTTTCTTGATAGGTACTTAACCGCTTCATCTTACATCCGAACAACACGACCTCTGTCCTCATCGCCGGTTTCCCTTCAGCCTTTTCTTCAACATAAACAAACCTTTCGCCGCTTATCAAAATGGATCGCATCAAGGAGGTTAGTTGTCCAAAAAGTTCCTTGCTACCCCGCCATGGCAACCTAAAAGGAACCGTTGTGGAGGGGTAAACTATCGTTGGTCGACCCATGCTAATATGGCGATGGTGGATAGAAAATGAACCAGCTCCGTCTGGAGGCCGACGAGGCCAGCGGCAAGGTTGAGGAGCTCCAGAGCAAGGTTAAGGTTCTCGAGCAAGAGAACCTGTCAAAGGAGCAGGAAATCACTTCCCTCCAGCACAAGAACAACCTCCTCGAGGGCGAGGTCGAGAAGCTTGAGAACGCCGTAAAGGACTTCAAGAAGGCCGCCGACGAAGGCCAGCAGCACGGCACTCAGAACGAAACCCTTCAGCGAAGGCTGCAACTCCTCGAGGAGGAGGCCGAGGATGCCGACAAGACACTCCGTGAGGCCAACGAGAAGTACGTTGAATCCCCTTAGCGAGTCCCCTTACCGCCATTTCCACAACCATCAATTTTAAACACCATAAATGATACAACGGCTAACAAAGCGATTCTCTAGGCTCCGACAGACCGACGTCAAGGCCGGACACTTCGAGCGAAAGGTGCAAGCCCTTGAGAACGAGCGTGATCAGTGGGAGTCCAAGTACGAGGAGATGTCGCAGAAGTACAACGCCCTCCAGAAGGAGCTGGAGGAGCTCCAGGCCGAGATTGGCAACATCTAATTTATCCTCAAGCTTTAAAGCACTCGCGCCGGATGCAGGATCCATGTTCGTTAGCATGTCCTCAGACATCAGTATACTCGTCCAGTTGTATGATGCCTTGGTTGCAGGTATTTCCAGGTGTTGGCCAAATGAGCGAATGGAGCAGTTGCCGCATGTCATGTTACGTTTCTACTACTAGCTGATTGAAGCTGGCTTTTCTCAAAGGGTATCTTTTGTAAATGGTGCGCTTCTTACATCCTTCTATGTTGTCCAAGTCCATTGAGCTCCGACGTACTTTATCATGCTCTCCTTTTTGCCTTCTTGATTCTCTGCTTCTTATCCGTCAACTGCCTCTCGAACTTGGTCTCGTATCGGAACTTCTTCTTCTTCTTCTTGGGTTCCCGTCGTGACTTTGCTTTTTGATCGTCCTTGGGTTCTTCAACCTTTTTATCCTCCTCATTGTCCTTGTCGTCGACTTGGGGTTTGTGTAATCCATCTCTTGTCACCGACACAGACTCGACCGTGACAGTGGTGTAACGATCTTCGTCAATGTACTCTTCTTCGTGATCGACAATATCCAGCTCTGGCTGATCAGGAAAACCGTCCCACTCCCCGTCTTCCTCGTCAGATTCCTGCTCAACCGCTCCAGCAGCTTCCGACTCCTGCAATAATCTGTTTACGGTCTGGACGTGCTCTTCGACATCGCGCTTTCGTTCTTCTCGTATCTAAGTAGAATAATTTAGTACAATTCGAAAGTGAAAGTCGTAATCTCGCTTGAGAATTTGGCGTACCTGTTTTCGCAACTCCAGCTTCTCCTGGCGAGCCCTCTTGGCAGCCTCTTCTTGAGCATTCTTGATACGCTGCTGCTTGCGCTTATGGAAACCAGTCAAATATTCTTGTCGCGCCTCGAAGTCGAAGTTAACTTCCTCGACTGCAGATGCCATCTTTCGCTTCTTGGATGGCGGAGGCAGGATGCTCTTTTTGGGTCTTGGTTTGGCGAACATGATTGCTTATGTGCACGATAGTCGTGACGTGCAAATAAAGATTTGAGAATGTATCGAGTAAACTATTTTGTTGGCTACAATAGCAAGAATAGGTAGCATCTTGAACATCGAAAAATCCACTGTCGCGAAACTTTCCCAGGGTAGCTCCACAACGGAATGGATCCCAGCTCTCACCGAGGTGTGCACGCAACGGGGCTTTGCACGTATCGGATTAGTTACGTAAGGTGGCTGCTCCTGCATCAGCTCTCTCAATACTAGCATTATCATCACAAGCTGGAATCGATAGGCAGACACAACGCCCAATAACCAGCAAATATCATCCGTGATGCGTCTTCAGATTCTCGCCAGCGCTCTTGCGCTCAGCGGTTCCGCCGCCGCGTTCTCAGACTCATGGCCATTGGTTATGTTTTCTACCTCCAAGTATGACGCGCGCCTCCGTGTCCTATCTATACTTGGAGCTCCCTACTAACGATGACGATGAAGGTTCTCCGATGCACCCAGCAACAACCACATCCAGACGCGATCCCAAGCTCTCGAGCAGGTTCAGGACCTCTTGACTTCATGTCCGACCGAAAATTACGTCCTGATCGCCCATGAGGGTGTCAACGCCGCTGATCTTCGACGACCGAACTCCATGTCCAATCTTCACCATGTTATCGGCCGCAAGGAAATTCAGGGCAAGTTTATTGTTCCTGAGGTTGTTGGCGAGTCGATCGATGCGGCTGCGATCCAGGACTACATTAAGAGGGCGTGTTATGAGCAGGCAAAGAAGGTTCAGCCTCATTTCACCCTAATCAAGGCTTCAAAGAATGAGGAAGGTCAGTTATATGATAAAAGTCGCTTTGAGTTCAAATTTTGACCATATTACAGAAGTTATCAAGCAGTGGGAGGAGAGTGAGCAATGGTTGAACGATTCATACACTGTCCTTTTCGTTGGCACGCCATCCACCAAGGCCAAAACCACCGCATCTAAGACCGAGAAGACCATCTACGAGCCCGATTTCATCGAGCCTCTGCACATGGACTTGAAGCGCGATGTCTCGGGCAATGCGGAGAAGCCTGGCAACGCCACGCGCGATACCCGTGGTCTATTTGAGAAGTACCAGTTCTTTACTCCTGGTAAGCTTCCTCGGTATAATCTACGCATGCTTGACTCCGTACTAATAAATCGTAGGTATCTTCATGGGAATCATCGTTGCCATTGTGCTGTTCTCCCTGCTTGGCGTTGGTCTGCGGGCTCTGGCTAGCCTCGAGGTCTCCTACGGCGCTTTTGAGAAGGACATGGGCCCCGCTGCTCAAAAGAAGCAGCAGTAAACCACTTGTACTGAATAAACGAGCGCTGTTCATGTATCGGTCTTCCATGTGGAATGATACTTGTATATCAGATTATGGAGTTTGGGTTCCTTTGGTGCGACTTGATGGGAGGATTAGTATCGGCATGTAATGTTGCGAGCATCAGCTGTAGACAGGACATAGGGTCGGGGATCCAGATAAAGGGTCTTGACCCAAATTTATTGAGTACTTTTTCCAGATGCGATTCGAAGCTATGAAAGAATTCAACGCCAAACTCCGTTATGACACCTCTAGTCATAACAACCGACCTCTCTAGTGGTGATGCATCTCCAATGGAATTTTGCAAACGTAACTGATCTTGGCTCATATTGTCATCTTTACACCAAGTGGCTGGGCAGCAAAAAGTTGGCAATACCCTCCTTGACGGCGTACTCGTGCCCACAGTTACCACAAACGAGTTTTCCCTCAGACATTTGAGTCTCGAGAAGAAGATGGTGAAGATCCTTGAGGGTCTTCTCATCAGCCCGAAGCTCAACTGCTGTGGGAGGCTGTTCAGGGAGCTGAGGGAAACCCAACTGTAACATGAAAGTGTCAGAAACTTGTTTCAACAACACAGGGCGAGTTTCATGATCGCCTTGTTCTCGCCAACTCACCTCAGAGGCCGTTGTGCAAAGAGCTGTCCAGTCAAGACGGGGCAGCACGTTGAGGATCATGTCAGGGTTCAACTCAATATCGTCCTGGACGAGTTCAGCGTCCTTGGGGTGAAGAGGGTATGAGTCTTTGGAGGACTTGCAGGCCTTGACGGCGCAAGTGAGGAAGTTGAGGCTGAGAACCTTCATCTTGGTTTCGGAGGAAAATGAACAGTAGATGCGTTAAATAGTCGTGTAAGAGATCGAGAATCGTCAAATTGATGTTGTCTAGTACTTACACAACTTTTTTTTCTTCTACGGCGGGGGGAACTTGGTGGTGAAGTGAGCCCCACGTGACAGGGATGTTCTACTAGAGTTACGTGCTACGAATGCTACAATAATGACCAGACGGAACATAATGCCAATTCACCGTAAATTTAGGCTATAATTCTACAATTAAAAGGGACGAGTAGTAGTCGGTCAAGATCGAAACACACATTTGGTCTTGATATGGTCGGTGTTGTATTGTCTCTTATTGAATACTGAGTCTCGAGTCGCTTAGAATCGAGAGCGCTGACGGGCGTGGCGAAGTCCAACAAAGACAAGACCAGCAACAACGGCAAAGAGGCCAGCCTTCTGGAGAGGAGACCAACCAGCGGGAACCTCCTCCGCAGCGAATTCAGATGTGCCGTAAAGGTCTAATTGAGGCGAAGGCTACGCATCAGCAAATCCGGCCTTTTAGGATTATCAATGAGGGCGAGGCAACGGACTGGTGCAAAACAAGAGTGTTGCCTCTTAGAGCTCAACGTGAATACCTTCAGGGGGGACATCAAGCTCGCCGCTCTTGGCGATCTTGACCGCCTCGACGGGTCGGTCGGCACTGCCAGTCTTGGTGTTCTCGATCTTCTCGATGATGTCGTAGCCCTCGAGGACCTCACCGAAGACGACGTGCTTGCCATCGAGCCACCTGCAGATAATTGTCAGTACTGCGATTGTAATTGGTTCGTTGGAGATGGAGTTGCGCTTACGAGGTGACAACGGTGGTGATAAAGAACTGGGAGCCGTTGGTGTCGCGACCGGCGTTGGCCATGGAGAGAAGACCCTTCTTGGTGTGCTTGAGCTTGAAGTTCTCATCCTTGAAGCGGTCACCGTAGACTGAAGATAAATGTTAGCAATTGATGAATTGGGCCGAGACGAAGCTATCGCAACATACTGGACTTGCCACCAGTGCCGTCACCCTTGGTGAAGTCACCGCCCTGGATCATAAAGTTCTTGATGACACGGTGGAAAGCAGAACCCTCATAACCAAAGCCCTTCTCGCCAGTAGCCAGAGCGCGGAAGTTCTCAGCTGTCTCGGGGACAGTCTTGCCGTAGAGGCCCATAACGACACGGCCGAGCTTCTGGTCACCCTGCTCAATGTCGAAGAAGACCTTATGGGTGATCTTAGGGCCCTTGGCAGCCTCAGCTGTCTGGGCGAGGAAGAGGAGGCCGAGCCCAAGGACCAGGGCCGACACGAAAAGGCGACGAAGATTGAACATGATTGTTGTTTCTCTGATGATCAAAGAATACAGAGGCAGAGAAAGGGAAAGGTTGGAGAGGAGGGACGGGAAGGGACACTTATACCGTAGAGATAGCCACTGACCGGGGGGAGCTGGTCCCCGCTGCGTGCGCAATTGGGGGACCTAAACACTAAACTACCTGCAGATGGTCCCCGCTGCCGGACTGGGAGTGGAGAGCTCACTCTGCGTTCCAGCACGTTTCAGCGGCTAAAGCCACCAGAGGAGCGAGTTCTTTCATTGGTGCCCTGCTGATCTAGGGCCGCGAAGCGACAAAAAAGATTCGACATGATGAACACGGGCTTGAACGTAGAGTTACACTAACTTTTAAGTCAGAGCCTCATTCCCCTGTCGCGGCTCACCTCTCCAGTGGACCCCGCCGTGCTGGAGCTCCCTGGTGGCCGTCTTGTACATTTCGGTGCAGTAATTAACCCGAGTTTTACCGAATTGTCCATCTTTTTCCAACTGCACGTCTGGTCGGCTTCGGTTTGGAGATCTAGGCATGCGACTGTGATACCCACGATAATCCGTCACCATGGTACGCTTGCACCCTTTTTTTGTCCCTCAAGCAATTGGAGTTTAACAGTAAATAGGTGTTCCTTGCAGGAGTCAGTTTCGGCGACCAGAAGCTCGTCAAGGTAAGTCTGGCAGCCACCGAGTGCTCTCATCCATTCTCACACCACATCCTTCGATAGAAAGCCCTCGAGTCCTTCTACGCTCTTGGGCCCACAGTATCTGCCCGAATTATGGCAAAATACTCGATTCACAAGCTCGCCAAGGTCGGATCCCTTGCTCCCAGAACCGTCACTCACATTACGGCCGAATTATCACAAATGACCATCGAAACGGACGCCCGCCGCTTGTTACAAGAGAATATTCGACGATTAAAGGATATGGGATCATACCGGGGTAGACGTCACGCAATGGGTCTGCCAGTCCGTGGTCAACGAACAAGGACACAGACGGCGACGGCCAACAGACTCAACAGGGTGGAACGACGAGGTTAAGCGCATCATTGGAAGAGTGGGTTACCTGGGCTTGGGTATGAATATCGGCAAATATCCCCAGAGAGGATGTTATGGCATGCCTAAATGCTAGAGAGATTACACCGAGGAGAAACGACAAGCCAGGCTATCTCCTTGTTATGCAAGACTTGTATATATAATGTATGATCAAATGGAAATGAATTCTATATGGCCGTGTTCAAGCGCGGTACTATCAACTTTACGCATGTTCCAACGAAGCCTCCTGAGCTTCATCAAACTTCATCTTTGGCAAATCATCCTCCAGCGGCAGCTGTCCTTTGGCCTGCAACTTAGCAGCAACAGTGTCGACATCTTTCCATACGCGCAGCAGATTACCTCCAACAACCTTGGCTGCATCAACATTGCTGACACCCTGTCGAAGGAGTTCGGCGATCAGGTCAGGATATTTGGTGACATCTTCAAGGCCTTCAGGAACAGATGGAATACCGTCAAAGTCGGTACCGATACCAACATAGTCGTAACCGATAAGGTTACCGATATATATAATGTGTTGAGCTGCGTGTGCAAGAGTCGAGTTCTGGGGGTAAAACTCAGGAAGACCATTCTCCTTTCCGGTGTCAACACAAGAGATGAAGTCAGGGGCAATGTTAACCATGACCAGGGAGTTACGCTTCTTGACGAGTTGTAGAACATTGTCCTTGACGTTTCGGGGATGAGGGCAGACGCTCCAGGCGGAGCTGTGAGAGAAGATGATTGGGGCTTCAGAGCCAGTCCATTCATCCTTGCCGCTTAGTACATCCAACATAGTATCCTCACTGGCAGTCTTGGTTAGGATTGGGTTCATGGTGGGAAGTGAGTCCAACATACCTGACATGAGAAAGATCAACAATCATGCCGATTCGGTTCATCTCGCCGATAAGCTTGCGACCCAGGGGGCTCACGCCTCCCCACAATGGCTCAGCCTTTCGATCAGGGTCTGACAAGATCGCAGCATCGGCAAATTTGTTGTGACAGTTATGAGTCAAGGTAGCATAGCGCACACCAAGCTCATGGAACCGACGGAGGTTAGACACCTTGTTGCCGATTTGATGTAGACCCTCGATACCAAAGGGTGAGATGAGCTTGCCCTGCTTGAAGGCCTCAAAGGCATTGGAGCTGTCGACCTTTTCAGAGAAGTGGCTAGGATAGGCCGCCTGCAGCCTGGTCATAACATCAATCTGGTCCAATGTGAACTGCACGCCTATGTATGTGATTAGAAAGACACATCGATCCACGACCATGACAACTTACTGGAAGCGTAGTTCTTGTCAGAGAAGTCAGAGCCATTTGACGGACATGGAGCAAAAAGACTCCAAAATGCACCACCGCTTTGGCCCTGGCGAAGACGATGCAAGTCAACATGTCCAGGAAGCTCACCCTGCTCAAATGGCTGAGTGAAGTTATCATCATAAATCTGGTTACCGTATGCGAAGCGGAGCACGATTGGAAAGTCGACGTGCCCGTCTGAAGTTATTATGTCAATATACATCTGATAATGACAAAGGTGCAGGTCTCCATACCTATCAATGGTGTATGGCTGAGAACATGTCGTGCTCGCTCCTCAGGCGTTCGCAATCCGTTTCCATAACGAGGAACACCATTGTAACGATTGCTGACTGGCCGATGCAACAAACTGAGTCCTAAAAGTGCTAGGAAAATAGCTATAATGGTCCTTCGAGGCGTTAATTTTGGTGTAGAGGGAGCTTCATGATGTGGACCTGTATGAAGCTGAGATAGTAATCCTCCCTTGACTGATCTATTTGCGCCCCTGGTTCTCGATGACCGGGTGGTGTTGTATGATAGGAGAGGTTCCTGCCGCCCCATTGTGATGACAAAATGAAATGAACAATGAATCAATGTAAGGAGAGGTTGATGTGAATAAGAAAGTGATATGACGCTGTAGATGAGTTGAAGTCGTTGAGCTGGGCAAAGTTAAAAGGCACAGGGATAAAGATGTAACGCCCTGAACTCATGGGCTGACAAATACGGGACGCTCAGACTATCTGTCAGTTGTCCTGGGATTCAATTTGAACAAAAAGAGGATAGTCACGATAAATACAAGACATGTCATTAAATCTATACGATACTTTAGGTAGTTTATATAGGAAGATTTTTGACGTTAGATGTAGGAAAACGAAAGAAAAAAGAACTCCCCGAAATCTGATTCGAACAGGCAACCTTTTGATGTGAAGTGAATGACCTCTGGTCAAGCTATGCAGGGCTAACCATTGCTAGATAGACTGATAGCGGACACTAATTCCATGAGAGGCATAGCTTGACAGATCAACCACGAGCGAGACATCGTCAAACACTATCAATTCGCTCTCATTACCTTACATTTCTACTATTATGATGCACTCGGGCCCCCGATCATCCAGGGATGCATAATGCTTAGCAAGAGAGGGATCGCATAAAGATGAGAGATAGTGAGAGTACTCAGGTTTCAATTGAAAGCCTTGAGAGTTTTGAACACAATTTTCTGCTTCGAATGTTTGATGGAGGATGCCTCAGCGCTCACAGGTACCCGTAATATCTTGTGAAATCCATCACGGCTAGCTTGCAAGCCAGCTGTTGTGGGTTAGGTGACTCAGCTGACTGTTTAAACTTAAGCAAATTAACTGGACTGGGTAAATGAAGCTCTGTATTCTCTGTTTTTATCTCAAAAAGATCTGACCTCTGTAAGGAATGGTGTTCTGATATAAGGGTGAGGCTTGCAGTAGCTTGTCTAAAACCTAAGCTAGCCGTGATGAATTTCATAAGAGAATACGATACTTATATGGTTCTACCGTTCCGAGATATCCGTAGTGGCATTTCCAGTAATTTTGCATTGAATAGTTATGCAAATGCTGTGCACGCACTGGGAGTCTGGGAACACACTACTACGGAGAACCCCAAAGACAGAAGCGCAATTCCACTTACAGTCCGTTATGATACCGTAACCAAAACCGAGACACCGTTTTGAACAGTTGAGGCAGGGAGGTATTGGACATGAAAGGTACTCAAAAGTCGCCAAACAGCCTCAGAAACCGAGTCTTTCTCTTCATAATTTGATGGTAGGAGTCTGCTGTACCTATGCCAAATTGATCAATTCTTTCTCTCAAAATTAACTAAAATGAAGAAGCTTTATGATTAGTTCTGGAGAGTTCTATAAAATTTAGATTATGTTATCCATAAACTCATCATAATCTATTCAGATTATGATGAGTTATATGGACAACTACAGTCTAAGAATGGGCTAAACTTCCTAAGGTAAGTACTAAGGTATCCATCAATCGCCTTGACATTCAAGTTATTCGATAAAATAATGATCACATTCAACATGAATAAGAGGTTCATTATTAAGTCCGTTCATCTGTTGCACAGCGCTTTCATAACCATTTTGTGCATAATAGCTTTAGACCTCGATAGACATCCATCTCGGAACGGCGTAGTCATTTAAGTACTAACGAGTGATGAGTCATCCTGCTCCTATTATTTAAAGCAGATAATCGTGTTTAATAAATAATAAGAAGAACTTGTTACAAAATAAATGAGGGATTCCTGGGAAGCTGGGTGATCCGAGTCGGGCGTTTCAAAAAGTTGGGAACGCACGACTGTTCTGATATCCTCAGCATTTAAGTACCTAACTACACCAAGGAGACTTCATTAACAAATCCTGCAGACTAGGCGCATCCCTGGGGTCTGCCACAAAAACGCAAAAGAGGCACTGCAGTACATAGTGTCAAGACTGTATCAAATTCATAAATAAATTGCCTTGGTGGCTGCGGCGCCTTGAACCCTTCCCACCTAGACTCCGAGGTTTTGGAGCGAAGCTCACAACCTTCCTGTAAGGCTTGAATAACCACTCTAGCCCAATTCCCCCTAACTCGACATCCATATTGCGAAAGGGGCAAACCAGTGATGATATGGACATATCTACGCTGGTCCCAACACTGAGATCTTTGTTCGAATGCCATCGATCGCGAAGGTCACCTGTGCATAGTATGATCATGGTTAAACTAGGGGCCTCGCTTCTTTGGTTACTAACTAGACTTTCCACATGTGGCCCTGACTGTTGCTATCGATGCAACAGGAGCATAGCTGAAGGCAAATGCGGCTGATGAGATGGACGCCAGCTCCGTGAGAACGAGTAGATTGCTCAAAAGACATCCTTCGAAGCAATTCGGCCTCAAACTGCACCCTTCCGAGGACAACGATAACACTTGCTGGATTTCTCCACGCCATGATAAGAAGATCAGCACTGAAGAAGCTAGACCCTAATGCTAACCTTTCACTCTGCCAATTCGGAATGGCGCGTTGATTTACACCAAATACAAGCCACACCTAACCCTAGAAAATTAACTCCTGTTCAGTTTCTTCAAAAGACTAAACAACTGTATGTTACGTCTTATTCTATTTCATCAGATAAGATGTCTCCCTACTCGATCTCTGCAAAACCCGATGTGATTTTACTCACTTCTTACCGTCGCCACTCACACCTCAGTCAACTTAGCCCTTTGGATCCAGGCACGTGGTTGGATACAGCAGCCTACTCCGTATAAATGATACTCATCTCGATACCGCCAAGTTTTGCGTACTATCCTTCTTGAGAAGCTTTGACAAGATGCCAGTTCTAGAAGTCAATAACCCCACGAGAAAGTGATCTGTTATAACACCTTGCTTCTGTAGGGTTTCAGGCATCTGATGTGTTTTATCACCGAATTCTAGGAGCTATCTCCTCGCTTTGGTGGCGTTTACCCTGGCCCCCCTGGAATTATCTTAATGAGAGAGCCGGTGATGGTGACTGGTATTATTACAGGATCGCTTGTATCCTTACCATTGCCATTCTATTAAATTGCCATCTTCTTGGATAGTAGGTATACATGTAATATAATATTGGATACCTTGAGATCTCGCAGATGGCTATGCCTATTGTAGAATTAATACTCTCTTTGAATCTAACCAAAAGAGGTTAGCCCCATTTGGCTCAATTGGCTGGAGCATTCGGCTGTAGAGTGAAAGGTTACCTGTTTATCCAGGTTTTGGGGAAGTTCTTTTTTTTTTATTAAATCTTTTTTATACAAGTTATTCTTGCAAGCCCTGTTAATGGGTTTCTTACGCAAATGACACTTAGTAGCTATCCGTCCTGTCGTTTAGCTCGGCCTTGTCAAACTGCCTGAGATACTTCAAAGCGTGAGCCACTGTCAGAAGATTCTCCCTCACGAGGAGGCGCTGATGATCTCCAAAGATGGGCTAAGTGTACCTGGCGTCTGTGACTGGAACACAGCATGCTATTGCCTTGATTTTCTGTGTAGCTGTTTAGGGTCCCGTTGTAGTGCGTTGCGTCGCCAGGTTGAAGGAGGATCTGAGGAAACCAGCTGGTATCTTTACCTTTGGATCCCTCCTGTCTTGTTTCTTTCTCTGTGTCGCTTAATACGGCTGGTTCACTAAACACCTTCTCAGCACCCCTAGCACCTGCGCTGGATAAGTACTTCTTCTCCTGCTCCTGCACATCAAATTCCCACGGCATAAAATATTTAAGTCGTAATATAAATTCCTAAACTTAAGCAGCTAAGGTTAGTTGATAAGTGAGTCGTTATGAAAGTAATATAAGAATAAGATTTCATGCGCTTCATTTCCGTAGGTTGTCTCGAGCTCAATCAACCAGCCAGCCAATCCCATGTCCATGGTGATTCGATTTCTCGGATGAATCAGGCACCGTTTCCGGCGGGGTGACTCTTTCCCACTGTGATTCATAGGGGTGTGGGGCGAGGGGCACTTGCCTGCCAGATTCAGGCTGCTTGGCGGGGTGTAGAAATCTGCTTCTCCTTCTCCCAAACTTCTTCCCCTAAACATCTCCGCTCACAAAATGTCCAGTAAGTCGAGCGAGGAGAGGCTCCGCCTTATCAAGGAGAATCTCGCTGAGGTTCTAAATCCCGAGATTATCACGTCCATCCTCGACCAAGAGCGAAACCCCAAGATCTACTGGGGCACTGCTCCAACTGGTCGACCTCACTGTGGTTATCTTGTTCCCGCCATCAAGATTGCCCAGTTCCTTGCCGCCGGCTGTGAGGTTACCGTCCTTATTGCGAACATTCATGCCATGCTCGACAACCTCAAGACCACACCTGAGCTCATTCATCATCGCGCCGAGTACTACCAGTTCACCGTCACTTCCACACTCAAGGCCTGCGGTGTCGATACCACCAAGCTTCGATTCGTCCGGGGTAGCTCCTTCCAGCAGAGGGACGACTATATCATGGACTTCTACAAGCTCTCTACACTTGTATCCGAGAAAGCATGCAAGAAGGCTGGAACTGAGGTCGTCAAGCAGACTTCGGAGGCGCCTCTCAGTGCTGTCATGTACCCCGTTCTGCAGGTTCTGGATGAGCAGTACCTGGACAGCGACGCTCAGTTTGGTGGTGTTGATCAACGAAAGCTTTTCACTGCAGCCATCGAATGGCTACCAAAGTTGGGTTACCGAAAGGTATGTTTTTGCCTTCCTTGAATTGAATATTACTGACTTTACCAGCGAGCCCATCTCATGAATCCCATGGTCCCTGGTTTGAAGGGAAGCAAGATGAGCTCAAGCGATGAGAGTGAGTGCTTTGTTTCTCCAATGTATGTCTCGCTAACAGGCAGCTTTCAGACAGCAAGATTGATCTTCTCGACTCACCCGATGTTGTCGCAAAGAAAATCCGTAAAGCCGAGTGTGTTCCCAAGCAGGTTAAGGAGAATGGTGTCCTGGCTCTCGTGGAGTATGTTCTGCTGCCTGCTTCTGCTTTGAAGACTGGCGTCCGAGAGTTCAAGGTTGAGAGAAAGGATGCCGAGCCTCGTGTCTACAACGACATTGAAACAGTTCATGAGGACTACTCAAATGATGTGGTATGTTCTGATGATGAATGTCCGATTGCTGAAGACGCTTGCTGACATGATGTGTTCAAGTTGACACCTCAGATGTTGAAAGCTGCTGTGATTCAAGGACTCCTCGAGTTGATCGGTCCTATTCAGGCTGAGTACCAAGACTCAAATGAATGGCAGGAAGCCGCTCTCAAGGCCTACCCCCCACCTGTCAAGAAGGAAAAGAAGGTTAAGAAGGGCTAGAAATCCCGAACCGCCCCGACAGAGAGCAGTGCTGATGAGAGCACCGCTGGTGAATCGGTCGTGTCTTCTACTTGGACTGAGGTCTCGACTACGATAGAGGAAGCGGGCTTTGAAAGCGCTGGAGAACAAGACGTTGCTTTGAAGGAAATGATCGACAAGGACTGCAAGCCCATGTAGAGGATCGAGGACAGAGATTGGAGTCTGAAAGAAGCCGCAAGGAAAGGGATACAAAGAAGAACATTTCTACTCATGAAAATTGCAAGAAGAAGAATAATTCTTATTCATGGAAAGGGAGAGAAATGCTTTATTAATAATTATCCTATTTCGCCTTGTCACCCAGGCAGAGGCTGGCTTTAATGTAGTTATATTCGAACGATGAGGAGGTTTGAGCCTTTGCACACTGTTATTTTTTACTTATTGGCCCCCTTGAAGCAACAAGCATCGTAGACGGAGTAGTACCAGCCGTCCCTGAACTCAAACCCAAGGGCAGAAACAGCAGCATCATAGAGCTCACACTGGTTGCTAGTGGTGATACCAATGGCTTTGCAGTTGTCAGTCTTGTCACACTCCACCTGACACTGGTTAAGGTCGTAATCGTAGTAGACTTGGATCAGGTTGTGGTCGGCGCTGTTGAAGAAGCCAGTCTTGGCGCAGGTGAGCTCAGAGCGAGGAGGACAGCCGGAGGTAGCAGCAGCGGAGGTGGTTGTGTAAGCCTCTGAGGTAGTCGTGGTAGGCTTGGAGGTGGTTGTAGGGGCGACGGTGGTGGTGTCGAGAGTGGTCTTTGGCTTCGAAGTGGTTTCGGGGACTGAAGTTGTAGTGTAAGGAGCAGCACTAGAGTCTTGTGTGGTATAAGGAGCAGAGGTTGTGTCCTCCTTGGCAGTTGCAGTAGTCTCAGCTTCAGAACTGGGATAAACGGACCCATTCGTAAGGGATTCAGCAGAAGCAGAAGTCGTCTCGGTGGCAGGGTATCCAGTAGTTGTCTCCTCAGCAGTGGTAGGCTTAGACTCGTCCTTGGTAGTACTGGTGACCTGCACAGCGGTGGTAGAAAGAGAAGTCTTGGTCTCAGACTTGCTCACAACATCAGTGTAGGCAGCAGAAGTTCCGGCTGCCGTCTGTTGAGTGGTAGAAACGGGATACTGAATGACAGAGCTTGAAGGAGCATGAGGTCTGCAAGGACCAGCTTGAGCTCCAATAGCAAAACCAGCCACGAGGGCGGTGATGAAAGTGTTGACTGAAGGCATTGTAAGAGAAGAAATGTAATGAATACCTAGTATAGGAGAATAGAATATAATAGAATGGAAGAATGAATGAATGAATGAGTGAGTGGGAGTGAGTCTTGTCGCAGTAAAAGAGTGAACCGCAAGCTCTCTATATAGTAACAACAAAGGTAACTGACAAACAATGAATTACACCAGAAAGGAAGTGACCTCACCCTTTTTAGAATACAGGCTCCTTTATAAGGGAACCGACCAACCCTCAAAATTGAATATCAGGGCCCATTTAGGTACCAATTCAGGTTGGTCGGTCCCTTGGCGAAAGAGATGATGTCCCCATTTGGACCTCAACTACGAGAAGCACTTACATCAGGGCACGGTCAAAGCAGGAAGTATGAGTGGGGGGCGCAGGTCCCCGAGCGCTAAGTAGTGAAGGGGAGTGACCAATTATTGGTTTGGAGGGGGGAGGAGACGCCAATTAAGGGCGGTTCGTTTAGAGGAAGCATCGTAAGTTTTTGGCCGAGGTCTCCGGAAATAATGGTCCTTGTTGCATCGGCATCAACAAGGGTTCTTTTGTTGCTTTTGCTTTAGGTAAGTTTACGGTCAAGCTGAAGCTGAGATGGAGTTGAAGATGGAGTTGATGGCTCGGCAAGAAGCGATACACGTGATGTAGATCATCTGAAGATCGTAGATTTACCCGTGCAAGGCAATCAATCAAATACTACGTAACGACAGGGTTGAGCCAAGTTGAATGATACCTTATAAAAGGCAATAGCCATAAAATTCTTTGGTCTTTGTCAAGTCACAACGTGATAGCCGCACTAAGTCAACAGACCAGTTCTCTCGTCTTTGATCGACCCCTTGACGTTGGCTGGTCTTTGTGATGCCCTGAAAACAGGTCAGTCCTTTCCCACCTGGGTAAAAGGGAAGAAGAGTGACAAAACTTAAGAACGACATTCAGAAACCATACAAAAATTAAATAGATCCTCAATAAAGCCTGACCTATTTGGCCTATTTGGGATAATTCTTAAGATGTTTCAGATAGCAAGGTCACTCGAATCCATTCCGCCCTGTACTTGCTCCATGAGTTGGCGGTCAAAGTCCTCCTACTCATTGGATCCCTGTAACCCCCTCTTCATTGCCCATTGAATGGTTCCTATCTTGGCCCTCTCAACAGTCATTAAGTTATCTTTGTTCTCATCGTACATGTTACCTATAGTAGATACAATGCGCCATACAGAAAGTCAAGACACCCAGAGCCAACAACACGTACCTAAACTTGCCAACTTGTCTCCAGAGTTACTACGTCAAATCTTTGGCTACTTCTGCTTACACTGTCGCGGCAAACAAGAATATCTGACCGATAACACCGAACAACTCGCCAGCAACTACTGCCAGGATCGTCAGGTACTGGTGTCGCTGTGTCTCGTCTCAAGACGTTTTCGCGACATCAGCCAGGATATTCTTCATCATGTATTTCTTTGGTCCATACAGAAGTCTTTGGTCGAGAAATCATTGCCCCTCTTCATAAGGACCATCGCTTCACAGCAGCATCTCGCCTCATCTACCAAGGCTGCCATCTTCTATTGCTCACAAGTGGCTCCACCAATTGACTTTGACCATGCCCACGAGTCCTTCGAACAAGTAGCAAAAGTGAGAGGATTGAAACTTTCGGATGTATGGGACCAAAGAAAGGATACATCACCTTATCGAGAGGCATTCCTTCGAGGGCTCATCCTCGGCAAAGCACAGTCTCCTGACGCGACAGAGAATATAGGATCGCATGCGAGCACTCTACCAGCTGAGCTGCTATTTATTCTGCTTGCCTTGTTGCCCAAATGCTCACATTTGGCTCTTGATATTTCAGCTCATCAGATATATGACCAAATGCAGGCATTGAAGGTCCTTGGGGTATCCAGTCTTCCCTTCAGAAGCCTCGAGCTTCGTGGGGCCTTTGATTTGAAATGGCTTTCATCACAACTTATACCTATTTCGCCAGGTCTCGAAGCTCTGACTCTATACAAGTCACTACCACTGCCTGAAATATCGAGCTTGAAGGCACTTCACCTCAGAGGTTTCAGGTTGAGTCCCGACCAGCTCGCGAAGATCCTCCCCTCGTGTACCGGGAGTCTGAAGGCGTTCACATATGAAGCCACAGGTGTTACTTCCTTGCACATTGACCAGCTTTATAACTGGCAAGTCCAGGCAAGCGATGTTGTCAGACACCTCGAAAAGCACCGCAAAAGTCTAGAGTCGCTTCATCTTGACCTTCGCATCCGGGCTTTTATGAGTCGAGATACCAAGATAGACCCAATGCCCCACCTGGAGACCTTCACAGCCTTACAAGAGCTATTCCTCAACAGCGATGCAGTGTACAGCACTCAAAGTTTGGAGATCCCTGACGAGAAGTCCCTCACAAGTTTTCTTCCGCCCAGCATCACGTCTCTCACTCTTGTGGAGCCAGATTTCCCTCCACCCCCCGAACGTCTACAGAAGGGGTTGTCAGGACTTGCGAATCTCAGAAGAGAGCAGAGTCGATTCCCCAGGCTGAAACGAGTGACGTGCGACGTCAAGAAGATATTCGACGAAAGTCATACCAAAGATTTACTCTCACAAGTTGGTATTGGGCTTGGATACAAAGAGTTTCCAAGATCCGACTGGGCTTATAATCGGGAACGTTTAGTCGCTTCGCCGTTCATCAGTAGCCTATCCATAGATGATGAAGACCTCCCTACCGCTTGGCTGTGAAGATGATTGAGATACATATAGCAAAGCTCGGGACTAAGAAAGAAGCAACACTGCATGCCGAGGCTCTGTTTAATAGTTGTAGTCTAAGATCTCGGAATTATAGAACTCTATCTTAAGTTCTTAGCTTCCTACTATGGTAGCTTGTGGCCTACTTCCAGAATAGGTAGTTGGAGCCAAGAACCTCGACAAGCGCTGAGGTCAGATCAGACCCAGCTTCAGCCCTCGGCTAATTCATTCATTCTCGTAGAATTGTGAATCAAGAGAGCATGAAATTGGTTAAATTTTATGGAAAATTGATACACGAAGATGTGAGATTAACAGCATCTTCAAACCCAGAATTTGTCCCAGTCGTCATAGGAGAGAATCTTGCTTTGATTGACACGGACCCCTGAACTACCCAGGAATGTCTTTCTGAAACGTGCCTCTAAAATTAGGTACCGTCCCCACAACTTACGAGGAGACTATCCTCAGGGGTTAACTTCAGCCCTGAGCAAGTGGCTGGGGGTCCCGAATCCACTAACAACCAAGAGTTGTCCAGTGAGAGGCCTCTGAAACGGCCACAAATGCTGATTGCGTCTCTGGTTGTGGCTGTGAAGTTCCTCTCAACAGCCCGTAGCAATAGCAACAGAACTTCAGATTGGCGATGACAGGGGAAAATAAAATATCAGCCAGAGTTAGAATGCGTAACTCTTTCATGCTGAATCTCTTTTAGAGTTCTCAACTCCCTTTATACGGTTAATCAGTGAATTAATGCAACTTTGATAACGTAGTATCAACGGCTTTGAAGCAACACAAAGACGCTCGTGTTCAACGTTGCCTGTTCCATCGTTCCTTCTTCCTGGTTCATCTTGGTGGATTCGCTAAGCTCGGTTCGGTTGTTGATGATTGATGGAAGGAAAGAAAGACATGATCCACCTCCTGCCATTTCGACCATTGCTGGGCTATCATAAATTACTTCTACTTTATTAGTAGACAAAGAAGCTAGACTAGATCTTTCCAACTTCTTTCTTTATGATATATCATCACCACAAGTAACAAATCTTTTGATGTGATATTATGACGCAAAAGGAGTGATTCTACATCCAAAGTCCCCTGTTAATTAGCCCAAAAACGTCCCCCCCTCCACGTCGCCAGTCAGACAGCGGATGCCAACCAAGCGCCAGCGCCAGCCTCCTTCAAGCTAACAAACCATCATCTCGTCCCAATTCTCCCACACGGACGGACCCCAGTTCGCAAGCTTCCGATCCAGTCAACACGCACGCCCGATCTTTTCCCCCATTCAGCCTTGTCCTGCCCAGACAGTGTCAGCCCAAGGGGAGAAAGTTTGACGAACCAAGAAACAGAGTTCTGTACAGCTGTCTCTACTTGCAACTCCGTACTCCGTAGGTGTCTTGTCGCTCCCGATTCGATCCCTGGAATTCGCACAACAATAAATCAACTGCTTTACTCCCCCTGCATCGGCAGTAGCCGTCTCACCGAACTAGTCTACGCAAGACAGAGACACGCAGCAGATACGACGACAGATTATCAACCTGCACAACGCAAACGGCGACACCCTTTCGCCCAATTCCCCCCTTAATTCACGACGATCGCGACGACTTCCTGCGTACGTCTACGCCTACGTCACCCATTGCATCGCGAGTCGACCTCCGACAATCCTTCCACCGCTACAGGAGCTTTTGGCTCTTACTTCCCCTCCGATAGAATCGAAAAAAGGGACCACATAATCACCGCATCAATCGAAGGGGCTGGACAAGGCAGACCATCATGCCGGGGTTCGCTGATTCCTTCTGGTCGAGCGATTACGCTGCGGGACTTGGTGTCCTGTTCAGCAAGCTTCAACAAGGTGTTCATGAGAACAGACAGGTTCTGACCATCGCACGCCTACGCGCCGAAGCCGAGGAGACCTATGGTCAGCGACTTGGCGATATTGCTCCATCGGCCGACAAGATCACTGGTGGCTTCAGCCGTGATGACGGAGCTACTGTTCGTAAGGTACGATACTATGCTTCTGAATCCTCTCCTAAGTGCCCATAGTCTGTGCCGCAGTCACTTGTGGGGATTTACTATGCGATAACGTCACTGTCCGGGTCGAGCTTACCAACTGACAAAATCTAGGCCTTCGATGGCATGCGAAATGAGATGCAAGATGCTGCGCGCAACCACCGTCGCATCGCCCAGAGCATCCGCGACCTCGTTGTCAACCCCTTCTCCCGCTGGTGCGACGCCCACGAAGCTCGTATCCAGGACTCTCAAGATGAGCTGCAAGTGCGCATCAAGGCTCATGACCGTCAGGCTGAGGCAGTCAAGAAGCTCCGATCCGTGTATTTCAACAAATGCCGACTGGTAGAGGACCTCGAAGAGGAAAATAAGCTTGCTTTCCAGGATCCTGAAACCAGCCCCAAAGGCAATCAGAATATTCCTGAGATTAAGGTTCAGCCTCATAAGGAAGAGGAGCCCGAGGAGGAAGAGCTATATGAAATTGGCGACGACACTTACCAGCCCGAGCAAGTGAAGAAGATTCTTTCCCAGATGCTTTCCAGCATCAAGATGGGCGAGACCAAGGTGCCAATCCTAGGAACATATCTCAACACTTCCTCCGGTTCCGACATCGTTGAATATTTGCAGCGTAGCATGGGCAACATCGGCGTAGCTTATGCTGAGCGAATTGGTCAAGATCTTGTTAACAACGGTTTCCTTCGCCTCATCGGTAATGTGGGAAGTACATTTGCCAACAGCTCCAAGATGTTCTACCAATGGCGACCTAAGGCTTTCCAAATGGCTGGTGTTCCTGAAAAGAAGTCTATCAACCGCACTTTCTCACTGGCTTCTACGGGTTCTGAGGGCGCTGATTCTCCAGTTGGAACTGTCAGCGAGTATCTTGCCAACTGGAATGTTCTTAACAACTCTCACCCTAACGAGACCCCTAGCCAGCGTCTGAAGCGAGAGGCTTCCGAGGCCGATGAGAAGTACCGCGAGGGCGTCCGCAAGCTTGACCAGCTTCGATGCGAGCTTGAGGAGGCTATTCATCTTCATCTCAAGTTCCTTGAGCGCTGCGAGCTTGACCGTCTAAAGGCTGTCAAGACTGTCATCCTCGACTTCTCGGGCACCATTGGAAACGTCATCCCAAGCCTGCAGTCTACTGTAGACCAGATGATGCTCTTCCAGGAGACCATCCAGCCCCAGAGCGATCTACGTTATCTTCTCGAGACCTATCGCACTGGAAGTTTCGTGCCCAAGGTGGTCGTCTATGAGAACTATTACAATAAGGTCGACGAGCAGACATTTGGTATCGATCTTGAGGCGCGTGCCAGGGCTGACAAGAAGCGCGTGCCCATGATTGTTACCACTATCTTGACCTATTTAGACCACCATTACCCTGATCTTGAAGGTGATGAGGCTCGGCGAGGTGTGTGGTTGCTGGAAGTTCCGCTATCACAATCACACCGTCTACGCGCCAAAGTTAATGACGGCAAGCCTGTTTCTCCTGATGTGTTTGATGAATTTGATATCCCCACGGTTGCCAGTTTGCTCAAGGTCTATCTCTTGGAGCTTCCTGGTAAGTGCAAAAGCTCGATGAACCCCAGTTCTATAACGTAAACTAACATCATGTAGATTCTCTGGTCTCCTCTCACGTTTATGAGATTATCCGAACTATTTACTCTACCCCATCTACTGACGCTGATGAGTCCTCTCGCATTGCTGCTCTCCAATCTACTCTATCACAGCTCCGCCTCACCAATATTGCCACTCTCGATGCTTGTATGAACCACTTCACTCGCCTGATCGACTTGACTTCTGCCGATGAAGCTTATGTTGCATCTCTTGCTACCACTCTTGCACCTTGCATCCTGCGGCCACGAACTGAGACCTCACTCACTATGGAAGAGAAGCATGCGTACCGACTGGTCCGAGATCTGTTTGCCCATAAAGACGCCATCTTTAGTGCCCTGAAGCGCATGTCTATGGTTACACACTCCACCTCTGTTGGCAGCAACAACCGCCCTCGAGCCATTAGCACCGACGAAAGCAACCGTAAGGCCCTTATGGAAGAGCGGAATAGAGCTCTGCTTGAAAAGGCCAACGCAAGCCGCGGCCGTGATAAGAGCCCTGCGCCAGGCCCCCGTGGTCACCGCCGAGACCGAAGTACCGGCGGACCAGAGACCCGATTCCCTATTGCCAGCCCAACATCGGCTGTTGATCGACACCGCACCAGTCTCGGCGGAGTTATCAAGAGACAGAGTCTTGAAGTTCCCGAGCCCGATGGTGCTGCCCCTGTAAATGGCGATGCTGAAAAGGATAAGTCTGACGCCGATTCGGAGAAGCGAGACAGCCGTGATAGCACAGGACGTACACCAACCAAGTTCGTTGGTGGCAAACGAGTTCCTGTGGTGCCATCGACTCCCCCTTCAGAATCCAACCGCGGCGTGCAACTTGAAGATGCTCCGATGGAGGATTAGTTTTACGACACGGAGCCAAGTTTTAGACAGCGGTTGGAGGCGGAGTTTCGGTTCTGAACCATGACAGACCCAAATAGAGCCACGCCTTCATCTTGATCTTGAACGGAGTTGGGATTTGGTTAACAGCGGGACTGCAGGAATAGAGGGGAGCGGCTCGGGTTGACTCGGCCGTCTAATCTACCTTGTCATGTGTATGTGTTAATGGAACATGAGCAAAAAAGAACTATCGGTGTACTTTTTTTCTTGTCGTTTTTCTCGATCTGGACGTGGAACTGGAACTGGAACTGGGTCCAGTCTATTTTTGTATTTATGCTGTATCAACATCATGATACGGCAGCGATTCCCTATTCGTTAAGAGACTTGTTTCAGGACATTGATCCAGCTCGGGCTTGATGATATTCTTGAGACGCTGTAAATATTGAGCGAAAAGCGGCCTAGCACATGAAAGGCAGGACATGAGAAATGATTCAAAGATTTTTGATACTTATTATTATCTGCTTGATCCTCCTCCTGACTGAGTGTCTCTGTTATGCTATCGAATGCTCACTCACTCCTAAACCACTTGTGTCCGTCTACTCGTCTTGAATCTCAGCAACACGCTTCTTCTTCTTTTTCTTCTTAGCAACAGCCACTTCACCACCAGAAGCAGGAGACTCGACGCCACGAGTACTGCTATCATCACCGCCTTCTTCCTCCAGGACCGCAGCCCGCGGAGCCTTCTTCTTCTTTTTCTTGGGCTTTGCTTCTTCGCCCTCTGCTCCCTCGGCACCAGCATCCTTCTTGGGCTTCTTCTTTTTCTTCTTGACAACTGTGCCCTCAACATCAACGCCTTGTGCCACCTGAATGCGCTCATTCGCACGTTGCATCTCGAGGCGAAGACGCTCAACTTCTTTCATGGCTTGCTGCATCTCAATGTCCTCACGCTGTTGCTGCTCATAGTCGAAACCAGTTGACGGTTGGCCTTCGAGACTGAAGGAGCCGATGCCGCTCGAGTCTACGCCAAGCAAGCCCTGCTTGGTCTTGGTCTTCCGAGCCTTGGACTTTGTGAAGCTGTCAGAGTTATTCTCCGAGTCATAAGATCGAAGACCGCCACTTGCGCTGCCTTCGAGGGTCTCATCTGCGGCAATAACGACTTTTTGTCGTGGCTTTGGCTGTGGTCTTGGGGGCTGTGCAGCAGGCGTTCCGGCTCTTGATAGCTCTAGTTGCATGATAGGTATGGAGTCGATATCCAAGTCGGGTCCGTTGCTGCTCTGGAGAATGTTGTGAATAGGGGTCGAAGTGCGAGGAGTGTCGTTGCTGGGAATATAAAAGGGATCATCTTTGTTGCGTTCGAGACGCTCGGCTTTTCTTCGAGCAACAATATCAGCGTCCAGATAGGTATCTTCGTCAGCTTGCTGATAAGAAGTTGAGTATTCCTCTATAGGTTCAGCTATCCTGCTGATGGCTGGTGCGGATGAATCAATGCTTGTAGGTGGTGGCTTCTGGTGGTAATATGTCTCAAACTCATCCGAGTCGTCTGTTGCTAATGTGATAGAGTCGGCTTCTGATAGTAATTTGGCCAGGTTTGCATGAATGGGTTCATCCAAGTCCAGGCCCACGGGTACTGGGACGTTCAGCTGAGCACCCTTGGATACCGAGTTGAGTTCCCAGCCGTTGAAAAGCGAGGGGATAGCCTGAGTGAGAAGCAACGGGGGATCTTGCTCAACATCGTCTGTCGACGCCGGTTGAGATGAAGCAGCTTCAGCCGTGAGCTTCAGCAACTCCGTGAACTCAACGGCTCGTTCCTGGACCTCAAGACTAGGGTGTAGTGCTAGAGGCTCAAAGACGTGGATAATGCGCGCCATAAGTAGCGATACCCTCGACTTTCTCTCTGCTGTCCAGGGTTCACTCTCATCCCCAACTATAGTGGCGAAAACTTTTGTGACTGCTTGTAGGGTCGTCGTTAAAACTTCAGGGTTGTTTGTTCGGGGAATGAGCTGTAAGAGGCCATTCAAACCCTCATCTGGAACGGCCAATTGCGAAGCGTATTCGCCCATGATCCATGCAACTGACTTGAGTGCCCCTGAAGTGATTTTGTATCCTGGCGGTGTATCTGTATTGAGCTGGCTGAGAATGATCTCCGCTGCCCTGACAGCCGTTGATCGCATCACCCGGACCTTGACAGCCACATTGCGGAGCTCGTCACCAATCTTTTCTGACACATTGGCCCTGGCCTTTTCAACTGGACCCAGATCATCATCGACCTTGCGAGAGGCGGGAGCCATGCGAACAAGCTGTGTGAGGACATCAATGTACCAGTCAAAGTCCAAGACACTCGAGTAGTTGTCCTTGGAGCACATTCCCAAAATCCTTCCAATGACGTCGATTCGATAGTCGTCGGGCAAAGGAGCGGATTCGGCCTTTGGCTTCGGGGCTGGCTCAGCAAATTCATCCTCAGATTCGTTGGGATCATTCGGAGGAGTTCCAGGAAGAGATTTGTCGCGAGCCGGCATGGATGACTTGAGCTGCTTCATGAGGCGGCTCACGATAGACACAAGATTGTCGCCCGTCACCATGCCCTGGACCAAGTCGAGTGCTTGTATTCGGATAGTGATATCGGGGCTGTCGATACATTCCAGAATCACATCCTCCTGCTGAGATACTAAGTAAGGGTGTGTGGTAACGATCTTGTTGAACGCTAGTAAGGCAACATATTTGACTAAGGTCTGGTCAGTTTACATCCGTGACAAAGCAACAGTTGAGAACTTGCGGTTAGGATCGCCATCTATCATGACCATGCCTCGCAATTTGTTAACACATAGCGTTGCGATCTCATCAGTACCAGAGTCATCAGAGTTTCCTAAGATGCCGCCTTGAATGATTCCGTTGATGCACTCATAGAGCAATGACATAGCAGGAGTGGTCCTAATGATATTGGTCAGAGGAGGTAGCAGCTTTCTCACGAGTCGAGGTTCCAGCGGTGTCAACGTGGCAAACTGAACAGAGATTAATACAACAGCACCAGAGCTTAAGTGCCGATAGCTTACGAGTTTGATGAGTTTGATGGCCATCCAGTTATTACCACCATCAACCAAGAGCTCGAACAATCGAGGAGCTAAAGGAAGAAAGTCATTCGGTCTTCGCCAGCCAAGCTCGCAGACCACATTGACAATGGCTGCTGTTACACTGGGATCCTCATCAGGGTCCATGAGGCGCTCCTTGATCTTGGGCCATGCTGCACGAAGAGCCTCGGGGTATACCAAAGCAAGTCGATATAGCGTTACCAATGTCTTCTTTCGAATGTTCGAATGGCTGTGGCTTAATCGCGGTAGCAAGTCCTGCAATGTCGAGAGCGCTAACGAGGGGGTGATGACATGGGGAAGAGTGGCTATAGGGAGAGATATAACCGTCGGAGTCGTCGAACCAAGATCCTGATCATGATGTTAGCTAGAGGCATCAAGAAGCCCAGTATGTGACCAACAGACCTTCTTCAGCAGATTAGTAGCCAGCATCAGAACCTCAGTGTCGGGTCTAAAGCTCTGGACAGCTCCTAAATATCCAACTCGCTTCTGGTGGTACTTGGGCGACGACATGACCTCAAGGACATGGAACGATGCCCACGACATATCATGTCCGACCATCTCCAGGTAAATGAGCTTCAGCAGCGCCGTCGCCTTAAGATCTAAACAGCTCAAGTCAGGCCCTCTGTACAGCTAGCTTCTCCCAAACACAACGTCGAACTAACCCATATCCTGGCTGCGAACTTCGGCGCGGCACTCCTTGAGGCTCTTCTGGATATACTCCTTCTCATTGCCCTTGTGGTTCCGTAGCCCCCGGATGAGGTCGTAGAGCGACTTTTCAAACCTGCGCGCACACTGTCAATGTCTCTCCCAGAGGTCGATTCGGTGTTGATGCCCTGGCCTACATGGTGAGAAGCTGCCCCGCGGGCGTGGGGCCGGCCGTTGGAGGAGATGCTTATTTAGGTGGTAGGACGTGGTCTCAGGGGCTTCGTGAAGGTATGTTCGACCGGCGCATCTCGTATAATATCGTGAGGAGGAGGATGTTTCGTTCAGCAGCGGATGGAGATGTCGCGTGCTGGTGAGAGTGGATGGGATGGATGGTTGGTTGGTTGGTGTTGAGTAAGGTATAGGTGCACTAACTTAACGAGCACTGTAGGTACTGTACGTACAGCATCTGCGGCTTTACTTTACTGAGCATGACGGAATCATCCACCGCCCTTGGCTCGGCGAGCAGGACGGCCCGAGCTGGAGAGTGTCTACAGCGGTCAAATCCCCTAACGTTACGAGTTTAGCGGATTACACTGCACCAAGCCAGAGGTGGGGGCGGGCGGAAAGCCTCCACTCCAACTTATTCTCGACTCAGTTTAGCAGAGCCTCAACACCATCATAGATTTTCTGTCACAGCTATTTATTCTCTCTGTGTAGACATTCATTATTCTCTTCTAGACCATGAAACTCTCACGAAGGTGACACTAGATCAATACAACCCCAATAATTCTCTTAATACCCTCCAATGGCCCTCCGTTTTCTCCCTGCCAGAGCCGTTGTCGCCCGCTCATCGGCTTCTACATCGAGCATCACCAACCTCACTCGTGCCTCAACACCCCTGCACCGCTCATTCATCACCCTCCCATCCTCCGAACCTCAAAGATTAACCGCCAACCGCACTCTACCATACCCCCATGAACCTCTTTACGATCTTATAGCCGACGTGGATTCTTACTCATCGTTCGTCCCTTATTGCTCTCGCTCTCGAGTAACTCGCTGGTCCGATCCCGACCCCGATACCGGGCGACGCTACCCCACACTCGCTGATCTACATGTCGGATGGGGAGGCTTCGACGAGGTCTTTACAAGTAGATTGCGCTGTGTTCCTGGCCAATCTGTCGAAGCCATCAGTGGGGAGACTGCTCCTGGGGGTACAGGGCCTGACGCATCGGCTGTCTTCCGGAGCCTTGTGACACGCTGGTCGGTGAGACCAATTTCTGGTCCACCTTCACCGCGCACTGAGGTCTATCTATCTATCGACTTTCAGTTTACAAACCCACTCTATGGTGCTGTAAGTGCTGCTGTGTCAGATAAGGTCGCCAGCATGATGATAGAAGCCTTTGAGAAGAAGGCCTTTGAGAAGCTAGGACCTTAACGGAAACTCTAATATTGCATACATTAAGTATTATTTGGGTACCTCCCCCCTTTCCAATCCAATTCACATACCTTGATGGAGTCTTGAAGTAGTCTAGATTACTTGCATAGAGTCAGGTGGGCATACCACTATTCACTTAAACGCATGACACAATAGAAGGGACCAAACCCAACTCACTCACGTTGATCAAAAATAAGCTTAACTTTAAACAAATCATTCTTCTTCCTACTCCATTCATTCTACATGACGCGTGTCTAGGACGGCCGTGTCTATCAAACGTGCTCGTCCGCCATATCCAGATCAGAACCAAAATCAAACCAAACGGACAGATAAAAAAAAGAAAGGAAAAAAAAAAATAGAGCGTCATCTTTGCGCCAATACCTGGACTTGGCCATCTTCTGGCACAAACAGAGCCAAGATGATCGATACAAGTCTTCAACATTGGATCGTGTTCCCATTCCCTCCGTATCGTCGTTTCAACCATATCATCATACTCCGATCCACATGCATATAGGACAATTCGTGACGCCTCTGCGATATGAATACGCTAACCATGAGTTGGGAAAGGATCAAAATTCCACTGTCTCGTTTTTCCATCTTAGACAACAGTAGAAAACCCCAAAAGAAACTGCCAAGGAGATGTTTTCGAAATCAGGCCGGCAGCCGATGCCGGCGAGGTATCTGCAAATAAACAAGTAAAACCGTAAAATCAAATCAAGCTCAAACGATCATTTTCTCATGCTGACATGTCAGTATGGCACCTCATTTCTTGCTAGGCCTGGACGATCGTTAGCTTGTTGTCTCAGTAGTTAGGAGGACTCGAGAGCTCACTTCTTCTTTTGAGGTTTGCCAAACAAAAAGCCTGCCATTCCTGAGTGATCCTTGGATGCCTTCTTGTGCTTGCTGGACTTGCCAGGGGCGGGGCCGACGGTGACAACGTTGGGCGGCATTGGCATATCAGGTCGAACACCTCCTCCGACAGGCCATCCCGCGGGCGGTCGAATTCCTCCAGGGGCCATACCGCCAGGAGGATGCATAGGAGGTCGCATACTTGGGCCCATGGGACGGGGTGGAATAGGAATAGGACCCCCGTGCTTGTGTCCATGCATGCCCGGCGCGCCAGGCATCTTGGGGTGTCCCAGTGGAGGCATCTTGTCCATTGGCCACATCGTCATGGTGATAGCCCAATCAGGCTGAACCACCTTCTCCCAAACGGATGGCAGGATGATCTCGCCGTCGGGGCCGATAAGATCATAGTGACCTTCCATCACATGAGGACCCAAAACATCAACTTGCATGAAAGCTTGCTTGATGAGATCTTCCATTCCCTGCAATATCGTTAGCCATTGCTCGTCGCCCGTCATGAACTGAAGTACATACCTGCCAAGTGGCACACAAGTGGAAAGGGAAGCTGAACTTTCGACCAACCGCATCCTTGAATCGGATTGGGGCCTGCTCAGCCTTCTTCTTAGACTCTTCGAGCTTGACCTTTGTCTCCTCTTCAATTTTCGCCTTAAGTTCTGCGGCGGCTTTCTTAGCGGCTTCATCAGCTGCGGCAGCTTCTGCTGCCTTCTTTTTTTCCTCCTCGATTTTCTTAAGAGTCTCAGCCTCTGCCTTCGCGCGAGTTTCCTCTTCGAGCTTCTTGAGCTTTTCGGCTTCCTCGGCCGCTTTCTTTGCGGCAGCTTCCTTAGCCTCTTGCTCAAGTCTCATGAGGCGCTCGGCTTCCTCCTGGGCCTTCTTCGCGGCTGCGGCCTTTGCATCAGCCTCCTCTTGTAGTGCTTTCTCAAACCGAACTCGAGCAAGTTCTTCAGCACGCTTTCGCTCTTCCTCCTCTTTCTGCCTCTTCTCCTCAGCAGCCCTTAGTTCAGCCTCAAATTTCAGTCGAGCTTCTCTTTCGGCCCTGACCCTCTCTTCAGCTTCTCTCTTACCACGCTCCTCCGCTGCCCTCAATTCAGCCTCGAGCTTCAGACGAGCCTCTTCTTCGGCCTTGGCCTTGGCTTCGGCCTCTGCTTTGCGCTGTTCGGCGGCTGCCTTCATCTCTGCTTCATACTTTTCTCGGGCCTCCCTTTCTGCTTGTGCGCGCGCTGCAGCCTCAGCCTTCCGTTGTTCTTCAGCTGCCTTCGCTGCAGCCTCGAACTTCTTTCTGGCTTCTTCTTCAGCTTGGATGCGAGCCTCTGCCTCGGCCTTTCTTCGGTCCTCAGCGGCCTTCATCTCTGCTTCAAATCTGAGCCGAGCCTTCTCCTCGGCTTCTGCCATAGCACGAGCGTGCTCCTGAGCGCGTTTCTCTTCAGCCTTTCGTTCGGCTTCCATTCTCTCTCGGGCAGCTTTTTCTGCCTCAAGCCTGGCCCTTTCGATCTCTTTCTTGGCTTCCTCTTGGGCCAGTCTCATGTCCTCCATTCTTCGAGTGAAGGCTTCCTCGGCTTCTTTTCGGATTTGTGCCTCAGCTTCTTTTTGCTTTTCGGCAGCCTTGACCTTCTCCTCCATAGCTTTAAACGCAGCAATCTCAGCTTCCAATCGAATCTTCTCCGGATCTTCTTTGGGGGGAGCGGGTGTGGCTGGCTTGGCAGGAGCCTCAGTAGGCGGAGGAGGTGGTGGTGTAGTGAGTTGCCCAGGTGGTATTCCAGCCATGTGGGGTGGCCCGTAGAGAGGATGAGGCTGTACAGCGCCATAGTAACCACTTGGAGGTTGTTGATAAGGCATCAGATCATACATGCCTCTTCCTTCGCCTCCATAGCCAGCACCGTAAGGGCTGGCAGGTTCGCCATAGCCGAAAGGCACCATCTGGCTGTTAGCAGGGTATCCCATATAGGGTCCCATTTGGTTTTGATATCCTGGCTGCTGGCCTCTGCCGTACATTTGACCGGGGCCAGGGCGCCCGCCGGGCTGGGGGTGCCCATAAGCGCCACGGCCATAGGCGCCATACCCACGAGGATCTTCCAGATTGGCGGTGGGTGGCGCTGCACGATCGCGCCGCGGTCGACGGTAAGACTGTCTAGGCTCCTCTTCAGGTTGGTAAAGATCCTGGGGAGGACCTTGTTGACGGGATTGCAATTGATGAGGTGGCGGTTGGCGAGGAGGTAATTGCTGGTGATGAGCAAGCTGCTGGTGGTGTGGTGGTGGATATTGAGGTTGAGGCGGAAGCTGGTGAAGAGGGAGCTGATGCTGACGCTGAGAGAGGTGATGACGATAATGTTGATCGTGGTCGCTAGTTGAGGCAGAGTCAGACGGGCCAAGACCGTCGTCTTCGTCGTCGTATTCGTCGTCGTAAAGGTCCTCTTCAGAGTCGGTGTAGTCCTGGCCGGTCTCCTGCGAAGAATCGTCGCTGTAAGATGCTGTCCCAGAGGCGGACGTCTCAGTAGGACGAGTGCCGGAGGTAGGGGCTCTGGAAGAAGGGCGTTGTTTGAGCCTGGTAAGATGAGAGTGTGAGCTGTATGATCAAGAGAGTAATGCGCAATAGATGAAGCGCAAGTGTAGGAGAGACAAGTAAACAAAGCTAGAGGGGGCGCAGTTGAGACAACTAGTACGGTGGATATGAGAGAGACAAGAAGGGGAGGGAGGGGAGGAACGCAAGCGCTGAAAGATATGGGTAGGATGGTAATGGAGGGAGGGGACTCACATAGCAAATACTTGGTGGGATGCCCTCTACCCACGACAATCCACAGGAGAAAGCCGGAGTAAAGGCGCTGAATGTAGGTTGGAAAGGAAGAAGATAGGCAACAAGCACAAGTAATGCTCAGCTGACAGGGTAGAAACAATGCCTAGCAACCCCCAAAGTAACAGAGCCAACGATGGGGGAAACGGAGGACGAGGTGGTAGCCGCAGTAGAAGAAAAAAAAACACAACGGCAAGTGTTTTGGTACGAGGGTCGTGGCGAGGAAGAATTGGACTTGCGCGACAGGCGTAGAGTGAGGGGTCGTAAAATTAAGTGAGTACGCCACCAAAAGATGATGAGGGCGTGACAGCGGAAGGGAAAGGTCGGCTGGTCACGAAAGCAGTGAGACGGGGGAAATGCCTGCTTGTGAAGCTGGTGCGGAGTCGCAGAACAAGAAATGAACGATGGTGCCTTGTGGTTGCTGACCGAGGAGGGTACCAAAGTTGTATCTAGCAGAGTGCTTGCTTGCTGTACGGCGCACGTTAAGATCAGGCGCAAAAGAGTGTGGGCGGGGTGGATTCAGGCGGCGGTTGCGAGGATGGAAAAGCGGCAGAAATCGATCGGCGGTGAGGGGTTCCAGATCGTTTACTGATGGGCCACTGGTCGAATTCTGACCAATACAGTTGGGAGCGGCGTTAATAATGTCTGCAGAGGTCGAATTGATGTTTTGCCTGCAGAGAATTAGCTCTCTTGTTAACCAAAAGACAAATTGACAAACAACCGCTCCAGAGTGAATCAATGGAAACGACGAACGACCGTTGTATCGCAACGGCGAAAGCTTGTCGAACCAGAGCTGTGGGTGTGCGTGTAAGTAAAGTATACTTTAAAATTCGGGTGTGTCCGTACGGTCTAAATTTTTTGAAAACGGACAAACTTGGTGGTCACAGGATGCCAGTCCGAGCTTCGTGTGTTAGAGGAGATCAATGATTTCAACTAAGAAGACGACAATCAGTTAGTAAAGTTAGACACAAGGTAAAAAAAAATCATCTAGATAAAATCTTGAAGAGTGAATATCCCGGTTGGTCAGGATCTTAATCCCTTGCATGAGGACTGAGCAACATAGTGGCGCGGAAAAGTTTCCTGCGAACCCAGTCCCTCGACTCGAAACGGTGATCTGAACAAGACAATGGGTTGGATATTGCCTTGAGACTAGGAGAATAGCGTCGATTGAGCACCAGCACAACGCTCGATCACCAAAGTTTCCTGCATCGTGAAGCCATTCCAAGTGCTCACTGGGAGGACTTGCTGGGCACCAAAACATCGTTCTTGTCAGCCGCCCTGAACTGGGGCACCCTGGTTCGTCGCCCTGTCGATGGAGTCGGTGGGGACCCTGTTAGAGTATTCATGCTGCTAGCGCTCGTTGGGCTGGAGTTGGCGGGATGTTTAGGCGGTCCATCGATCTGAGTGGCCGTGCTTGAAGCCCTTGGAGTACTTGGCTCCCAAACTCCCGGTTTATCCCAGGCGTCCACTGCCATTTCCAGTCTGTCAAATGGCTCTCCCCTGTGCGCATCTACGTTTTGGGTCTTCGTAGGCTGGTGGTAGGGTGTCAAGGTCTGTGAAAGCAGCTGCCCAACCCTGTGTGGGGGCCGTAAAGAGCGAGCCTCAAAGCCTAATGGTCCTGCTGGTCATGGAAAGGACCTAGAGCTGTGGCAGGGAAGGGAGAGTGGCAGTGGTGATGTTACTGTAACGACAAAGTATTGTAGCATCGCCGTAGGAGGAGCAGACCGCAACGAGGTACGAGAAAGAGTGCCTGAGCAAGGTAGTCCAGATGGAGGTACTGCGGACTATGTGCGGCGGTGTTTCTTTGGTTCGCAGAGTGGGCATGGCCATGAATGAATGAGTGAATGTCATGCAGTTATTGACCTGCTTCCCGTTGATGCTAGCTAAAAGCTACCGCCGGGGCATATTTGCTTGCTCAGCTGTTTTGACATGACCAGTGATGGTCACATGGACCATCTTTTCTGGAGTTGAGCCCACCCCCAGAGACACATCCGAGACAAGAAAGGTGTCCATGCGGAGAAGAGAGAAAGAGAAGGAAGATGATGCTAGAGAGGGAATGGTAGACATTATTGGAGTCAACACATACCTTGTGACGGTATAGTTTGATGTCTGTTTGAAGATATTGACGAGACAAATTCGATAGCAACGGCAAGACAAGTCTAAACCAAAATCCTATCAACAAAAGCGTTGTTGTTTGATGGATTTTTTTTGTGTGAATCGGTAGTGGACGGTAACCAGCTTGTTTAGCGGGGACTTTGACGATGGAGGGGGTGGTGGGGTGAGATTAATGTATTTGTAGTAGCCCGAAGCGTGCAAGTGGAAGTGTAAGTGCAAGTCAAACAGTGACTTTCTGTTTAGAGCGTGAAGGAATCAAGATTCAGTTTCATTCGGTTAGATAGGGCATGGATGGACCCATGGAATGGATGGAATGAAAGACTTCTTTCAGTAAAAGAGATTTCGTTTCGAGTTGTACGCACAACAAATAAGAAGAGAGAGAAAAAAAAACAAGGAAAATGACAGCAAAAAAAAGAAAGAAAAAAAGGAGGCCTAGGGCCAGACTCTCTCTGACTCTGGCTCTGACTCTTTCTCTTCAGCTGGGCTGAAAAAGGATCCAGGGATACCATGGCGGTGCTGCAGCCCAACGTTACGCAGTCTCCAGTCAAAGATTGGATACACAAATTTTTTAGTTGCTGGGGAGGCAGACACAGAATTCCAGTGAATCGCTGCTTGAATCGCTGACCGCCAAAATGATATCGATGTCTCTTTTTTAGCGCCGAGGTCAACCGCTTGTTGTCGAACCCAACACTACTAACTTCAAAAGTGGACATCATCTGTGTTGTAGACGGGATATATCGCGTTTCAACCTGGAGATATACTGGAGTTTCTCATATCATCATGGAACAGGTAATTGAGCACATCTCAAACAGAGAGTTCCTGTCCGACAAAGGCTGCGCAACGTCATTGTCCAATGATATATCATATTCGACCGTTTGCGAAACGTGTAATCGGAACGGACCGAGGCGCAGTGTCGCTATCCGAACTAAAAATCACTGTATAATTGAAGTGGTGAAGTTCGCAATTGATTATTCGGTATCAGATAAAATTATAGGAGAAAAGAAGTAGAAAGAAACCTCAGGCATTGGCAAACTACGAGGCCCTTATATCCCTAATTCACTGTCATTTTTGAGTTCTGTTTTCCCCTTCTTCTTTCAGTCAACGAGAACAAAGCAAGCCTATCGCCTCGCAATGATCCTCTTCAACCCGCTACCCCATTCCGCGACTGGCTAAAAAGCACGATTTGCGCCCCATTTCCAGCGTTGAGGCCCGAAAGTAGGAACCCAAGGCCAGCTCATCCATCGTGAGACACCCACAACAACTCCGTGAACTGCAACAATAAACAACAGGGTTTCCATCATGGTTGTGATCAAAACTGCTGAGATTTGCATCCAGCTCAAAAGTCTTCAACGGTTGTGTAGAGATGTTGAATTGAACTTGCTCATCTGCCTCTCATATTCACACATACTCATCTCAACTTGATACCACCTAGCCAGGAATAGCAGACACCAAACATTAGCATTTCCACCTTCCCGCAGAGCCTCAGCCATCCAGGCGTAGCCAAGTGGACAGTGGCGAAGAAATTACAACCCATTTTCACCACGAATTGGCTTCCATCTGACACCTTTCAGCAGTCCATCCCCTGTCACTATGAACCCAGCGATGGAAACAGCCGGGTGAAGAATGTCGCTGAATAAGCCCATCAAGGAGGTATCAGCGGTTTAACTCAATACAAATCCCATATTACAAAGAATGGGTTGAGAACATGTCACCACGAGACCCAGACCCTGGGTGTAAGTTGAGTTAGTGATCAACCATCGTCCCGCTGGTGCCATGGCGGTTCGCTTACAAGTGATCCATAATCAGGGCCATCATTGGCAATCCATGGAGAATAAACGTGATGTTCCGCATTCAACGTGGAGAAAGTCAATCTCTCTGAGTTTCGAGTTTCAATGCCCATGGTGTCCTGATCACTGTGAGACCCAAAACATCGGGTATTCTAACCCTTAGACCAATCTTGGTGGTACTCAAAGATGCTTCCTGTGGTATTACAGAAGGGAACCGAAACTGATCCCTCTGTTGCTTGTTGTAAATTTCTGCCTAAGCCAGCAGTTGGTATTGGGTAGCTCCAGTTCTGTAAATTCAACACATCGCCCCTGTCAAACTTGATTATCACCCACCTCAGAGTCAGGTATACCCCACCGACCTGTCCCTGTATGGCGCCACGTGCAGATGCCCAGCAATGCCGAGTTGGGCATTGTTGCCTCCACTTCTAAGTTATCTGTCAAAGCCTCAGAGGACCGCTTTTGTCTGTCTTATGCTCTGCCTCTCCCATTCCACATTTTCTAGCCCAAGACCCGTCGGCCGTTGCAAGTGAACTAGTCAGGCACATTCACGCACCGGACTCCACGGGAAGAACTTCCTGTCAAAAATATGGTACGTGTCTCGACCACGCCTGTACTCGCTGTTCTGAGTCACAGCATCGCAATGCAGCAAGTTTGCCTTGTCATCGGGCGAGACTCTTATGTGCTGTATGCGTCGCTCACCGGACGACCTCTGCCGATGACTTGTCAAGAAGCTCGCGAGCCGCAGCAATCTCGTCTGCATTGTATCCTTGCCACAGGGGTTCCCGAGCCCCATATCGACGAACGATCTCCGCTAGCTTCGCTGTGGCTGCCTGGTTCAATTTTGTAAGAGTCTGCTGGTCTGGCAGAGAGAACTCATCACTCTCTGATTGCTTCTTGAGCTTGGCATATTCAGCCAGAATCTTATCAGTGACCTTCTTCAGGCCATAATAGCCCCGGAGATAGTCTTCGCAAAGCTCAATGCTTCGGCAAAATCGCTTTACCGAGCTCGCCAGGTACTTCTGAGGAGATCCATCACTTGTTTCGTTGGCTGCCATCAACGTCACCTCGCCTAGCCTTGCGTGCAACTATTCAGTAGTGTCAGATAGGGTCGTTCCTAAGAACCGAAAAGTAACGTACGTTCCACGCATTTGGTGCTAGCACAAGAACCTCTTCCATAGCGTAGATAGCTTGGGAGTACAGGCCTTGAGAAAGGTAGAGGTCCGATAGCTCAGACCAGGCCTCGGCATCTGTAGGGTTGAACTCGAGCAACCATACTAGAGCCGCGATTGCCTCCGTTGTCTTTCCCATGGATCGCAAAAGAGCCACTCGTCGCTTCGCAATATACTAATGTTTGTCAGTACGACGTGTTGATGGCCACAAGACGTCGTCATGCTCACAATGTTTGTTCCATCCTGCTGCAGAAGATCCTCGTATTCCTTCAGCACTTCCTGAAGCTCGCTGTTGTTTGTCGCCTCCGCCTCCTTGATCAATCCCTTGAGTGCCATGACGCGTTCGTTCTCATCGCCGAAACGCAATAACAACCTTTCCAGGCACAGATGAGCTGAATCGTCGTCGCCTGTTCGAAGACATGTGATAATGAGGTTTTCGTAGATCGTCCATAGCTCAGGTGTTTCGGCTGCCGAAAAGAGTGATACAAGAGGAGAAGCCGAGAAGGCCTTGGGGTTGCGCTTCAAGATGATGGGAGCTTGTTGCGCAAGGTGGAGAGCTTCAGCAGGTGATAGCTGGCCTTGTGGCCTGGTGAGAGAGGGGACCATATTGCTACAATGAGTTTGTGACAGTCGCTTCGGTGTAAGTATCGAATGTTCGGCAGAATAAAGGGTCTTATAGTGACAGATTCGGTGGGAGGGAAGGATGGCGTTTATCGTCTACCTCACAATGATACAGGTCAATTGAACACAGGAGGCTTGATGCTACGTGCACCATCGACCACAATTCGCATATGATTGGCTGCTTGTCAGAAGCTTTTGGGCTACGGGTTATCTAATAGTCCGATAGAAATCGTTAGGTCTTCTAATTGGATAAACTCCGCCCCACACTCAAATATTCCAAGACAAAATCAATCTCTCCACAGAAATTTTTCTTGAACCTCGAGCATCCTTCTTCCTCACTTCCGCAGTGTCAACTACTTGTGCCGTAAAAAGCACACTGCTTGCGCCTGCGAGTGCATGCTTCAAGGACATCACGAGTCCAAGATGGCGTCTTCAGCGCCAAGTGGCGAGGCCGTCGCGAGCCCGATACTCGAGTCGATTCCTGTCCAGGACATGGCCGCGTTGGACGTCAAGGATCCGGTCACCGAGGCCGTCACCGAAGCTGCCGTACCCGAGACTGAGGCTGCTGAGGTGCCGCCTCATCGATCGCATGACCCTACCAACAACTTGAAGCGGAGTGATCCCTTCCAGTTCGGTAGCCGGTATTTGAATGAAGGAGACGATGTCTTCGAGTTCAATGCCTGGGACCACGTTGAGACTGACGATGCGTACAAGGAGTATGCTGAGGAGCAGTACGCGAAGCAGCGTCAACATCCTGTCTCGGACTTTGAAAAGAGTAAGTCAACCACCCAAAACTCCACACAGCGTGCCTTTTCCTCCTGGTGTCCTGATGATACACAACCAATGCATAGTTCATCTGAATCTACTGAAGACAAACTATACCTTCTTATTCTTTCGCTCCCATCTGATTTACATCATATCCACACATTTCTTCTCACAATCCTAAACATTGAAGAGTTGCTAACATGACAACCCAGGAAAATTCAGTCAGGACCCTGCTAGATGGTGGAATTTGTTCTACAAGAACAATGCCGCCAACTTTTTCAAGAATCGCAAATGGCTCCAACAGGAATTCCCTGTTCTGGCCGAGGTAACCAAGGAAGATGCCGGTCCTAAGGTCATCTTGGAGATTGGTGCTGGAGCCGGTAATACGGCCTTCCCTGTCTTGGCCGAGAATAAGAACCCGCAACTGAAGATCCATGCCTGCGACTACTCAAAGACAGCCGTAGAGGTCATTCGCAAGAATGAAGCGTACAACCCTGAGTTTATCCAGGCTGACGTATGGGACGTCACCAGTGATGACTTGCCACCTGGACTCGAGGAAGGCTCCGTAGATGTAGCCGTGTTGATTTTCATCTTCTCTGCTTTGTCGCCTGATCAATGGGCCAAGGCTGTTCACAACGTCCACCGAGTACTCAAGCCGGGAGGCCTGGTCTGCTTCCGAGACTATGGAAGAGGAGATCTGGCCCAGGTCCGGTTCCGCAAGGGTCGATACCTGGACGAAAACTTTTACATCCGAGGCGACGGCACACGTGTTTATTTCTTTGACAGGGATCAGCTCGCCGATATCTGGACTGGCAAGATGACCAACGAGGATGTTAGGGCTACCCTAGAACCTGCCACTGCCGACTCGACAGCTGAGGCCGAGAATGGTACAGATGCTGCTCAAAACTCACACATAGAGGAGATCAAGACAAAGATACCCCTGTTCGAGGTGGAGAAGCTTGGTGTTGATCGACGATTGCTCGTCAACAGAGCCTCAAAACTCAAGATGTATAGATGCTGGCTACAAGGTCGCTTCAGAAAGAAATAGACTATAACATCTCAAGATGAACACATGATTCTTTCCTTATATGTGTGATGTGATGAGGCTCCTACACTATAATCCTGGTACTCTAGTAGAGTAAAAGATCACGTATCTTGGCTCTCTCGTCAGCACCAAACCCTATGCCGTCCAGGTAGGCATTTAGTCCACCATATTTGTCATCGAGGTGTTTTTGGATACCAACAATCATATCATCCGCAGTGTGAAGCCACTCGTCTGTCAATCCGATTTCACGAATCTCAATTAGACGCTGTTCACGTTCGGGAATAAGGGCCTCGTCACTGAGAGCATAGTCATACTCAATAGCCGAGACAGGAACATCGAGGATCATAAGCACCAGCGCGCAAATGAGACCTATTCAGGAGTCAGCTCCAACACGAGTCGAAATATGGGGTCTTATTACCTGTGCGGTCTTTGCCCTGAGTGCAGTGAACGATAGAAGGAAGAGCAGCCCGGTTGGCATAAAGTGACAGAGCCTCACGAATCTCCCGAGTGGATTGATCGATCGTATCAAGGCCTAAGCCTACAAGTCCGCGAGGAATCATGACCTGCTGCCCGAGGATATTGATCGCTTCAGTACGGTAGCCACAAACAAACAGGAACACCACACGGCTAAGGAGAAGTCAGTGACTAGTTTCGACACGGAGGTGTTCACTACTCACAAGAAGTCCCACCATGAGAGCTGACTTAGGAGGAACAGTTCGAAGGGGCGTCCTGTGATCTTGACTTGTCGATAGTCCAGTCCAGATATTTGGAGTGGTTCAGCAAGAGCTTCATTGGACTTAACGAGAGCAGGAATATTGGACTGTTCCTTCCGTCGTTGTGCTTGGTTCAGGTGCTCGGTTCTTGGTGCCTGTCAGTATGTCGTTCTTTTGAGGAACCTTTCAGTCTCACTTGGTCCTCAGGTCTATGACCATCTTGATACCCAGTTCATCTCTGATGAGCTGTCTGTCTGAAAGAGTGGCATCATCTAGAGTTGTCTTAGCAATTGTCAGGTGCATCTATGTGTGACATTCATACCTGGTCTGGCAGAGCGGTAGAACAAACCCTCACGAATTCGCCTAATGAGAATGAGTTAACAATGTCTCCTCGCACGCAAAAAGCCGTGATACCTTGTGCCTAAAAAGTCATTGACCGTTTTGCCAACATCGCGAAAGTTGAGAACGTTCTCAAGGCCAACAGAGGAAGTCATAATGGTTTGCCAAGAAACCTGATGCGTGGGAATAAAGTTAGCAAGTCTAATCCAGGGTCCTCAAGCCACCGATAGGATTGCAGCTGGCTGTGCACGGTAGTTGCAGCGCATTGACGATGAACTAGTGAGCGGACAGGAAGAGACCTGGAGCAACATCAAGTTGGTGTGCAACATAGACTTGAAACCAGGGTTTGTAGCATTACGAGAAATCGATCAATCAAGCCAAATGCGCCTCAAGAGATCGGAGGGTTCAAAGCGGACGCTAGGAGAGGGCTAAAACACACCAAAAAGGCGACGAGCAGCGTCGATCTCAATTTCAATACCGAAAACGCCGAGTGATCATTCCGGAGCTAAGAAAAGACAAGATGCACCGTTGATTCTCAGGTGAAGATACAGATTCCGTCCGAAGTTTCAGGTACAGACTCTGTTTCTCTTCCAGTAACTTGAGGTAGAGATCTGTCTGTTGCCTGGTCGAGACTCAACCTTGTGGTTTCGTGTCTAGTCGTTCTCAGCTTGATCTTGGCTTGATAGGTTGAGCAAAAGAACCATCTAATGCCAATTGGGAGATATCTTCAATGCATGACGGGAAGCTAAAAAATTGCTAAGCTGATAGAGATACAGTGCGAATTGATAGCGGTGTGATGTGGTGTGGCAGTGTTACAGTCGCTACGTAGTGGAGAGACAGGAGGAAGCTGAGATAGCTGAAGATGAGCCATTCGCTATTGATAACGGTGACAAGACAGGGAATGCCTGGAGAGAGCTGTGTTTGGAGAATCTCCACTGTATTCAGCTCCCAAGGGGACGGAGTTCCCATACCGAAGAACCAACAATCAAAGCTGAATATCATGAGACAACCTGGATACTGTGCTCCTTCCGGCTAACACTAGCCACTAGCGTCTGCACCTGAGATCATCGCCAAGGACTATGTGACGTCACAACTAGCACTATCTGGGGTAGCGCATCACAGGTCTGGGAAGGGAAAGAGCTACGGCAACGACCCTGACGTATGCATCCCCATGTGAAGGAAAGAGGTAAGGAAGGCAAGCACCGCACCGTCCGACTTGTCTCGGGGCCAACGAAAGAACGACGCCATTTGAGTGAGGGCGCCACGAAGACGACGGTCTCCTTTGATAGCATCATCATCATCATCATCGTCTCAGTGAATAAATCTTGCTTTTACCCATATTTCACTCTATTCTTTCCCTTCTGTTTCCTCACGGTTGAGAGACAACACCAAATACACGACTAATACCTACGCGAATCCTATCTCCATACAGTATCGTCACTCAGCATTTATCTCGTCTGTTTTTATATTCCCTGCAAAGAGACAGCCCATTCGTCTCCACCATTGAAGCAATTCCGGCTCAAGACGAGCACCCGGCATACCCATGTTCGACATAGAAACTGTCGATTAATATCAACTGCATACAGCATTACAACCGCCAAGCGCCTTGGGAATCCATAAAAACATATTGTAACAAGGCCCTTGGCCCTGTCGAGAGCTTATCACCACGCCGAGCCTATCGCGGCCAATCTATTCCCTCGCATCGTATTCCATTGAAGTCTCACCCGTCCGAGGCTCCAATACGAAGGGCTGAGCCAGCACCCTTCTGACGTCCTTATACTGATGCCCACCAGCACATCCCAGCAACCAACCATGATCCAGTCACAGCCGGCAGCGGCCACAGGTATGTACCGGCATCCTAGCGATATTCGTCATCCGCCCACGCATGGCCCGGGTCTTTTCTGACATATACATAGTGGCCAATAACTCTGGTCGTCTCAAATACGCAGATCCTCGAGATCTTCCTAGCTATCCATCTGCTGGTCTTCGTCCTGACGGTGCCGCTGCAAGTGCCGCTGCTTCACTTGGATGGTCTAATCAAAAAACCATCGAACTTTGGAAACCTGACAAAACCTCATCCGCATCCGCTGCTGCCGCTTTAGCTAAGGATTACAAGATGGCTCCAACATGGGAACCAACATCCAACTCTGCTGGCCACAAAGCCGCACTTCTAGCTGTTGGCTCTGCTAATGCTGCCTTAAACCAATCCCCAAGCCAGCGCAAGTCACACGAGGGATGGGGAAATTCTGCTGCTACTCAGGCATTCAACACGAATCGAGCCAACTCAATGCGACAGCCCGACCCAAGAGCATCTGATACTTCGCTGCAGGGACAAAAGTCTCTGGCCGCAGCCAAAGGTGCTATGTCAACTACTAGACGACGAGCTAAATCGACGCCATCAGCACCAGACTCTCATGCTCCATCATCCCCTAAGACTAACACTCGACCCGATGCGCTCAGCGGAGCTGCACTTGCTCACAAAGCAAGCCTGAGGGCCAAGCCGGCAACAGAAAACGCCGGTGCGGTGCCAGTCACTACCATGACTCGCAACATGTTCACGTCTAATCCGCCAGTCAAACCGGAGGTAGATGAACGACAAAACAATGAGCAACTTCATGCTTCAGCGGTTGCGATGGCCCGAAAGATGTATTCACATCAACAAAAGATTATCGACGAAGCCAAGGAAACCCATGGGCAAGGCTCTGATGCACCACAGCCAAAACCATACATTAATCTCCAAGACGCTGCATACAAACAAGCACAAGAACGACTGGCGAAGCTTGAACAAGAACACCAGAAGAATAGAGACTACCAATCTTACTATGGAAACGAATCGTCGCCTAGACGGCGGTTTACACTGACATCCAAGCTGCGTCGTCGCTCTTCTAGCGACGGTGACCTTGACGATAGACAACAATCCGAAAGAATACGACAGCAGATGTCACTCTTCTCCAACAAGCTTTCAGAGGTTGATCAGAAGAAGCGACAGGATGATCGCAACGCGCTTCTTGCTGCGGCACAACGCAACGTCAAGGCTCGATTGCAAGGTATGGATGAGAAGGTTTATCATGAAACTGGCCAGGTCAACCCAACTCTGATGAGTGAGTGGGAGCTTAAGGCTCATCAGTTGGCGAGTGCTAGCCACGAAACCCGAAATGCAAACAAGGGCAAGATCGACATCGGAGGTGGCAGATTCATGGATTCTCACGATATAGACGCCATCGCAGCCAAAAGAATGCAGCCCCTTTTGGATGACATTAACGAGAAGGCTGAAGTTGAGCGCGAGCGACTCGCTACACTCAAGATGGAAGAGGAAGCAAGAAAGGCTGAGCAGGAGAAGCAAAAGGCGCGCGACCGCGAAACTAAAGAAATCACAAAGAAGCTTAAGGGTACGTCCACAGCAAATATTCATTTGCAATGAGCCTGACTAATTCATTTCATAGACCAAGAGAAGCAGGAGTACAAGGCCAAGAAGGCGGAGGAGAAGGCGGCACGAGCTGAAGAGCGACGCCAGGCCAAGGAAGAGAAGCAACGGTCCAGGGGTAACACAGCTGTCTCTGGCGAAGAAGCTATTGATGATGGTGCGAGCACAAGAAGCGAAGAGGCTGTCTCACCTCCTATTGTTGCACCAAATGAATCGAGTGAGCCTAGTGCCCCAGCAGCTATCGATACAGAAGCTGGCACAACGGAAAGGGGCCGCAGAAAGCTCAGCGATGCTGCATCACCAACTTCCAAGGTCAAGGGATGGATCAAGAACCGGTTTTCACGAGGCAAATCTCTCGGAGAGAAAGACCACGAAAGCCACGGTGACAAGAGAAGCAGTTTCATTGGCGGAGCCGCTCTCCGGGATACTGATGCAAATGAAAGTTCAACAAGTCTGGACAACCGGGCTACGAGCATGCGAGATGTCGCCCTTGCCGGTCGCAGCGCAAACGCTGAGTCAAGCGACCACGACCGGGATGTACTGCATGATTCGCGCGGCATCAGCCCCGTGAGCAGTCTAAGTGAAGACGAGGCGGTTCCGGCTCTTACTCCCCCCCCAGCAATCAAAGACCCTGCTGAAAGGAAGAGCCAAAGCCCTTCACGGGACTCGAGATTCAGAGAGATGATGGATAACTAAACCAGTATTGTTGCAGGACAGGAGTTTGGAAAGGAGGCATAATGATGGGATTGGTTTGGATTACGCCTGGCGCAAGAGAATGGATTGCTGTGTATCTGTAAAGCGTCATTCGTTTTTAACAGCAGGACTATAGCAATTGGGGAAGTTGAAAGGGTTATCTCACTATTGGTGTAAACTCAATGTCTTTTTTTGAGCTATGACGCAGTACATGTACGGAACTTTCGGATGAACATTACGACTATAACATGGTCAGCTACGATGATGAGACAAAGCAGGATAGTGGTTGGCAATACAGAGTAATATACCTCATAAAGTACGAAAGACGACGAGTGACATGAAATTGTGACTTATTATGTCAACATTGTTTAATTAATTGATAATCATTATACATGAGGCAATTCCTCTTCAAATTCATCTATCCAGATAGTTCATGTACGAGCGCATGATGTAAGCCACGAAATACAATCCTGTAAACGAGCCAATTCTCGCTCGGTCCCAACGCCATGCAAAGAAAGAAAAGGGGAATCATTCCGACATTATTCCATAGAACATAAAGTTTCGTGTGTAAAGTATTACAAACGTTGAGTCTAGTTTGTTGTACTGTGATGGGTCAAGCATATGATATATGCGACCTGTCTAGAAGTCTCTGGGAGGCACACGGTTACCGTTCTGAGCCATCTCGACATCGGTACGACCGTTTGGGGCTGCGTCAAAGTTACTTCGCGACCCGTTACTGGGACTCGTCGAATCAGAGAGGGCAGAAGGCATGTAGTGAGACTTTTGGTACCTTGCGTCAGGGCTCTTTGTGCGAACGGCAGGATAGAGGTCGATGACGAAGGAGACGGCGTAGAATGTGAAGATGAAGGATATGACCCATTCGAGGATCGCGGCGGCGTTTCGCTTCTTAACGCGGCTGCACACACCAAAGGCGATGATGAGGAAGAGCTCGACGAGGATGAAGGTGAGCTTCACCCAGAATGACATGCGAAGAATACGATGCTCGCGGTAGTCTGAAGGTTTGTTAGTGGGGTTTGCATGGTTGTTGAAAAGGGAGGACTCACTGATTCCAAGGCGTTGATACTCCCAGCAGATAAAGACAGCCGAGATCAAATAGCCTCCAATAAAGAGCGCCAAAAACGTGTTGTGCAGTCTGCTATACTTGCCGGTCTTGAAGATAGAAAGACAGATAAGTCCCACGGTTCCGACAGTCGCAAAGGCGATGGAGAGGCCGCTGAGGATCTTCTCCATGAGTGTCGTGTTGGGCACAAGACGGCCCCGATGTCGCAGCCATCGCTCAGACAAGAATGCAGCATCGAGAAAGATGGAGGTCAAGACACAGCCGACAATGAAGAGAGGCTGAAGACGGTCGGCGCCGACATTGGAGATGTAGGCGATGTCGGAGTGAATCGATTGAGTGGGATATCGACGCCCATGTTGATTGACTTGCCACTCGAGGAGAAGACCGAGAAGCATCCCGAGCCAGACAAGCCCTGAGATGACTGGAAACCACTGATCGTGTTAGTATCCAGGTATCCTCTCAAATAGTTCATGTAAACGTACCCAGTATGAAAAGATGCCTTTCACAGCCATTGTGTGATTTTATGCGGTGACTCTATAATGTGATGTGATGATGTTGCTGTGAACTTGGTGTTTTGCAAAACTGGCGATACGGGCAAAGGCAGTGACAGCAGCACCTGACCTAAAACTTGCTTGGCAGGGACAGAGTAAATGAAATAGATGGAACAGGTACGAAGAGAGAGGAAAAAGAAACAGGGGGCAGGGTATTATATTCCCGTATGCTTGGGCTTGGGATTATATTATGGGTCTGCGTTACGTATTGCAACTTCAGGGTTTCGATCTTAATAGTTCCAAGCTTTTTCTTCTCCTTCTCGGCCGGGAACTGTAGTACTTTAAGATCACCACTAAATACTCCACGGCCGAAGATCTTTCGGGCCCTCGGACGTGTCCGCGGCTCCTAAAGTCCGGGATATTTTACGGCATCGGACATACCATCTTTTTTTTTAAGGCGGTGCTCATCACTCATCAGCCTTGTTACAGCGGAAAAGAGCCAAGAATGGCTGTGGTAACTCTTTAATGACTTGGCATTGACGCGGCGTTTACAGGGGGGGGGGGGGGCTACGCGGCAGTCAAAACGTGCTTGCAGTGGCGTAGAAGGGGAAAAAGAATCACTAACTAATGCGAATGGGGTAATTGGGTATTCTTCAGCTGCTAGAGAGAGGGACAGAGAGGATCATAGAATGAATGGAGTTTATAATCGAATGACATCATCCCATTTGTTTACATTGATTACATCACAATCTTCGCTTACCAACGTTAGTCTGTCACTGCCCAAAGCAAGCCTCAGCCAACGACGTCGTTCAGTGGAGACACTAAAGATTTAAGGGGGGGCCTCGCAGTGAGTCTAAGCTAATCCTTGCATGAATCATGAGCTGAAGCAGGGCTCTTACATTGTAACCTTGGACCTTACTCGAGTATCCAATCACTCTCAACGAGTAACATTCACTCAACTCACTCAACAGCCAAAACTACTTCAATACACAAAATTCAGTTTTATTATTAATCAAATCAACTCTTCATTCTCCCGCACATGTTCTTTTCTTCTGTTAAACACCCGCAGCATCGATACTGTCGTCCACATCTGTCATAGCACCATGCCTCATAACCACAACAGTGTTTTCCGCGGCGTTCGAGCTTGTTATGCGTCTCGTAGTTACTAGACTCAATGTTAGTAATGATCCTTATCAAAAGAGATAGAACCCCGGTCGTTGACACGAACCTCATCGCGATGATCGTGGGGACCCTTGTGTTGATGATCATACTCATGCTCGTGCTCGGGATCTTTATCCTCGTGCTTGTCCTCATGCTTGTGCTCGTAGTGATGCTCATTCTCGTGCTTGTGGCCGTGCTTATGTCCGTGGTGGTGGCCATGTTCGTGGAGATGGCCATGTCCGTGGCCGTGCTTGTGCCCATGCTTGTGCCCGTGGTGATGGTTGTGGTAGTGCTTGTGCACCTTCTTGTGCTTGTGCTCTCCATCGCCCTCGGAATCCTCCTTGCCGTCGGTCTTGTCCAGCGACACTCCATCCTTGAAGTTCTCGCCTGTGATCAGAGGAGTGTAGGGGAACTTCTCAAAGGCGGCCTGGACACTGCCCTTGGTGGAGCCATCGTTGGCACCCTGCTTGGACATGATGATCTTGAGGCTCTTCTTGCACTCAACGCGGCGATTGATCTCATAGACCAAGGCCTGTTCAAAGTCAGTGTCAGTATGTCTTGGTTCCTCTCATCTCAAGGGTAACTCACATAGTTGGAAACACGAAGACTGTTGATGGCAGTGAGGACAGGTCGTTCAACCTCCCCATCAAGAGTCTTGGTCTGGTGCCGCAGGAGCTTCAGGAGGCGGATCAGAGCATCGGCATACTAGAGCAGTGTCAGCACAGTAACCCCTGAAGAGGCTTTTGGTGGAACTTACGTGAAGGAAGCAGCCAACGACAGGAGAGTCGTTTCCACAGCTGAAGCACTTCTTAAGAGTGGTGCTGTCCACGTACTTGTCAAAGGCATCCAGCCCATGCTCAAGGCTGTAGATCCTGTGAACAATTTTCTTTCATTTCGTGTTAATCATGTCAGAGTTGTGGGTTCAAGAGAGCAACTAACATGCCAACACTCCGCATCGCTGCCACAGTCATAGGTCTGGACAGCATGAATGAGCTCCTCGACGTCCTTGGTGGCATAGTGGAAGAGCTTGCAAGTCTTCTCCTCAGTGAGGACAGCGCAAGGCTTGATGGGATGCTTGTGCTTGGTGATGTGGATATGCTCATGGGGATGAAGATGCTTGTGCTTATGATCGTGGTCCTTGTGATGGTGCTTGACCAGGTCAGGATCATGGTGATCATGGTCCTTGTGCTCATGCTCCTTGATCTCGAAGGGGCCGTCTGGGAGAGCAATACCAACAACGGCCGGGACTGCGCAGAGCGCAATGAAAGGTAGTGACAGCCTCATGTTGGAGTCTGCAGCAGATTAAAAAGAGTGGAAGTAGTGCTCAGGGGATGTAACGAAAGTGAGGAACGACACCGAGAAAGACGGAATAGGTCAAGAATCGGAGCAGTCTTAAATAACCATCATAGCTCGTGTTTGTCGTCTCATGCCAGAGACTCTGGTAAGTTCGAAGAATCATCGACTTATGATTCCAAGCCACGATGGTGAACTCTTCAGCCATCAGATGGATAGCCATATTGGCAACCGGTGAACAGTTAACTCTATGATACATACAAGCAATTGCAGGCAAGATGTCCCATACCATCAGCTCAATATTACCACCATCCTACGATTCTCAAAGCCTCGTACTCATCACTGTCGGGCATTTTGAAAGGATGCTTTAGAGATCTGGTCCTCGAAAGATGCCCCTCACGAGGCGTCCGTATAACCGTATTCGCGGACAGTCAAAGGGAGGCCAAAACCGCCGAGATACAACTCCGTTACTGTAGCACCGTCGCGCCCCTTTCACTTGAAGGCACCGTGGTTTCCTCGTTTCCACAGGCGACGAGCATCTTTGCTACAGCAGAAGGCACTCAATACGACTATTATGCTTTCAAGGAGGCCACAAGGTAAGAATAATACCGCCGGTTGCTGTGTGCATCACTCAAAGTCAATCTACGCGGTTAAAAGTCTGTTAATTCGCGTGTCTTTCGTGTCAAGAACACGCAAGTTGATAATAAGGAGAAAGTGATGATGTTCTTGGATGGTCGAAGTCGAAAGATGGAGTACGTACCTCAGCTCAGATCTCCGGAATTAGAAGCACGGGCGTGGAGCTTATCGGCATGATAAACCCCGATGCTCCGATCTCGAATTAGCGATAACGATAAGCTTCCTAACCTCTCCACGGACTGCTCAGCTTAATTCAACTTCACTAGACTTCAACGCTCGAGTCAGACCAACTGGTCATATCAACATTCAGTCACTCATTGGTAAGCATCTAGCCTCTAAAACCCTCGAGCACACAACGAGGCCTCCCAACGCCATACAGCTGGCCGTTCCAGCTCCTCAATCACTATCCACAATATTCTTTGTTCACCATCAACATGGCGCTCTCACCAGTCGTAACACACACCGTTGAAGCGACGCAACCGCAAAGCCTCGGGCGCGCAATCTCTTCGCCTCTAAAGAACGTCACTTCGCAAACATCTTCCTCCAATGGAACGCCTATGCCTCCTGTCACTTCAGCGCCTGCGCCGACGAGTATTCCTACGACTCTCGATCTTGCAGAGCAGATGAACGATGAGGAGAAGCGCAAATACGTCAAGGGTATGTTACAGCGTTGAACATCTCAAGCGTTGCTCTAAAAATGTCTAGGCAAGAAGCTCGGTGAGGGTACATACGCCGTTGTCTTCCTAGGTCACTTGCGCTCGAAGCCCACCACTCTCGTCGCCATCAAGAAGATCAAGGTCCAGAAGGAATACGATGAGGGCATGGCCCCCGACGCCGTCCGCGAGTTGAAGCACCTCCAGGAGCTCTCCCACCCAAACATCATCTCTCTCCTTTCCGTATTCTCCTCAAAAGATCAGAACCTCAACCTCGTCCTCGAGTACCTTCCCCGTGGCGATCTAGAAATGCTTATTCGCGATACCGAATCCGTGCGCTACGGTGCCGCTGATATCAAGACATGGATGGGCATGCTCACCCGTGCCGTCTGGTTCTGCCACGAAAACTTTGTTCTCCATCGTGATATCAAGCCAAACAACTTGTTGATCGCTGAGGACGGCGAAGTCAAGCTTGCTGATTTTGGTCTTGCGCGAAGCTTCGCTGATCCTCATCAACTCATGTCCTCGCGCGTCATCACCCGCTGGTATCGACCTCCTGAGTTGCTTTTCGACGCGAAGCATTACAGCGGTGCTGTTGATGTCTGGTCTGTTGGCACTGTGTTCGCTGAGCTCATTATGCGCGCGCCCTATCTTCCCGGTAACACAGACCTTGACCAAGTTCGACTTGTCTGTGAACTTGTCGGTACGCCCACCGATGATAACTGGCCTGGTGTCACGAAACTTCCAGGCTATGCTGTTCCTGGGCAACACCCGGTTCGTGGTAAGGACTGGTATGAGATGCGCTTCGGTACTGTTGGTTCTGACGGTGTGGACCTGCTAATGAAGACACTTATTCTCGACCCCAAGAAGCGCATCACTGCTCGCGGTATGCTTGAGCATCCATGGTGGCATTCTGAGCCTAAGCCTACTCGCAAGCAAGATCTGCCTCGAAAGGGTGGCGCAGGGGCTGATGACAAGATGGGCGCTGATCTAAAGCGAAGGCCAGGCGTGATTGATGATGACAGGGGCTCCAAAGTTGCACGCAAGCTTGATTTTGGCGGCATGAAATAGACATGGAGAGACGAGGCGCAGAAAAGAATTTTAATGAACATATGATATGTAATTCGGGTGAGCATTCTCGGGCGTTTGGACATATACAGAATAAGGAGAGGAATACGCGACAAGTCGCAAAGGACCTGGCTTGCTCAAAATGGGACATTTTATTAGATACTCAGATCTCTTGATCATCATAAATTTGAAACCATCCATATATGTCTCCTAGCCAAACGCTCGCTCTCAGCGTATCTTCGTGATATTGACATTTCGATTTCGTAAGTATATCCAATCAACCAAGTTCTATTCTATTTACTCACATAAGCACACACTCAAGCCCATACATTGCTCTCTCGACACTTTTTCTGACTTGATACCAGTCCGCCCTTCTCTGCGCATACTCGTAGACTTCTTCAGCACGGAAAATGCCGCCAAAACGATCGCCATCTGCGATGACTGTGGCCATCTCACGCGCATGTCGAGGGTCAATCAGGAAGATCTGGCTTAGCTCACGAAGAGCAGCAAAGTATGCGAGCAGATCAGGGTTGCGCAACGTCCGAATGTACTCATAATAGATGTTCATATCAGCAATGAGAGTAATCGCGCCCTCGGTACTGATACGTTGTCGCTTGAGGTGCTTGCAGATCGCTGTGAAAAGACGAAGACCAACCTCGCCGTTGAATACATCAAGCATCGACTTATCTGTTGTACCGACAAGCATTTTTGTGTGTGATGAGACGAGCTCTACAATACGCTTTGCTGTGGCTGTGGGGCCAATATCAGGCTCTGCAGCAGGCACTGCAGGCTTCTCGACGGTGCTAGAGCTGCCGCCAAATCCAGAGCCAAAAGCAGAGGACGATGTAGCCGCTGAGGGATCAATTGGGTTGTAGTCTGTGGGTGGTTGAGTTGTGCCCTGAAGATACTCAACTTCGTCCATCAGGACATCGATACCCTTGTTCAGGCCGGCCGCAACACTCTCGTCGAGCATTTGCTCAAACTTCTTCTTGGCCAGGCCTGCTGGGTCCAAGAAATCGTTGCGGTCAGCAATTTTCGGGGTGGCAAGTTGCTGCTCATAGAAAACGTCAATCATCTGTGAGATAAGGTCACCGACGTTGACAAGCTCGATGAAAGTGACAAGCGGTGCCACGCCCGCTTTGTTATGATCGTTAACCTCTCGCGGGTTATAGTGCGAAAGATGGTCGACAGCCATATCAAAGCCCGTCTTGACATGCTTCTGCCCCAAGATACGCAGCAACACCACGAATATGGTCGCACACTGCTCTCGAGCTTCTCCGCCAGCTTGTCCACCAAGACTAATAAAAACTGAAGCACGTCCCAGGCTGGTTTTGGCAGCGTGCACCAGGTTAAGCGCCACCTCAATGCTGAAAAGCGACTTGATGCCTTCAAGCTTCGACGCCATGATTGCAGCCTTGGCTGCCAGCTCATCCGTTGGTGCCTGGGCAGGTAATGGCGTCCTCTGGCCATCAAGTGCCAGACTGGGCGTCTCAGGTCGCGAGGGCTGAGGTGTCAGTGTCCCAGAGCCATTCAGCTCCTTTGGTACTGTTGATGTAGGCCTCGATGATGCGGGTTTGCTAGTTGCGAAAGGAGATCCCATCGGAAAGCTCGGTAGCACAGTAACAGGCATCATAACGACCTTCTTGAAAGAGCTCAAAAAGTCCTTCTTGTCGGCTGAGCGATTGATGTTTGACATATAGAACGACTCCAGGGACGAGTCTTGCTCAGAAAGCTTCTTCTCCCAGCTTGCCACTTCTGTGTCAGCATGATTTGTGAAGAAGTCTAGCTCAGCTTGGAGGTATAAGTCGAGATGCGGCTCGAAGACGCGCAGTGAAAACTCCTTTGCCATCTCTTTAACATCTCGCTTAGACCCTTCAGGGGGTGTAAGAGACTGAAAGAAAAGCATCGTCTGCTCAAAAACGCCAGACACGGCTTTCAAATAAGCTTCCATACTACGTTCATGCGCCTCGTCGAACAGTGGTGTTGAATACTCCATGATAATATCCTCCCTGACCTTTTCCACAAATATCCAGAATACATGTTCAGGATTAGGGAAGATGCGTTGCATCACTGAGGCCTGCTCATTGACTTTGGTCAGCAACTTTTCGAAGAACAGCCGTGAAGGTTCGAGTATGATGCTTTCGTCCTGTGTCGCTTGGTTGAGACAGTCCATCGCGTTCACCACCAATAACTCATCATCGTTGAATATGGGGTGCTTATGCACAAATAGATCTATCCCTCCAGTGGCGCCATCAAGTGTGTGCAGGACATGTGCGTAGCGATGCATTCGTCCGTCAACATCCCAGAATTCGTATCCTTGTTCAAACTCCCGTAGAACAGCACTCTCGAATAACCCCATCATTGATGAGAGCTTCTCCTCTCGCTCCTGGCATCCAGTTGACCAATCGCTATGGGCGAATCTCTTAAGGTTTGCGAGCATTTGCGCTTGTTTCTCCGGGTCGCGAAACGCTTGGAAGACGATAGGGTCCGCATGAGACCTTGCCTTCACCAAATCAAAGTAGAATGGAGCCAAAGCGCCGTATATCTTTCCGTACTCGTGCCTCGCGCCACCCCGAATGCTCCGTGCGTTTTTGAAGACATCCAGATATGCTGCCGGGTCTTCGGCGGGGTTTGTTGAAGCCCCCACCGCCATCGTCTCGAAACCATCACGAATATCTGCAACGGCGCGATTCTTGGCCTCCTCTAATGAGGCATCGAATAGTGTTGTTCCTGTAGATTGCGTGGGGCTTGCAAGCCCTTTGGCTTGTTTTGCAGCTGCATTTGCACTTTCTCGTCTTCGTCGCACTGCCTCCTCGAATCGACGACGAGCCTCGACTTCATCCCAACAATCCATGCTCTTTAATCTTGAGACCCATCTAGTGTCATCGTATACCATATCTCGCATGCGGTGTGATGCGCGGGCAAAGCGCAGTTGATCGGCGACTGGCAAATAATCGAGAATCGTCACCAGTATCTCTGAATGTCATGTTAGTCGCAGGCGCTCGATATTGCGAACATGGTATCTTGCATACCCGCTGGAAGACTGGCTTTCGTGTCGAGCATCTCGGTCGCCTTCAGGGTGCTAAGGATGCTGCCACGATTGGCAGCACCCGTTTTGGACCTATACATGATTGGAGAGGTATATCTATCGCGATTTCGGTCGTTTCTGTATTATTTCGTGCTTGGAGGTACCCTCTAGGTAGATTATCTCCTCGTAGTCGCTGTTCAACGATTGTATCCTCTACGATGCCATGGGCCGTCTTTCAATCCGTTCATTTAGATGATCTGGTCTAGCATGTGGCAGCGGGACTCTTCATATATAGCGACACCGGCATTGGAAGATTACTCAAGCTTCGGGGCTGCTAACTCGGTCGTATTTTTCGTTTCTCGATGATTTTCGTGATGTTTATAGCTCACAATGAGTTGGTTGTAAGAAGAAGAAGAATTGTTGGGCTGGGTCATGTTACATCTTGAGAATGGAAGCTGCTGGTCGGACCGTGGTTAGCTCTGACAGGGGGGAAGTTGCAGTCCACCCACATGTGCCCCGCATCAGCGATGAAGTTGGAGGTGGGATCTGAGCTTACCCTGTACCTCCAGAGTTATGGACATTTCTTAAAGTTATGGCTATTTCATGGGATGTCTTCAGCCCAAATGATTACTGCCAGTTTGTTCATACTGTGTACGTAAGCTTAGTGAAAGCCTCTTTTTAATTTCGCCCCTAACAGTCTATTCATGAGAGTTATCGTTGAAATTCCCTTCTGAAACAATAGTTGATATAAGTCTACCGCCCTTTCAATGCTATACATCCATCATGCCAACTCTAACCCAAATTTTTTTTTACCAGCGAAACTCCAAAAACACCTTTGAACGACATAGTCAAACACATTGCAGAACGAATTGACTATACAAAAACTCAAGTCCGTAAGGATACCCCTACCAACTCCCATCGCATGCGAATACCATCTATATCATGCTCCTATATGTCGTTCACTCAAGGAATGTGAAGAGATGTGTGTGCAACACATTCATAGCCCGAGTAGCATCTCGTGCACTTATCACGCAAGAGATGTTGATCTCACTGGCACCTGTTCGACTTCGTTAGTAGACTCCTTATTCAAGATGAGGATCATACATACCTTGTGAGATCATCTCGAGGTTGACATTGTGTTCTCCCAGAGTAGAAAACATGCGACCTGCAATACCGACCATGTTCTTCATCTCAGCACCAACCAAGCTCAGAATAGCCATGTCGTTGAGCACGCTCACATCACCACACTCAGCAAGCTCCTTGGTGGCTTTGCCAAAAGCCTCGACCTGCTGACTGCTCGAGTGAATAGCCATAGAGACGTGAACCTCAGAAGTAGAGATAAGATCGACCGAGATGGAGTAAGTGTCCAGGATAGAAAAGACGCGAGCGAAGAACCCGTGCGAAATCGATCTCTTATTCGAATGCACATTGATAACGCTGATGTGGTCCTTGATGGTGACGGCTGTGGGTCGCTTCGGCTTCTTGTGTTCTGCCTGAGGCTTGGGAGAGTCCCGTGTAAGTTGATGGCTGGCCGAGAGGATGCGGTCAGGAACGACAATAGTGCCATTGCCGCGAGGGTTCTTAACATTCTTGATACGAATGGGGATAGGCGGTTCAGCACGGATGACTTGGTCCATAGTGAGGTGGTGGATAACCTCTGAGCCATAAAATGTCAACTCAGCTGCTTCGGAGGGCGTGATGGACGAGAGCAGGCGTGCGGTGGGCACCTTGGAGGGATCGGCTGAAAAGATACCATCAACCTCCTTCCAGACCTGAAGTTCCTCAGCCTTGACGCCCACGGCGCAGAGGGCTGCACAAAGATCAGTGTAACCACGACCGATGTCACCGTCGATGAGACTGCCAGGAACGTTGCCAAAGAAACCAGTAACGACAGGGACGCGGCTCTCACAGGCGGCGATCTTGCGGGTAAAAGCCTCTGAGGCAGTGCGGTAGAACTTGCCGTCGAGTCTCTCGTTAGCATCATAGTGGAATGAATCGCAAAGATCGACATATTCAGACTCGACGCCCTGGTTAATGTTAGAGTGAAACTCATATATATATAAGTAAACAGCGTATTACTCACCTTATCCTGCAAAAGAGCCGCCATAAAACGACAGCTCAGTTTCTCACCGAAGCTGATAACACGATCCTTTGCTCTTGAGTTGATCTCAAGGTTAAATCGCTTTGCAGCGACGATATACTCGACCAGCTCTTGACACTCATCCTTGATTGTCTGAATGAGTTTTCCACGTAGAGAAGGATCTTGGATGTAAGCCTCAGCAGCAAAGACGTGATCGTTGCAGATATCAAGCATCAATCCACGAGCTTGCTCAACCAGTTCATTCTGCTGCTCCTCATCGACGCACATGGCGGCGCCGACACCTCTGAGCTTGCCGTAGACGGCGAGTAGTCTATTGCGCCATTAGTACTCAGATCATGCCAATTGACGTTACAGAGAGTCTCTGTATATAAAAATACCAGAGCATAGACGTACCGACTGGTGGTTCCTTCAGCTTTCTTGCCCGTGCTTCTGGCAGAGCAAACGACGATGACTCTGTTTTGAGACAAGCTGGCTCTATTGGCGGGGTCAGTTACAGCCATACAAGACAATTTTAAGCCATTTCTCTCTTTCTTTCTTTCTTTCTTTCTTTTCCATATCCAAACGCTTCGGGGAAATATCATACCTGACAATATCTGTAGCAATCTGAACATTCTGGTTAGCAATGTGTATAAAAACCACAGAATAATGCCTCTCCGAAGCTCAACGGGGAACAACAAACCTTGTCCGGAAACTTGCCAACGCTTGTGCCGCCGAATTTTTGAACGACCCAGCCGAGAGACGGCGAATTGCTATGCGAGAGACCTCCCATGTTTGCTTTTCTTCGATGTTCAAAATCAGATGTCAAAGATTCAAGTCTCCAAAACGTGGACCTCGGTTTTCTACTTTGTTCCCCCAAGGTAAGGCTGATTCAGAGAAAGTTAATGGTGGTGGAGTTCCTTTTTTTTCCGGCTGAGTAACAACGAGGGAAAAAAAAAAATCGAGCTCGATTGAGGCACTAATAAGGTACCGACCGATCTTTTATTGAGGCAATGTACCCACGGACAAGCGCCGAATCACCTCCGGAATTCCTGAAACAGTACTCTCAAGGTGAAGGGATACGAGAATCGTGGTATAATATGATATGATTTGTAGAACGCGCCGGTGCAGTCGATAGATTGAATCGAATTGAAGCGTAAAGAGGCGCGAAGTGTAGATGGATGAGAGATCGACAGCGATTGTGTGCAATTGGCGTATTATCGAATACTGAAACCAGTACCAAATTGCAATCCCCCAAACAAAGATGAGAGTAGATTTGGTGTTGATACAGTGACAGACGGTTTGAGGCTCTGAATGCGAATATCCAATATTAAAGACTGGATATGAAATCAGTTGTCCGGGAACGGAGCTTGAGTTTCAAGATGATTAAGTGCGGCCAAGAACAACGCCTCCGTAGCAAACACTTCAGAAGAATGGTCACAGGTATGTATATATGAAGTTTCAAGAACCAAGAACTATAAATTAAGACGAGAAATATTATTTATATATGGCTCATGCTGTAGCATCATACTATGGACTCTAGAGTCAGTGTTTGAGAACAAGACCGAAGTTGCCTCCGAAATAACAGCTCATACAAGGGTGCTCCCTCTATAACATTCGCTGTATGGTATGACTCGACCTTGCTACAAGTTCCGTCTTCGGCTTTGTCCTTCATTAGACACGTTTAGGTTAAGCTCACTAAAGATTCATGACCCCCACTGCGCTAATGCTTAAGCTCCACTCAGGCTACCCCACCAGAGACGACTAACAACTCACTTACATGGTCATCAACAGTCATTATACATAGAGCTCCGAGTGACTTGTCATTATAACAAAAGCACAATAGATTTTATCCAAGGGGTTGATCTATTCAATCTGACGAATGAAATCGAGACAACGCAAAACAATTCCGCTGCTGGCCAATCAGAGCTTAAACGCAGACTTTACAACTCTCGCATAGGGTAGTCAAGAACCTTTCGCCTGAGAGAGAATGGCACGGTATTTAGGTACTCCTAACACGCATTTGCTCATTCCTCTATTGCCGTTACCTTACCTACGAAGGAACAAGGGGATAATACGGAATGAGCCAAAAGCCTACGAACAGTATATTGGACGATGTGGTAAAATCAACCCCTCCCAATGGTTCTCATGGTGCGCCTTTGCCAAACCCGACACCATTTATACTCAAAAACTCCAGAACCAAACCTTTCAGCTAATGTGTACACAGAAACAACCCCAATCCTCTATCTTCCAGGCCTGCTTCGCTCAGTTGGCCAAACTCAGCGCCCTTCACTTCCCGCTTCTGCCTCTAGGCCATCATCATGTCGTCGTTCCATCGTCCCATCATGTCTGGCAATTAGGAGACCCTCCTCTGGGAAACACTGACAACTGTATTAATATAAATCACCCAAGGGTATAATCGATATCCCAATCCCGGAACGCCAATCCCCGTGTCAGGTAGGTAGACACACACATGGGCCTTTCGGCCTTACTTGAAACCCTTCAAAGCTCATCAACAGTGAATTCTGCCCCTTCCAACAGGGCATGCTCCTGGTTGTCTGTGCCGGTGAAGCCAAACTTGTCCATGGGGAAGTCTTCCTCGGGCGTCCTAATACCGATTCCGCTATCGTCGTGGACATCGCCCCCACTCATACCCATCGAATTCTGGTTAGGTTTGTTGGCCGGGGGAAAAGGGGCACGCTCCCCTTGGTTTTGTGATGAGTTGTTCAGGTTGAATTCGTCACTGCCGCTGCTGTATCGGGAGGGTTGCCGGCTTGTATCTTTTGTTGCTTGGGGTGGCGTGGGCGTTGTCGACCACGTTGTCTGGCTCCTTTTTTGCTTCATGAACCCTCCCTCCTCCACCATAAAGCAGACCAGTTCATCTATCCATGTTTTGGTCACCCACCATGAACTGAAGCTCTTACCCTGGTTCATGGTGAGGTCTCGCATCACAGCAGTACCAATCCTCTCGACGCATAGCATGATGTCGCTCGCTGAGGCGTAAGGAAACCTGGTCGGTAGACTGTTGAGGAATGTTACCCAACGATCAAGCTGATATGACTCGCCCTTTTCACCGGAAGCTTCTGCGCCACCGTCGACATCACTATCAGATGGCCGACCTTTGCGCGACAAAACATCTCCATATATAGTAAGGCATTCCACCTCCCAAGGCACGTCTGCGGGATCAACGAGATCTCGAATCTCGTTAAGCAGAAGATTCACAACATCGTCCATACCCCGAGTAGGAACACATTCGGCAATCTTTCGAGGCCGAATTGTTGTGATCCAGTCGATATACATCTGATTGCGCTGCTCACGGGACGACAGAAAGTTAGCAGCAGCGTGAGCTGTCAAGTTGACTCTCAACGCGCGGTCGATAAGTCCAACAAAAAGTGCCGCGGGTCCCTCCTTAGCACGGATTACATGCTGTGGCTGGCCTTGGAAAGACTCGCGAATGTGCATCACCAGTCTGTCCGAAATGGACCTAAAAATATCCAACACATACTTAGGAACAACCTGGAGTTTCAAACCAGATACGATGCTCATCATACGCTGGTAGAGGATGAAATCACACTCCTCAATCCAAGGAGCCAAGGCCGGGTTCCCAAATAGTTTTAACACAGGCATGGTGAGAGTCCCTTGGAAAGCACCATAAAGATGGAAGAAAGTCTTCTCTTTACAGAAACGGATACAATCGACTAGTGATGTGCAGTGAGCGCGATACAATGCGAATAGAGACTTGGCAGCGTCGGGGTCGGTGCCTTGAGGGAGGTAAGGCTCGAGGTTAGGAAGAATAAGAGGTTCCTCAGGGTCAACAGGCCCCTCAGACTCGGGACGAAAGCTGAGTTCGAGCTGGGTCTTTGTTGTGCTGGAGCTGAGGTGGGCAATGTTGGCAATCTGTGGCTGGTTGTAGATGCTACGTGACTGGAAGCCGGACTTTTGCAATACTGGGGCCGGGTTGGCCTCAGTGCTGCCAATTTGAGGGGACGGAAGGGCCCCTTGGCTCAAACTGATAGTCGTTTGTGAAGGAAGAGTGCTATTTCTGTTAGCAAGCACATACAAATTACGGTCAGGGATAAAGCTAACTTGAAGCTTTGAGTGAAGGCAGGAGGTTCTGGGAGAGCGCGGGTTGGCTGCACTGAAGGCTCCCTAACCTCGGCCTGGTCCTCCTTGAGTGTGAAGTTCACATAATGATATTTGGACTCTCCGCGAACACCGAGTCGCCGTGTCTTTAGACCGGGAAACAATACCCTAACAAGCTTCCCGAAGCTAGCGGGATTAAGTACGGTGATTCTTTCGGTAGCGCATCTCGACGCGTAGTTGGCGTATACTCGTCCTCGAGGAACGGAACCCTTGCCCCTTTCACAAACCCCATGGATCCTATAGGACGATTAGCATGCCTGTTGCAAATATGGAAAACATTTCACGACATACCAGAGCATTGCAAACACCTGTCGGGTTCGCTCTGAGTTTGGACCTCGTTCATTTCCATGAAGCTCGCTGGCCACGTCAGGAAGGCTGCGATGCTCGTTGGCTTTGAATAGAGCTCTCATTTCAATCTCGTTGTTTGCACTCGATCTATTGGACGCGGGCTTTGGGGCTCCAATCATTCCAGCAAAGGAATTCTCGTCATTATCGTCCCTCTCCATCATTTGGCTATCTCCCTCGGTGAAACTGGCATGGCTGTTATACTGCTCAGCGGGTAACGGGTGCCGTTGCATGGGGTGTTTTGGTTGTTGGTATTGCATCTGGTGACCCATTGGTGCACTCATCGAAGCATCCATCGAGTACTCCTGGCTCGCTTGGAGCTGCTGAGCCATCATAATATCCTCTGCCGACATTTGAGGCGTGTTCATGTCCTTAACCTGGGCATGGCCGTGGACGTGTGCATTTGGGTGCACTTGACCATTTGGATGAACCTGTCCATGCTGGGCCGGTATCCATTGCCCGCTGTACATGTCTGAAGCGTCGGCAAAGGCAGGCTGCTCTAAGCTGTTGAGTGAAGCTGTTGAAGCACGGGATAACGGTCGTCGTGTCGATCTAATGGCGGCGCGGGTGGTTGGACCTTGAGCTTGATTCTGGTCTGTTATATCCACTGAATTAAATTTGTCAACAGACGGAGGCTTTATGGTTTTGCATGAATAAGATGAGGGGAGGTTATGCTTTAGCAGCGAAGTTAAAGCTTGTTATGTTGTGTTGTGTTTGGACTTTCCGAGTGAGTGGCGCGTCGGTATTAGGAGCATCAAGCAGGAGGAGATGAGGTTGTTTGGGCATGGGGTTGTCGGGGAAGAAAAACAAGGGAGAAAGTAAACTTACTGTTATGCTCCATACTTAATTGAGGTACGAGACGAGACTGGGCTGGACTGGGCTGAACCGACCGGGACTTTGTGTTGATTTGGTTGACGGAAGAGAGGAATTTGTGGGCGGGCTAAACAACAAACATTGGCTGGGCTGGGGTGTTCGGATGCGCCGACGTCAATAACAATGAAACTCGAGGGTGAAAAAGGGACCTCAAAAGAGTCGCGAGAAAAGAAAAAAGACCAGCAGAAGCTGAATAGAAAGAAACTCGTTTCAAAGATGCCGCGGAAGGAGCTACTCGGGTGCAATTTTGGCGCGGCGCTGAGGGTAACAATTTGTCGTTCCTGGAGCTGTTGTTGTCCTTGTTTTGTCGTTGCGAGGTCAACGAGAAATGGATGGTCGGTGGTTCAGTTCAGTTAGGTAATCCTGCTCGCAGCCAGAGCGGGGACGATATCCACTTGTTCTATTGGCTTGTCTCACTCGGCTCTCATTGGAAGGGTACGGTAAATTAGCCGAAATTCCTGTTATGATGAGAAACGAGATTTGACTGGCTGCGAATCGCTTCTTTTACGATGCTCTCGATCTGTGTTTTGAGGCTTGAAACTGCTATGCCCTCCCCGGCCAAAGGTGCTCACCGTGAGAACTCGGATGTGTTCTCAGTTATGGAGGAGATCATCGTTGCCCTTAACAGCCCATGATCGTCCATTGCAACGTGAATAGTCGTGGACAGAGACTGGTTCAACCTCGATCCAAGTTCTTGGCAGAGGTTCAGTTGTCCAGGAAAGATGTGAGATGTGAAGCACATGCTCTGCGTATAATATGTGCACGAGATCGCAATCACAGTCACAATCCGCAAGGGAAACAATCGAGACAGATAAATACGCCTGGCCCTGGACAACCGTCGAGACATCTGCCTAACGAAACGACACAAGGACGGTGAGTATCTTGGTGTTATTAAGAGTCCAGATGATTACTATACATATTCTTTCTTCTATCACGAATTCTGCAAGCTGGTAGCAGCCCATCCATACAAATATCACGACATTGTACTTTGCTTGCTTGCATCTGCCACAATTTATTGTGCCTCGACCCTATAGCATTACAGTATGTATGTTAGACGTCCTGGAACCACTTATGATGGATATATACATATATCCATATTTCCACATGTTGCTACTGCAGAATCCAATACTCTGAGCCTTATGCAAGTTTCCTCCGTCCCGCTGTATGTAGCCTCCAA